GTATTTCATCGGAAAATCAGGAGTTGTTTGATATTTTTGTTCAATGCATCTTTAGAGAGGCCAAAGAAAACAGCGACTGAGTAATGAAAAGGGAGTTATTGTTTACAATACCGGTAAATATTTGCCAAATTGATTGTAATATCACTTTTGGTCAAAGCCTTAACGTATACAGTATGGCCTACATGTAATAGCACGAATGGTAGGACATTGACAGTTATTTGTATAAACAAACTGTGACGTGGCCCCAGTGTCTCCAGTGTAGAGCATGCACAGTTACTCTCTACATATCTACACCGCGATGTGACGGAGTGGGGGCACACCACGCTCTCAGCCCGGCGACCTAAGACCGATTCCCAGCCAAGACCAACATCAGCGGTGGTTGATATCTGAATCTGTCCTCTGGGTTCACCCCATTCCACCAACTTTGCAATGAGCAGCATATGCTGAAGGGTGGTCATACAACCCCCATGACTCGGCACGGTGGGGGGAGGCATTCACTGAGCACTAGATTAGCAAAGGATTGCCAGTAAGTACTTAAACATTACAACAATCACGTGGCCACCATTGGCAATCGACATGGAACAATTCCATTCCCATCCCCAGCAATTCTGTGAATTGGCACAATTTATGGAAACGATTCGAATCAATTAATTTTCTTTTAGATCGCCCCGAATCTATTTTGGTCTCGATTGGAAATTTTTGTTCACTTTATTATCCTAAATTTAAATGAATGATACGTGATGTGGGTATTGCATTTTATCAATCGTAAAAAATACATTCTTTACGCATGATTAGATTGCGCGTGTCATGAGCACAAGCATCAAATTCGTGAATTAGTTGCTGTATCGTTATGGACTCGTGCATTCTTGTATTTGAAATGAGCGATGTTTAAGTGCTTTGAGGAGTTGCGCAAGGTCCAGACTATAAAGTGGGATTTCAAAAAAGTTAATGGGTTAATAGCAAAAAACTGTTCCAATGTTTCAACTCGTGAGAGCTAAAATGGTGTATTCTGAATGAAGTACTTTGTCCCACAGCCTGACTCAGTTCAGAGCTGTCAGCTTTGGAATCGTCATTTATTTTTGATGAATTCACAGCGGTGATATTAAATTTCTCAGCAGTGCTGAGATTTTGCATGCCTTCTGTGGGGTCTAACTTCCGGTTATTCAGTCAACTGCAATTTGAGGTATGACAAGTGATGTACCCTTAACATGTGGACTTCCTGTTTCTCATTTGGTTGGGCCGAACTGTAACACTTCAAGCTTGTTATGAAATCATGATTGATCTGCATGATGTCACATCATCTTTTGGTCAGTGACAGGAATGCGTGTGTTCAGTCATTCATTCCTTTTCTCCACGCAGCTTTGGTCATTGCTGTAAGTGACAGTGCACGGAGGCTGCATGTTGGATGGTGTGGATCGAGCACAATATCCAGCAAGTGATTAAGATGCGTGGCGTGGTCTCTTGATTTATTATATATAAAGAGGTGGGGGGGGGGGTGAGACAAATATTTAAATAAATCTCTTTTGTTGAAGTAACATTTGCCACCACCATCAGCCATGGTCAATCCACCGCTGGATGAAGGTCTCCCCAAGCAACCGCCATCCATCGTGGTATAATAATCCACATAATGCCACTTGCTTTAAGAATCCTTCATTGATTCACTTGTAATTCCAACTGAATTATTTAATTTAAGCCTCATGAACAAAGAATACACTAAACCTTCTTGTGTATAGTCAGCTCAGGGAATTACATTCAGCCATATGCTATACTCCAGTACGGTACCCTTAAATCACTCGTGCACTCTTGTGATAAATGTGCACCAAGAATTATGTATTTAGAACGTTGTAAATAACATACGATATTTATATTCAGACTTCATTCCATAAGTTTCCATTGCTGGATCTTTTCCAAATGCTTCGCTGTTAAAATGTTTACTTTTCAGCTCTGCCTCTTGTAGCCTTGCTGCATGATGTAATACGTAAGAAGATTTATGTTGAGTGTGGTGTAATGCCTAGAATAGACAGTAAATTCTAACATGGATTTTTTTTCTCTTTAAGATGTCCAGTATTATTGCAAATGCAGGAATAATGTGTACCGTGCTGTTGAACAGAGTTAGTGCGTCATGTTTTAATGTTGAAGGAACACTTAATGTACTTAAATGCATTGCATTTGTGCTATTTACATGTTATCATGAGATGAAGGAACTTCTATTGGTAAGCATTGTATTGTCAGGAAGAAGCTCACACAAAGTGATGTCCCTTCTGAAGTCACCTTAGCAGGCGTCTCTTCTTCCATCACAAGTGCACATGTAAGATAGCCGATGGCCAACACTAGTGACCTGCTACTATTCTAGCAGGTAAGGCCCACGAAGCTCGAGAGCTATTTCAGAAGCAAACTGGCCACAAATTATAGCTCAACTCGTGGCGGCCAAGGAATGGAACACATTCACTACATTGCAGATTCGTGAGATTACAAAGGCTTTCGAAGGCTTTCATCCAGCAGTAGATGAATCATGGCTGATGGTGATAAGTGCGGTGTACGCGTGTGGAGCGATGGCTCCATGGTTAGCGTACTGGAGTATGAACCCGATGACCAGAGTTCAATTTCCGGCCACAGCTACCATTACCGACGAGTGATATGTGACCCGCTCATTGCCCCTCAAGCCCTGAAGCAACCCACACTGAGCAGCGAGTGTGAAGCATTAGAATCAGATAAAAAACAAACCCCTGGCTGTGTGGAGAGCTTCATCCAGCAGTGGAATAACAAAGGGGTGTACATAATGCTTTATTATGAACAATAAACATGATCATTACACACCATTTTCAACATGACTTGCTTTCGTTCTGAATTGTACTGATTGAAGTCAAAACTACATTGAATGGGATCGTTGTGTCTGAGTAGCCATTGGTGTGACTCAGCTGAGGCCATCGGCTCACTCTGGTTGCGTCTTGGATGGTAGCGACTCGATGTTTCCATGCAGACATATCACCCCCTGAGCCACACGATACCCTTCTTAATTCAGTTCTACTTTTATATGTATTTTTTTTACCGTTAGTATTTATATTCTGTGAGATTTTAAGACAATTCCTAAATAATATAGTGATGTTAATATTACCATATGGATAGCATTGGTAGTGCAACAATGCACACGTCTTGTCACGTTCTGTGACAAACCATGATCACTTTATGTCATGTTATATATATCAACACAATTATGGATGGACCCGCTGACAAGCCTAGATGTGACATGAAGGGATCAACCCTTGTTTAGCGTGATTGGATTCGTAAATTATCCACGCCGTGTAATTTTGGAACAATTTAAGCTTCGACACGGCAACGGACGGGGCTGATGTTCCTGCAAACGACGTCAAAGTGCCGCTGACATGCACTTCAACATCCACGTGCTTTGGTCATGCTCTGCCACGTGACAGGGCGCAGGAGACATTAAGACTGTTGAACCCTTTTAATGTCCTCCTCGGTGGCAAATGTCGAGAATGTATTAACCACTGGGCTGTTCGGCCACATGGAGCTGATGCGTGCACGCGGCTCGCGCAAGGAGGCCGCGGCTTGTACAATAATAACGCACGTGCACAGCTCCACACACGTGGCTCTCATAAAAAGTTTGATGTTGCAACTTTTACACATTTCATGTTTCAGGCATAATATTTCAAACTGTTTAGTTATGTATTTCTTGTTTATTTAATTTTGCTATTTTCGTAGCAACCCAAATAATTCTCGTTCAAGCCGACGTTTCACGTTCGGACATCACAACCACTGGTGCGTGATGGCCTCTACCAGGTTTGGGATATTTACAATTGTTGTTTGTTATTGTCTTGTTACTTATTGGGATGAAGCTTCGTCTGTTAAAGGAGGGATGGCTGGAAAGCATTGTTTTAGACCACAGTGCGCCCGATTGATGCAGGCCTCCCCACACCCCGCGTCAGTCATGGGGATTGTTTGACTTCACCAACTCGTTGGCGGTGATTGTTGGGGATTTTCGGGAGGAAAGCGAAGTGCTCGCGGCTGGTTCAGATATCATTCGCCACTGATGTCAGCCGTGCCCGGGAATCGAACTCGAGCCGCCAGGCTCATATATCAGTTCGCTAAACACTGTCGCTGGATATTTCCAGATCTGCGTTGAAAAGCTGAGTTGGGTTACTTTTTTTACAAATCGTACCACTTGAAACATTTCTGCAATTCCAGCTTAATTTGTTGGCATCCTTTTGCCATTTTTTGGGACTTAAATTACAAACTGAATGTTAAAGAGCAAGCACAGATACCGTGTCCATGTATTTAAGGAGGCTTGCGATGAGGAGTGAGTGAGTGTTAGGTGTGTGTGGGAAAGGGAGTCATCCATTACAAGAAGCAAAGTGTTGGCACGAGGCTGTCGTGACGTTACTCGAGTTAGATTTATAGACGTTTCATTAAACTTGAAACATTCAACAGATCCAAGTGACATTGCGGAACGAGCGTAGAAGCGGTCCCTGAAGCATCTCGTGGTGACGGCTGTTCCCTGGGGGTGCCGCTGTACACGCCAACACTTTAACCTTCCACATTTGGTAACCACTGCTTGGGAACATTTTGAAAACACAGTTTGGATACTTTGCCCTTGTTTAGCCAAGTTTGCGCTTGATATTGTTCACAACCGTTGCTATTTTTCCAGCCTCGCATAGACAGGTAAATGTTCCACGTAAAACACGCGCCACATCAAGGCGCATCAATTACTCCGGGTTGTTTGTACATGTTTATGAAACGGCCATCGTTTGTTACATGTGGTCGTGAAGGTGGGCCAAATGGCGATTGGCCCAAGTGCGCTCGTGGCAGGGCCCCGCTCCCCGCGGTGTTTATACAGCGCCTTGAACGAGATCTGTGGGAATTCCGAGATGTTTACCCACCGCGTGTGGGGCGGGCACGTGGCCTCTCACGCATGTGTGCGCCGTTTTCTGATTTACCCTCTCGCTCTCTCTCTGACGTTGCCGTCGCTTGTTTGTGTTTTACAGAAATCGAGCTGAGGGCAGCCTGCGATTGGTTATGCGCTGCAGGATTCCCGCAGTATGCTCAGCTCTATAGAGGTGCGTTTGGGGGTATTATGTTTGTCAAGTTCAGCTCGCTCGCGCGTCAAATCCAAGCTGCAATTCAGCTCCATAACTTTGATCCCTTCAATCGAACTTCTGCTAATTGCGATTAGTCCATGGCTCTACATGAGGGTAAAGGAAAAGGTGCAGCCATGCAAGCGATTGCTCATGGCACTCCTGTCAGAAGGCCTGCTTTAGAGGGAGCTGTAGGGTATATATGGTCAGGTAAGGCCCACTTGCCTATATTGCTATTTTTCAGAAGCGACCTGGCACAAATGATAGCTCAACAAAGTGGCTTATGACGTGGAAATTTATAGCAGCCAAATACTCTAAACATGTGATGTTGATTCTAAATGTAGAGGGAAACTCCAGAGGACCCATAGAAAAATCCACGCGGCCATAGGGAGAACATGCAAACTCCATATATATACACAACAGGCGTCAGGGTCGGGATCGAACCCACGACCTCCTACGTGCCACGTGAGGCAGTAAACATCTCCTAGCCACCGTGGCGCCCTGCAATATTCCTCCACAAAGTGCTCGGTGAAGCTTAATGACCGTTACACTGCATAATTCTTGTGCGTGGCATTCGGACATTGCAGTCTCGTAGTCTGAGACGTCAACTACCCCCAACATAGTCAGCGACATGGTTCTCCCCCCCCCCCCCCCCCGATCTCTGCAGATCTTCGTTGTCCCATAGACATATCCGCGGTGCACAAGGACCACGCGTATCTGGACCAAGATTCGTTTGAATCTCTGTGTAGGTAAGTTTCACTTGTTAAAAGTTGAAGGCTTTTCGTGAATACATTCTTCAGCATTACTTGATGTATTATTATTGCTTAGACTTGTTGCAATTAGCCTCAATATAGTTTTGTCAAGAGAATCCTGCTAAGTGTTCTCAGGAGGGGATAACAATCGCTATGTGTTTCCCATTTAAGAAACTGTGTAGATAATTTGGGAAGTTTGGAAAAATGTGGACCATCACAATGGACAACTCTTTTCAAAAAATGTCACAGAACCTTCGCGCTGATCGTGAAGCGGACGGTGCGTATTTTATGCTTAATATACCCGCAGTTTATTTGGTTCCACACTTAATTGATCTAAATTCTAGTTCTTGAGAATTATACTCTTAGATTTTTTTCGGTAAAATCACGTAGGTAAAAAAAACAAAATTAAAATTAATAAAAGTAAAATAATTTAAAATAAGTAAAATAAAAATTAATTTACTTTTATACATTTTTTTTACCTACGTGACTTTACTGAAAAAACCTAAGAGTATGAATCCTTGTAGTCACGAAAGCTTAAAATCTTGAATTCTTGAGAATTAAATATCAGTTTAGGGAATTAAATATTGGTTTGCTGTCATGTGACGAAAATCGCTGTCATACGCAGAGAAGGTGGGAAAATGCTTCCCCTTTCTGTGTGGGCTTGAGGTCACTTGAAGTGACCTCACAGGTCGCTCTGTGATATCTGTTTCCGTGAGTCACTCTCCAACATGACTGGATGTACAGCTCTGAGAGATCCAAATGGATACGCCATCTCATAGCATGATACCAAAAGCACAATGGGGATGAAATTGGGGTAAATGGAAATAAATAAATAAATATATAGTACTCTTTCAATTTTGATTTAAAGCTTTCGTGACTGCAGGGATTCATATTCTTGGTTCTTTCGGTAAAGTCACGTCTTAATTTATTATCTCCCTTCTACGTGACTTTACCGAAAGAACCAAGAATATAAGTACTCCTTCACTCGACATGGTGCTCCAGCCTGTGCTGTTACACCCCGTTTATGAGGTCTCCGATGAGTAGGACCCAATTTAAATGTCCAATTTGTGGGTAGATCCCATTTCCCAGAAATGTCTTATCTGATAGGGAAATAAACATTCCACACTGTACTTAAATACCCAGCCAGGGAGAGTTCAATGCACAAATTGTGCGTTTTCTTCTCAACCAAGCGCACAGTACGTGCATACACGCGTAGGTGCGTTGGAAGCAATGCGCATGCATTTAATAAACTCTATATACACATCTTGCATGCATTTTTTTATTTACAATTTGATGTTTTTCTATAAGTCTGCTGTATTTATTTGTGCTAAACCAGCAGGATGGCTCAACGGTACTGTAGCAGGAGTGTATCGCAAGCGGAGGGTTACGAGTTCACATCCTTGTGGGGGGTTGACTCAGCCCATCCCTCCTGTATCATTGTGAGGAAGTCAACAGCCATAGGAATGTGGAATTTACACCCCTGGCACAGGGCTGTAAAGAGGGGATTAGCAATACCTCTCCATGCCACATGAGCAGGAGTTCACTGTGACTTTGTCTAAACCAGAAATGCCCCTGACTCTTGTATCGTTTAAACCTTGTCTTACACCGTGTCTTACACCTTGTCTTACAGTCGATTGATGATACTTAACAAGTGTGCGTTGATGAAGGTGGATGTTGGTTCTTCTAAAAATAAGGTAAGATTTAGTTTTTTTTCTCAAAATCCTCCTGTAGTATTTCTACCAAATATACCTTGAACTCTTAACTCGATGAGGGTGCAAATGTTGCCAGATCAAATTCACCCTAAATGTGCCTGTTTAAAGCTAAGCAGGCTCAAACATAGTTAGGTTTTGCACAGTGGCGAAATATGAACTACCTTGCCTGGTATACAAGAGGTTGTGGGTTCAATGGCGATCCAGACGCCTGCTGCATATTTGGAGTTTGCATGTCTCTCTCCTTGGCAGTCGTGTGGATTTTTCTCCGAGTCTTCCGTTTTTCCCCTCCACGTTTAGAAACACGCATTTATATTATTTAGTCGCTATAAATGTCCACATGATCATGAGCCACTTGGTTGAGTTATCACTTGTGGCCAGGTCGCTTCTGAAAAAGAGCTCTATAGCTAAGTGGGCCTTACATGGTAGAATAAAAAATTGATGTAGTGGAGGTTTGGTGAGTGAATATTTGGCATTATAGATTTCCAATATTATGCCAATGATCGTTGTCCAGGATTATTTAATGACAGTGATAGATATATAACATTTTATTTTGACATTCGCATCCTGACTGTGGTACTTTTTATCAGTCACCAGTTGCTGGGATATAGCTCCATTGGTTTAACATTGAGGCTTCTAATTAATCGTAGGTTCGATTCATATGCAAGATCAAACTCATCCTGCAATACATGTGAAATGGTATGCGCTCCGTGTACATGCATGTTTTATAAATTAAATTAATTTCATTTAACTAGGCATGAAATCAAGAGACCAGCCAAGTATAAGTTGCAGGAGTGACTTGGGGTATGAGTATGCCAGTAGGGGGCCATGATAGTCGCATTAGAGTAATTTGCGGATAATTATTACATTTTGTAAAATATTGGTTTCTGGTTCAAACCTGTCTGCAGGATTTCAACCTGATTGTATTTCACCAACTGCTGATTGAATTGCTACAAGCCAGGAATTTCATCATATTCATTGTTTTTTTATTAATATGACACAGGATACGGACATTAATCACTGTCTTTGATTGCGCTTAATTTAATTTATCTCTGCTCGTGCCAGCGAGGGCTGTGCCACGGCGCCTTTCTGTCGTCCAGATGTAATTTGGCAGCTCCCTGCGCCGCGTTGCGGCTGCCAGATTGACCACGCATGTCCCGGAACGGGGCGACTTTGGGAACCAGCGGAAGCACAAGTTGCTGCGTAGAAGCAACCGTTGTAATTTAGTGCTGGAGTAAAAATGGGGGAAACAAACTGTTCTGCTTGGGGATTAAGGCCCTTTGTGTGGTCTTAAAGGGTGTGGAATTTGAACGATGGCAATAACCATTCATAGGCATCCAAAAGCTACTTTTTCTCCTATTTTACGCATGTGCTTGCATAAAAATAATTGTAAGAAAATATTGCCACAGGCTTCGTTAAGCTGAGGCGTTAGGGGCAGCTAACATTGCCAGCTGCGTTGAAATATCTCCCTCTGCTTCTAAGGCCTCTTAAGATTACAGAATATGTATTGGATGAGTTACACGTAATATTATCTCTTTTTCACCTTAATTTCGTAAACGTTCCCCAGCCCATTAGAAGTTCTGCAGCTCAGCAAGTAAACTACTCACTTCGCCTCCAGTCGCAAACAGTTTTGTACAGCAACTCGATAATTACAACGGCGTGATTAATAATAATCATTGCCGCCACCTTCCATGTGGAAAAATCAAATGCCCTGCGAGCAAAATGACAGCAACGCCTGAACATTTTTGTTTCCTCTGGTAGAGTGAATTTGGTTTGATCAGAGACTCCGCCGAGCGAGGGTTGCTTCCGCTGTCCGGTTCAGTTCACAAACTTCTCATATGCAGCCCGCGGCCTGTAATCATCGTATTTTGCTTTCCAAAATAAGGAAGCAAAATGGAGGGCTCTTTATGTCTCATGCAAAGAGAACCACGTGCCGAAGTTGTTTATGTAAACATCTCTTTCCGCAAAAATCAATGATATGACAGGTAACATTTCTAAGAAGACTCTCTTGCTTGGTCATTGCAAATACAGATGTTACATCCGGCCAGCGTCCAGAATGGCTATTTTTTTATATTGTACAGCTTCGTATTTGTTTTACACTCTTACCTATGCATGGACCTTTGAATTGATGGATTAAATTACACTAATCTCAGTGTGGCTTACTTGGCACTCAGTTGTTGCAGAATTGTTCATCATTCTGGCGATTTGAAGTAAATTATTGCTAAAGAAGCCAACGATTTAAACAATTCAGAATTAATCACTCTGCACAGAGAAGACCTTGAACTACTCTGTTGTTTTTGCAATGTTGGCATAGAATAACACTGATTTACCATAAGCTTGTCTCTTGGGCCAAGAAACAAATGGTAGCCAATATAACCCACGTGTACAATTCTTAACCAGGCTGTGATTTTTTTACATTTAAATATATTATGAGCAGTTATGAAAAACTCCAATCATGATAGTTAGAGGCCACACAAGTTGGTTTCGTAAAGATAATGATCACTGGTTCTAAATTCGACAGCATAATGTTCAGAACAATAATGTTACACTCGGAAAGAGCTGAAACTTCTAAACAATGGCCTCATTAAGTGTATTTTTGGCACGTGACATTGTGCATGAACTTAAAACTTTTGAAACAACATTTGCCTGGATGATTTAGTAAGCACAAAATTCTACTTTTACATTCATTATATGTATCACGTGAAAAGTCAGCGATGTTGAAATCACTCATCATATTTAAATATGGTGGGGGGGGGGACGTAATGCTTGAAAATAGAAAAAAAACATTCTGTAAATATATCTGTACATGCATTAAAAACGTTCTTAAATTACCATAAACTCATTTATTACATAAACTAATTTACTACGTTAATGAGTTTATTGTTGCTCATTATGATTTTATTATGTTTGGGTTTCAGTTACTTTCATATAACAATCGACATTAAAGAGCTGCTTTCGCATTTATTTAATGTGAACATGGCTGGCCGTTTTATGAGTCCGGGCACATCTGGATTACTCAATATCAGTATAGGCCCAGCGTGCATTGCAAGCGTTCAATGAGTGGATGTTTGTTGGTGGAACCATCGCAGAGGTCAGGACTCTGCTAACAATTCGCTTGAGCCCTAAAGTTTACAGCGCCATCCAAGCGCAGGATTTTTATGTTCTTGTCAATCGGCGGTTGCTTGACATTGAAAACGCCGTGGCTGATTGCCACGGTTCCTTTACAGTGCTCTCGTTTCAAACAAGAATGTGGCAATACTAATAGAGTGGCTGGCGATACTATTAGAGTGTGTGGCGATACTATTAGAGTGGCTGGCAATACTATTAGAGTGGTGAAGATACTATTAGAGTGTGTGGCGATACTATTAGAGTGTGTGGCGATACTATTAGAGTGGCTGGCGATACTATTAGAGTGGTGATACTATTAGAGTGTGTGTCCGTCACACTTTGTGCTCCACTCGACGATGCCCGCCGCCCGGTGCGCCTCGGGCGACCACCTTGCCCGCTGCTCTCCCTTCGGCGCCAGTGCTTGCGCGTCACCCGACGTCAGCGCAACGTCACGCGACGTCAGAGCGACGTCAGCGCGACGTCAGAGCGACGTCAGCACAACGTCAGTGTGACGTCAGCACGACGTCAGAGCGACGTCAGCACAACGTCAGTGCGACGTCACCCGACGTCAGGCGGCGGCGGTGCGGCCCGCCGCGTAGGCGCGAGGCAGCCCGGGGGGAGCAGCGACTTCTGTGTCTGCGGCAGGAGGCTGGGGAGGGAGCGAGGCTGGGGAGGGAGCGCGATCTCCTGGCGCGCTGTTTGAGGTCCCAGCCGTGCCAAGCGCCTTTTGGGAGCCGGCCACTGCAGAGCTGTGGGGCCGTTGCCAGCGTTGCAAACGACTCCCTGTGCCGTGACATTTTTTTTGTATCATTCATCAACATCACGCGCATTTCCTAACAGTGTAAAAACAAAAAAAGATCATATTTAGTAAACATAAACTCTCGTTTCCATGGCGTCGGAACGTTTCTGGGAAGTACCATGATGTGAAATGGTTGAAATGGCTACAGATATGGCAATTCACAGGCGTTGCTGTCTTTTCGAATCCTCATCTGATTTCTCTCTCGAGGTAATGCACAGATGTTTTATCGTGATCTAATACTTGGCATCTCATTTGATGTGTACATTTTATCTGGTTTCATCAGGAGACGATGTTTTTTCAACACAGGGGCTTATTGTGTTGCTACAGGATGGAGCATATTGTTTTAGTTACTTAAATCATGCAATGTGGAATGAAAGAAGATTTATCATGTTTGTTAACGAATTATGATGATGATGATGATTGGCTGGCACAATCTGACCCATGAGACACACGGTCACAAGTCGCACATTGCACCTGCGTCTCTCTGTTACTCATACCACGTGCGTCCTCCCTAGGGCGACGACTCTGACGATGACGAGAAATGCGCCATCAGCGAAAAGTGGGTCTTTGACGCAACCAGCCGCAAGTGGGTGCCCGTCGAGGACTTCCAGGAGATGAGGGGACCCTGGCTCGTGAGAGGCACGAAGAGCAGCAATGGCAGCTCGGAGACGGTGTCCTCCAGCATGAGCACGCAGCAGAGCGCCGCCACGTCGGTCCTCGACGAGCTCGAGAGCGTCGAGGACGTCGAGGGGACGCGCACGCCCCGCCCGGAGACGGCGACGCAGCCCCTCGTCGCCGTGGAGCACGACGAGGACGGGGCGAGGTCGTCCTGCCGGAGCTCGCCGTCGGCTCTGCCCGCGGATCGGTGTGCCGGGGATCGCCAGCGTGCGAGCGGCAGGGCGTGCTCGACTGACGAGGACGGCGGTCCGTCGGTGGCCAAGGGGTTTCTGAAACGAGTGGAGAACTTGAGTTTGAAAAGACACTCGAAACGCAAAGCGGCAGCCACCAAAGAGAGGCTGCAGATCAGCGGTCCGCTTTTGCAAGCCGGTGCCAATGGCGAGCATATAAAACTAACCTCCTGTTCCTGCAAGGGCAATGGTTCATTGAAAATTACGAGCAATGGGCCCCTTGTGAATGGTACCTCAAGCGGCGATAAGGATGATCTTGTGCTGTCACCAAGCAAAATAATCACATCCACCCCCAACTGTTGCGACGCGACGGATCATTCTTGCGGCCCAAACAAAACGCATGTAAATTCACTCAAAAGCAAGGCTGACAATTGCTTTTTAATTAGAAATCAGATCTTTCAGCTTCCTCAAGATTACAAGCCTGGCACCTTCCCCCGCGTGCTGCTGTGCAAGGGCTTTCATCCCAACAGCTGCATGGACGATGACGTCAACTGGCGCACGGGGAGCTTCCACCTGCGCGGCAAGAGCAGGGTGTCGTCGGAAGACCGAGGCGGCGGCCACGGCGATGCTCGGGGCTACAAGGGCCTCGTGACGAGCGCGAGCGCCGACAGCCTGGTGGTCAACCGCCGCTTGCAGGACTGCGACCCGCTCGAGAGGCGAATCAGCCTGTACGACAACGTGCCCTTCACCCAGCTGCCACCCGTCCGGCGCAGGAGCGCAGAGCCCTCGGTTCCCGGGCAGTCGGGGGAAAAGGCGCCGGCTCGGGCCGGAGGGCCGGACCTGCCGTGCGACGTCGACTTCACGAACCTGGACGACGTGATCGAGCACGTGATCGGCGTCCAGCGGACGGTCAGCCTGTGGTCCCAGCAGATGTGGCGGGACCTGCAGGGGCCCCCCGAGGACTCGTCGGGCAAAGAGCCGTCGTCGCTCTCTGTCGAGTCGACGAGCTCGGAGAGCGCATCCTCCGCTGCGGGGAGCGAGGGGCGACCGTTCGCGGTCGTGGACGGTTCTGGGGAAGCGACCGCGCGGACGGAGGCCAACGGGAGCCCGACCGAGGAGCAGGAGTCGCCCACAGAGCCCAGCAGGTGAGGGAGGTCGTCGGATTGTTGCGCAGATTTCGGAGTTGTGCCGCGTCGCTCTTTGATGTGTTTTCGGGTCGGGCCACGTGTTGTTCGGTACAATGTCTGACGTTTCATTGCTGGGGGTTTCCGCGCGCTGGGAGCAAGATATTGCAGACATCGCTCTGAACACTCAGTACAACCAGAGAATACATTCGTAATTGATGGTTTAACGTTTTCAATTTACTTGATTTTGTACGTGCGCAGCATACACTATTCCAAATTGCTTTTCCCACAAAAAGTGTAAATATGAATGTTAACTCTGACAGTAAGAGCCATTTGAATATGTAAGATATCATAGCCAACCGTGCAAATTGGAAGTGCGAGGGAAGGACAACAAACTAAATATAAAAAGCAGTTCCAAAGAAAAAAATATTCTTTCAACTACAAGCTCTTCCAGCCTATAGGGTGCATCGTATACACTTGTCATCATGTTGGCACTTTTTAATGATCAGCATTGATTTGCATTTATTAATTTATTGCGATTCCATGGTAGTAATCATGAGGGAAAACCCCATAATGGGTGGTAACTTAACCTTGCGTTAACTGTGACCGCTGTGTTGTTTGGTAGCGTTGCTCTGACCTATGTTGTAAATTACGTCGCTGAAATGCTGTCTTCACTTTTTTACGAGAACATCTGATCATTTACTCAGCCCTATTTTTTCTTGATCACATTGAGTTCTTAGATATACTTTACTGTGATATGTACCAGTTACTGTATTATATCAATACTAATACAACTTGTCAGTACTTTCCAATGCACGATATACTCTGTACCACATTGGCACTTGTAGAGTTGTATATATATGTTTTTATACTATATGGTAAATTATGCTTGAGGCGCTTTTTTTTACTTATTTTACACATGTACAGCGCATATACCATATTGTTCAGATTCTAAGGCTCTCCACATAGTAAGACCACCTGCAAACGTGTGCCCGGTGTCAATAGAGTTATACAATCTCGTGGCACACACACCACAACTTTTGCTTTCATCTACATGGGGGAGAAAGGGCATGTTATAATCTGGAGAATTAAGTAAATATATTTCCCAAAGATTCCAATGGCTGTTGAAGCAAGCCATTTATATTTACGAGAAAATGTATGATGTTGTCGCGAAACATCATGTATAACAGATACATTCATCCTTGATCAGTTTATTACGGTTTACAGACTTGTTTGAATAAAAGATCACCGATTAATATTTCTCAAATTAAAATGATTGTATATGTTAACACTTGTTAAATCTAGATCGAAAACTAATTTCTTTAGAACTGCTTTGTGTGCTCAGTTTGTTGTGCTTTCCCGCACCTCCGATTAACACGGTTGGCTACGTACGGTGCGAAAGAAGTTCAACATACGTACAGGCACTGAAGGATGTACCCCGCGAGTGTTTCTTGACCGTTTTGTGATGGATGTCGTGATATCGCCTAGAGGCGTGTTCTCCTTGATGACAAGCAAAACTTGGAGGAAAACGTCCGTGTGAAAGTGTGCGTTGTGTTTTTGAAGAGTATCAATTGGGTGAACTGTGTTAACTCTGAAATTCCATTCAGCTGTCTAATCTAAACACTATCCTCCGTCCAAGAAATGTTTTTATTGCATTTTTATTTTTAAAAAAACATTACATAACACTTTTCTTGTTTTGTCCTCGTTTATTCCAAATGATATTTCTCAACATGATATGCAACTGTGGTTTATGAGTAAAAACATCTTTGTTAATAAGCAAATGCAGGAATGTGTCTGCTATATCTACTGCAGTTGTGTACCATATATTTCTCCGTTTCATATATTTTGGGGATTTTCCCCGCGAAATGTAATTCAGTCGTTTTATTGGCGTCATGTAATGAGATGAAGATTCCACGTGGAGAATATTTAGAGAATGTTCCGCAGAAGCGATTTGACACGAAACTTCTCCCAGTAAAAACCCGCAATTTGACTTTCTATCATTTACAGTGTAGGCATGCACTTTAACACTCTGCAGAGAATTTGTCACATGCAAGTCAGACATGTTTCATTCTCGGTGCTCGATTGTAGCGAAATCAAGTGGACATCCAAGTTAAATATTTACCATTTCTATGCATTCATTGTTGCCTGGCCTGAGTTGCCATAATTGTATTTTGATGTCTCGATCGGTGTCCTACCTAAGCGTATTTGCTTTACTTAGTTATCAATATGTCTCTGATGTGTCTGTTCCATAAAACATTAGTTAATACATAATTATTTACTTTATGTTAACTGCTTTAATGTTACTATGTTACTCTTATACTTGTTATCATTATTATGTTATTCTATAATGTTATTGATGTTATTATGATGATACTGTAAACATTTCTTATTCCTGGTATTTTACCGACTCATGTAGAGTCTGCCTTCCCGGTCCTCTCTACTCATTCCTGTCCTGGGTCATCTCCACGTCCACTCCGCAGTCATTCCCTGGTTCACCACTTTACACTGCCTCTTCTATTTTTCAAAAACAAGTGCCATGAAATGTTACGTTCATACGTTGTTCCAGGGAATTTCGCCAAAGTATTTTTTATGACTTGGAATTAGCCTGCTCAGTACTCCAATACTTTTTGGCATTTCACTCTTGGCCAAAATGTCTTTGTTAATTTATGTCCCAATTCCTTCTGAAAAGTAAGCCATAGCTTTGTTTCGTTGCCCATTCTGGTTACTAACAAATAGTTTGCTCACGGTGTGAGACTGGAGTTACCAGTGGTGGCGTCTGGTTCTAGTTTGGAGACAATACAAATGACAGGCCTTCCAGTTTCAGGTTACATTGATATTTAGTTGCCAGTAGAGCATCTAAATATCAATGTAAGAGGCTTTGATGACAATTTCTTCACCTGATAAGGTTCTTCATAGTCTCTTACCTGCCTACATCACATCTCATCTCAACCATCCCAGTGCCCTGGTGTAGTCTATCCAAGGGAGCCCCCAGAGTCGTAAACATCGCTGTGCGGCACAAGTTGTACGCAGCACCGGCAACCTGCAAGAGGACATGAGTCTGCTCGTAAGGAGTGATGTTGCCATGTGGTTTTTCCTATTTCAGTCATTTGTGAGTCATTATTCAAATTAGTCCAAGTTGGACCTTGACGCCGGTACACATGGCCTACTCTTTGTCGAATAGCGTCGTGGGTTATCTCTCGTCCATTGTGAAGTAGGCAGCACATGTCTCATGAGCCGCTGGCCTCGAAGCGCCAACCTCTCCATCAAGTGGCAAACTGGCTGTCGCTCAGCAGTACCACTGCCGGATGGGTAAATACAGTCGGTGAAGCTTTCAAAATACAGGTAGTCCCCGAGTTACGATGGTCCGACTTATGATATTTCGATCTTACGATGGCGATAGCGATATGACAAAATTGCCATCAACAACCTAAAATTGTTCAAGTATGCAGACGACGGACAGAATTTTGGCGAGTACAGTACAATATGATACGTTACGACACGTCCAATTCATGTATGATACGTAGCTTTAGCGATTTCATTTTAAGGTTACCACGATACGATACGTTCAATGATTGTTAAAAGTTTTTATAGCAGATAGGATTGTTTCCTGAAAAAACTTTCTATTAAATTGCAGTTCATATCGGTAGGATAAGAATTTACCTTGTTTTTTTTACTTTTAATTTTACTGTGCAATACAGTATTGTAATTCATAAATACATACACTATATAGTTTATACAGTACGGTACTGTAAATTGCTCTGTTTTGCTAAATTATCACCATTCTTTAAGACTCTTGGGTAGGCTAGGCCATCTTCGACTTACGATGTTTTCGACTTACGATGGGGTCGTCGTAACGCATCTCCATCGTAAGTCGAGGACTGCCTGTAATGGTTCTGCCAGGTGCCAACACTGGTACAGTACCACGTGTCGCTGATGTATCTCAACTATCACTTAATCCAGCTGCACGCGTCGCCCAAGTCCTGGGATCCTGAGACAGAGTTTGTAGCTTTTTCAAACTTGAACGACGAGCCACCACTAGCAGGTATGTTTGCTTTTCATGGTGAGGCACTTGGTGTGCCACGTCATTTTTTTGCAATGGAGGTCTTGGAATCTTAAAAAACTGGAAATATTTTAATTCATATCCAATTTTGATGTAGATTTAAGGACAAATCAGAACAAATGCTTTTACATAACCATAGAATAATAATTCATACTTAACAAAAAACAACTATTACCAATATATCGTGCGAGGGCTGTGTGTCTGTAGTATATTACGGGGTTTATTAGATTGCAGGGTTTAGCAGATTACAGGGTTTAGCAGATTACAGGGTTTAGTAGATTATAGGGCCTAGTAGATTACAGGGCCTAGTAGATTACAGGGTTTAGTAGATTACAGGGCCTAGTAGATTACAGGGTTTAAATCTAAACAGGTAATCGTTGATTGAGCTATTTGGTGGATTTTGGAGCTCGTTGAGAGCCACCAACATGGATGACAGTGCTTGGAGTATTGGCCACCACTGATTAAACCTTTACAAAACACCTCGCACGCCAGTGCACAAACCAGCTGCTGATTACCACTAATAACTTGTAATAAGAAGTAATTACACATAATTGATCCTCAAATGTAACAAGTGTATAATTAGGTTAGCGCCCTGCCAATAAATGTATTTTTGCCGTGCATTTTACATATGCTTCCACTTGGGATGCTACAGATGCAGCCACTTGAGATGTGGCCTTCACAGGGGGGGGGCTCCGACACGCCTGCACTGTGCTTCGCAAGCAAATTGCTTTGCTGAGGGGATTGGCCCTTGGAGCGAGGAAATTGCCTCTGCTGTGACAAGTCACTCGTTACAAACTCACCCCCAGTGTTTATCATTACCAATGCAAGCGTGTTTCTGCTCACACAAAAGTCCATATTGTTGTATTGTTGCGTGGCATTTTTTAATATAAAATAAAGAACGGCACAATTACTTAGCAAGTCACAAATAGATCAGATTTTCTCAGAGTATAGTGTTTACATGACAAACCTTACTAATAAGCTGTGTCGGGTGGTGGCGGGTTTATATACACATTTATATTTACACGATCTAACCCAAAACCCCTCTTATTATGGATATCGGCCGCGAAAACCTACTACGTGATAAACTCATTTAGCTCGCCTAACGCGACAATCATTCACGAATCACCTCCCAGCCGCACGGCTTTGTGAGACTCACAAAGTGCACAGCACGGTGTGTCAGCACTTGCCCTTCAGTGCCAGACGACAGGCGTGATGCGGTGCCCCCCCCCCCCCCCCCGCGTGTGTCTAGCCCGGGGGATCTCGACGGAGCGCTGCCCCTTCTGCACAAGGCCCTGCACGTCACGTCCGTGCCACTGCAGAGCCTGTCCGTGCTGCAACTGCGTGCCCTGCAGACGCTGTCGCTGCTGAAGCTCACCGCTCTCCTGGAGAAATACTCTCCCTCCAACAAACTCGGCTGGAACTGGTAAAAGCGTCATGACCATGGTCATCAGGAAAATAATCATCATCATCATCATCGTCGTCGTCATGATGATGATGATTATAGGATACTGCCCCATTCCAGGTGACCGTTCATAACCATTCGCGAATATCATCACCGTTATCAGTATCGCTATCATTATCAGTTACTCAACAAAACAATGCATATATATGTGCAAATTGGTAAGATGCTGCCATAATGTGATGGTTAGCAGTACACTGGACTTGCAATCCAGAGGTCACCGGTTCAACTCAACTCCCAATGCAGCAGTTGAAATAATGGGGACATATTCTCTGAGCTTCTGCCCACCCAGCAGTATGAATGGGTTCACTATAGTTAGTCAATGGAAAGGTCACGTGTGTGCAGTGGGGTAAAGTATGGGTACTCCCGCCTTTAACAAAACATCCTGCCTGCATGGAAGAGTAGGCCAAAACCCCTCTAGGGGTTCTCTGGTGCTGCCTCGAGTGAAGGTCCTTCTTCCAGTATTTGTGTGAGCAATCTATTGCAGGGCTGCACCTTTACTTCTTCATCATGATCATCTTATTCACTGTGCTTCATCATTGGTGTGGTGTGGAGTGCTCTTCAGATTGCCTGGTGACAAGGACGCTCTATCAAAAACAAGTCATGCTCACACTGGTTGGCGGGGAGCAGAGTTGCGACAGCATAGATTCCACGCCAGGGTGAATTTAATTACACAAATGTAGCTGACTTAAAATAGAATACACTTTCAAATTTCTAAAAGGTCAATTATAAGTGATGATGCAGGAATTGGCTTAGCCTCATGGGTAATTATGGAGGGGAATAGAATGCATGAACTGTGCCTTTGAATCAACTATATTTGTGAGCACACACTCAAACACAAGAGAAGACCGAGTCAAATCAGCTACACTTATTGACAGAGACACACATGAGTTGGCGTGGGTATGGAGGGGTGGGATTCTTTTAATAAATATGGGCTCTATTTGGTTCGCGTGATGACGCGGTGACAACTCGGTGTGCTGAACTTCGTGTTCACGTTCACCAGGGAAAGGCGCGTTAGCCAAGCTCTCTTAGATCCAAATCCACTCGCGAGCTGTATGGTATGTTGAATTCTTTCACACCGTACGTAGTCAACTGTGCTAATCTGTTGGAGCCAATGCTGTTAGCGAGCACCTATGAAGGCTGGCACGGCACACGAGGGGGTGGGTGGCCAACACCATGCCTGGCTGTTTTTGTCTCCCTCGTGACGATGTTTACACACCGCACCAGGTCCAAATTTGAGGCTGAGTCGACCTAGAGGAGTGCCCATGACCGGTTCAGATAATCGTCACCAGGTGTCGGTGGCCACGAGCGGGAATCGAACTCGGATCGCCGGGTTCGTAGCAGAGCACACTAACCACGACACCACCGCTCCCCACACCGACACTCACGCAGGGCTGTGCCCAGCTTCATGAAGAGAATTAAGATGCCCGACTCGAGGGAGGTGAACGTCTTTGGGGCCCCCCTGCTGGCGAATGCCCAGCGCACGGGCCGCAGCCTCCCGCCCGGCATCCAGGAGGCCGTCACATTTCTCGCCCAGCACGGCTGCGACCAGGTGAGTGAGTGGGTGGGTGAGTGGATGGGTGGGTGAGTATGTGAGAAGGCCAGTGCTTGTAAGGGTAAATGGGTGAGTGGTGGCTGAGTGAGTGAAACTGATGAAACCTTGGATGAAATGTGAGCTACTGTGTATTATGAGAGCTGTATGGGTGCGTCTGTGTGTTTGGGATTATGGGGATGCTCGCTGGACTTGCCTTCACAATTCATAACCCCAATTGGGACTCTCTGCGTGCACGCAGGTTGGCCTGTTCCGCAAGTCGGGCGTCAAGTCGCGCATCCAGGCGCTGCGCGACGCCAACGAGGCGTGCCGCCAGGGCGTCACGTACGAGGGCCACTCTCCCTACGACGTCGCCGACCTCCTCAAGCAGTACTTCCGCGACCTCCCCGAGCCGCTGCTCACCAGCCGCCTGTCCGACTCGGTGCTGCTCCTCTACCAGTGTGAGCACAGCCGCTCCGGTGCCATGCCCCCCCCCCCCCCCCTTGTCGCTTTGTCCACTGACGAAGCTCTTCGGCCACGCTGTCGACCTGCGCCAGCCCCAGCCGGGACTTCCATCGCAGAGCTGGGACGAGCGGTCGGTTACCATGGTGTTACCATGGTTACCATGGTTAATCGAAAAATATTGTCGTCTAAACTTAAACTAAACTATTTATATTTTACCAGGCAAGGCCCACTGAGCTATACAGCTCTTTTTTCAGACACGACCTGGCCACAAATGATAGCTCAACGAAGTGGCTTACCACGTGGAAATGTATAGCAGCAGCCAAATACTCTAAACTTGCGTTTCTAGTCGACTGCCTTTTTGTGGTCGGCTACTCCGGTGGCTTTATAAAAAGGGACCATGCTGACATCCTGTCTGAGGATGCTGCTGACATTACCAAGCCCTGCCCATCACATCCCGTCCGCCGTCACACGTGAAAATAGAGGTTAATTTATTCGCATTATTTTCCCTGATTCGCTAAAGGCAAATTTCCTTACACGATTAGTGGGGTTATCAAACTGATAAATGTTAGAGTTATCAATTACTAAATAATCAGATAGCCCAGCTCCAATACAGGAACTTATCAATCCTTCCAGGCATCTGTCGATATATATCTGTCCATCCACCTGTCCATCCATAGGTGTAGACGACCGTCCATAGGTGTCCGGTCCATCCGTTCACCTGCCTGCCCGTGCACTCGTCTCCCCCGCAGTCGTGCCGAAGGAGCAGCGTCTGCAGGGCCTGCAGGCGGCCGTGCTGCTGGCGCCGCAGGAGAACCGGCAGGCGCTGCAGGCGCTGCTGCACTTCCTCGGGCGGGTGGTGGAGCGCTCGCACGAGAACCAGATGACGGCGGCAAATCTCTCCGTGTGCCTGGCGCCCTCCATCTTCCACCTCACCACCCTCAAGCGCTGGAGGCTCATCCTCCAGGTGCAAGCGGCCACCCAGAGGCTCGTGCGTGCCTTTGTAACGTCCGCCTGCTCTGTCATGCGCGAATTTGCTGGGTTTGTCACGACGTGGCGATGCTACGATGTATCATCACACGACGAGATAAGGTCCACCACGCTAATCATGCTGTCCGTTTCGTAAAATGCCCTTCTATCTTTGATTGTCGCTGCTCTTTTTTTCACATTCGTTTTCACTTTAATAGTTTAACGACCGTGTTGTGTAACAGGACAGCGCGTGCTTTCATAAGAATTATAGATTGTGAATCCGCAATGATTAGACGATTATGGCTGGCTTCTGTTGAGTGAACTGCAGTTGAACTGTTAAGTGATCTATATTTGTACTGCACAGATACAATACTGTACAATAATAATGAAAAACATAATTACAACTTTGTGGGAAATTGATATGGCGATAATCACCCTGTCGTGAACGTTCATGTTGTGTCGTATTGTTGACGCCATCCAGCATTCCCTCGCTTCATCCAGCCCTCGGACTTTCCCCCCAGAATCCTCGCTTTCTCGAGCTTCGTCCACTCAGTAAGCCTTCCCCCCTGACAGCGTACCTTAGCCGGGTCATGCTGCCTTCTCCTGGTAGTCGTGATGAGATGTATTCCTTCCTGAACCTGCTGATTCACTGTCAAATCTTACATCTATTTGCGGGAACTTATTTTTTTTTACTCGATAGAATGGTTCGGCAACTATTTCCCGTGGTGACTGTTGGCAACAACAATATCACTCACATTTCTCCGGTGTAACATGAGATCTTGATCATCCGGAACGGCACTATGTTAATGTTATATTGCAGTTGTATGATGGCCTCATTGAATATGCTACTCAAATAATTAGAATAGCTCTTATTGTGTAGATGCTTACTTTGTCCGTGTGTCAGGCAGAACAACAACACATCAAACCCTCCGTAGTAAGCGGACAATTCACTTGAATGTTACTTTCAAAAGTGCTACGATGACACCACAGTAGTGAACATGGAAATGTATTATTGTTACAAAGTGTGTATGTGTTTTTACATATTAATACCAATCATGTTTGGTCCATCAGCCTATTGGCTTTCCAATATTATTAAGCAGCACTTGTTGTTGAAACAAGCAAACTCTCAGCACTCGTAAAAGTAATTAATGAAGCTCCAAAATGATATCGAACATCCCGGGACACACAGCTTGGGAGTATACCTGCGAATTAAAAGCAGTTTAATATTTTGTATCGCACCAGAATATTTTGTATCCCACCATTAATATTCTGATTGAACACTGAGCAGTTGTTAAACCGGATCCACCCTTGAGCCCCCAGTTGCACGGCTTGGTTGCAGACATCTGAATTGCTTCTGTGTGAACGCCTCTGCAACCAGGTGCAAACAATTGGACAGACTCTGCTTTCAAGCCACCATGTTCAGCTACTCGTAGTGACGTGCATAATCACACGCAAATGTGTGAACTACGTAGATTGATGTGACAATCCTGAACACGCCGTTTCATTTCCTTGTTGCGCAACTCGTCGCTCGGATGTGGAGAAAGCATTCGCAGGCGATGACCAGAGCACGATTTTGAAGTCGAGTTTTGCAGCTGATGGCTCAGGTGTGGACCCGGCTTTACCGCACTGCAGATCCCTGCAGAGGAAGCCAAGCCTGGGCAAGCCCGACCTGAAGGAGCTGAGTGAGAACCTGGCAGCCTCTCAAGCGTTGGCACACATGATCAGCAAGTACAACAATCTCTTCCAGGTGACAGCTTCTATTCTCTTCATGTATGTATTCATTTTGTTTAAACTGATTCTACAACTGGTTATCCTGTCGGTGAATTAACCGGCAGCAAAGTGCTGCAGTAAAACATATAAACCGAGGTATGAGGCAGTGTGACGTTTGGCTTGACGTTGTGCAATATCAAACATGTCAATCGCCACTTTCACAGCCACCGTGTTGTTGGCGAATACACGGAGCTTTCTTCATTACCCGTGCACATCTGTCGCTGAAATAGTATCGCTGAAATAATCGTTGAAATCGCCGCACGCTCGCCGAATCCCCCAAACCGTCGTTGCCGACGTTCCAGGTGCCCGTGGAGATGCTGTGGAGGTGCGGCGCGATGAATGCGGATGAGGGCTGGGCGGCTCCCGGCACCTCCGAGCTGCGGCTGGCCGAGGGCGGACGCCCGGGCCTGAGTGATCTCCTGGATGGACGCGTGCTGGAGCTTCTGAGAGAGGCTCGCGATAAGTTCCGCGGGTGGACAGCCGTCCCTGACTGCGATCTGGCTGAGCTCGCCTACAAGAAGGTAATCGATTTAAGCGTTAAGGAAAGGGTAAAGCCTATTCTCATTTTTCATGCATTGAGATTCTTTGCTGTTGTCATCCAGGGGTTGCCGGTTCGAACTCCTGGTACTCGCACCGCTTAGATGGATGAGGAGGCCAACATACCTCTGAGAGGGGCTCTCTATATATCTTTCGAGTGAAGGCCCTTCTGACAGCAGTGGCATGACCAAGTAATTGCAAGGCTGCACCTTTACCGTTTGTATAATATGTCAAAATTGGGCTGGTGCGAAGAGATGTCGCAGTTTTAAAGAGAACTCGACGGTAATAATGATAAATTGCAGCTCTGAGATTAAAAGATCGGTTTGACTTGCATGCGATGGAGATTGATCACATGCAGAGCGAGTGAGAAAGTGCTGCCCTCTACTGAGTGGATCAGATGTTACTTGAAGGAATCTGAGCGGTAGCTCTGTGATCTCTGCTGCCGCATGCCGTTATCGTACTCCGGCACGAAGGCTTTTGCGCTGTTCGGTGAGATTCCCAATTGATTCTCACGACACCGACAGCACAACTGAGGTACTTGACAACAACAACAAATACCAGTCTCGTTTTGAACGGATGTGATGCTTTGCCATCAGATCGAGGACGGGAGTCCTCTCAGGCCGTGGAAGGCGTGCGTAGAGGTCGGAGCTCCGGCCTGTGAGGTCCTGCACCGAGTCCTCCGGGAACGGAACCTTTGGGACCCCGATCTCCTGGGGGAGAGCATCCTGGAATCGCTGGACGACCAGACAGAAATTTACCAGATCGTTCAGGATGCTACGCCCCTGTTTTCCAAGCGTGACTACGTGCTGCTCAGGTACTTACCAGCTCGGGGAGGCCAGTGCATTCAGTAGAATGGAGCTGGCACTGCCGGAATTCGGGATTGTATTTTGGGTTTCGCCCCATCTGTGATTAAACTAAGTGTAGCGAGTTGGTGGCCCTGGTCAGATCAACAACAACTGCACATTACTTCGGTTGACACAAAATATATACTAATCCTTAAGTATTCATGGAATAAAATGTTGATGAATATCTCTAGAGTAGGATACATGAGAATATGCGGCATGAATTGAAGGCTTTTCAGAAGTGGTTCGATAATATCATCTTCTGCAGGCAATTCTATCACACGCAGTGATGTATTTCTTTGGGAGAGTTCCACCTAGACACTTCATCTCACGGCATGACACTGATAGCAATGAAAAATGAGAACGGACAAAATATAATCATCATCATCATCAGTCGCCATGATCAATCCACCGCTTTACGAAGGCCTCCTCAAGCCACCACCATCTCACAAGCTTGCAATGCAACATTCGCATCCAGCAGCATCTACACATAAACTGGTGCCATTGCTCCATCTCCACTTTGGACATATTCTCGAACGCATTCCATGCCTTGGCTGCCACCCCGCTATTATTTTTTAAACGTCGTCCGTGATTGTCGTTGACCGTATTTTTAAAATATATATATTTAAGATATATACTGTATATATATACTGTGCATCGTGGGGCAACAATTCTCTGCCAACGTTTCCTCTGCAGGACGTGGCGGACAGATCTTCCCAAGGGCTGCTGTGCTCTCACAGCCGTGTCCGTGCAACACGCGCTCGACAGCGCCGCCGACACGGTGCGCGCCCTGGTGCTCGACTCGCGCTACCTGGTCGAGCCCTGCGGCGCCGGGCGCTCGAAGCTCACCCACGTCTGCAGGACGGACGTCAGGTAAGCGTCGGCCCGCTGGTCCAGCGCTCTGGAGGCAAGGAGGGTCGGTGGATCCGCACGTAGGTTTGTCCGAGATCTGGATTCGCGTACGTGGGGCGGTTTGGTCAAACGCCTCGGCAACCGCGAGGCTCCTTGCGGCACGTCGCGGTGCCCTGCTGCTGTCTAGCCACGCCGACCCCAGTGGCGGCCCTCGCCGTGCGCCACAGAGTGCGCACAGCAACGGGCCCCGCGAATGGGAATCTCGATCAGCGGGAGGCAATGCCGCTAAGTGGTGTTTTACAATTGAGTAATTTGTGAGTAATTGATCAAATTCGGACCATAACGTCTGCGCACAAGACCTACTCCTGATCAAAAACACATCATGGGATCTTTAACATCCCCTGTGAAGCAGATGGCAAGTTGTTTATGATTAATAAACCCTTAGCACAAGGGCGACTGCCTTACAAGGAGGCAGTCACTGTCAAATGGTCTTGGCAGAAACCATATTGAAAAGTGTCCTGAAGTCCACGGGTGATATGAAAGATAACCTGTTCTAGACTTGCCCAAGGGTAGGGAGGTTGCCAACATGGTGGAAACATGTCGCCATGATGGGGTCCCAGTATGGATGCTTTCACGATAGTTGAGAGCTACCAGAGGAGATGGAGGCATTTACGAAGGGTGCGAGGGTGGGGGTGCTGGCAGGGATAAAAGCAGTTGGAGGGGTATAAAGGATGCGAGAATATTTTGTTATGATGAAGATAACGGCGGTGATGTCATCGTGGTTGACGTGTGGGGGAAGTGGAGTGGAGGTACTGGGGAGGCAACGAGAGGACACGGAACAGGAGGAGTACAGTCCGAGTGAGGATTCGCGTGTCCCTATTCACGGCACTTAACTATTGGCAAGCGCTCTTTCTTGAAATTACGTTTGGTCTCTGATCCATGTGCGTGGCGCGCTGTACCTTTACGCTCCTCTAAGCGTGTGCGTTTTTATGGTGGCGTATTGGCCCGTTCCAATCGTTGGGTGCATTTTAAAGACACCCCGTGGTTACAAGCTGCGGGTATAAATAGTTTGTTTATTCCAGTGTAACCACAGTGCACTATGTAATTGGAGACTAATTGGAAGCAATGTAATTAACTTTAAACTACTTTTGAACATGTTTGCCAAATTACTCTACCCAATTTACTGCATAAACATCTAAGCCTCTCTTAGGTTAATTAAAGTGTTTATTCCACATTTAAAGCACTTTAAACATTTAAAAAATCATAAGTATCATAATCTTGCTTTTTTAATGTGCATCTTGCAGTTGTGTTCATCTGCTGTATATTGAATCTCGTCTTTTTCTCTTGCCATGAATGTGGAAGTTATCTTTAAAGTCCACAAGAGTTTTGTTTATATGGATCTCTCAAGCACTCAATTTCTGAAATCTTTATAAACTATTGGCAAACATGTTTATTTCATATTCACAATGCTGTTTCAGTTCCCTCTCTAGCATATGTTAAAAAAACACAATCCTCTTAAAGCGCTCGATATGGACATGTTTCCACTATTTGTACGACATTGAGATGTGGTCGCATACAACGCTGTGTAAATACAAATTGTACGTGTGGCGGAGTATACCTGCCACTCCCGTAATGGTCTCTGTTCCACGTGCTTAGTGCTCTGTCTCTTTTAACAAGTTAATTTATGAGCCTTGGACTCTATATAACCCGGCTCTAATGGGCCCCTACACACCACAGCGCCCATCATAGTGCCTTGCGTTCGCTGAACTGTCCTTCACAATAAAAGTTCCATCTTTTGCAGAGACCCGTGCAATCATAATAACAACACATCAGTCCTGCACCCTGGCTGAGTGGTAGCGCGTTCGTCGCCTGTTGCAGTGGTTCGTGGTTTGAATCCAACTGCCGCCCCAGTTAATACTGCGGGTGAATTGATCGTAAAAACACACACAGTCTGCTTCAGATTGGACTTCAAAGATCCCGTGCGTCATTTGCAAGTAGAGGCCATTGCGCACCAACGTCATGGTCCGCATTTGCCAAGTCGAAAATGACCCGCAAACGACGTAACTGGGATGACACGTGGCAATCACTGCCCAACTGCTGGCAGACTGTTGCCGTTTGCCAGCCGGGTGCTATGTCACCTTGCGGCCACAGTGGATCCCCTTTACATTGTATGAGGTGAGATGTAAAGCCCTCTGAGATGTCCCAGCATATAAGGCACTACTGTATATCAAACACAAATCGGTATTACCCCAACCTGGAGCATCACCGCCATGTGTTGTTGTGCGTCTGGCAGGGGCCGCTCCCCCGACTGGTACAGGCGAGTGTTCGGACTGCGGTGTGCGGCCAAGGTGGCGAGGATCCGCAGCTCCTTCCAGCCGCCATCTCCGACCAAGCTGTAGTGCCGCGTGCCCACGCGGACGACATCGCCGTCATCTTAAACTCCACAGTGCCACTTGCTCGTGCTTTTCGTCCACCTCTTGCCCATTATAACGCTTTGCCTTATGTCAAATAGGTATTAAAAACAATAGGCACCGCTGGTGTATGGGCATTGCTTACACCTCGTGTTTATTTGGCCGACTTAGCACAAGGTATTGTGTACTTTAATGCATCTTTATGGGTCTAAAGCCATAGTATTTTTGTCCTTTAGGACTCTGCTGCTCTGGTGTTAAGTCGGTTGATAGACATGAATAATAAGCAGTAATGGTGGGTTCACACTGGATCACTTAACGTACAGAACGCAACGGCCACCTAAGTCTCGCTGGAGTGACGTAAAGTTAACATGCTGCTCTCGTCGCTGGGTTGAATTTAGAAAAAGGTGCAGAAAGCAGCAGCCTATCAGGAGTCGGTGGAGTAGATGGGGACACGCCAAGAGCAATTGTCACACACCACGTGACACACCGGGTTACCCAAACATTCAATAAAGCTCCACTGTGGTGATGTGACCACAGTTTCCTTGTCGCAAAGCACATGGCATCTACTTTACGCATGCCGAAAGTCCAGTGTGAACCGTCACCCATAGCAAAAGCAAGAATAATACTTTCTTAGAAGAGTGAACCATGGCCCCACATTCCACTGCAGCTTCCAATTGGACCTGTGCGTGAGGTAGCTGTCACAGAGTAGACCTCAATTCCAGTCCTCTGAACTCTTACCACCTGCTAGATATAGTGTCTCTTGTTATCCAGTCTTTTGGGTCATAAACATGTGGCAAATGGTCATGTGAATGAGCTAATGTGTTGATTCATAAACATGGAATTGTGGAATCATCGAATGGTGTGAAATTGCGATTTAATGGGCAATGTGGTGTTCCCTCGTCAAGACAGATACAGCTTGCACCACGCACAAAGGCTTCCCATCTTTGTTTTCTTCTTCACACGTAAATAAGTGATGTAGCATAAAAGCATCAATACATCACATTGCATTTATTTAGCATTTCCACTCAGATATACAATACGTTAGTCACAAACGTCAGGAGTTTAACAAACTAAAATAGCATGAATTTATAATAAAGAAAAATATGCCATGACATACAGCTTCTAAGACGTACCATGCTCTTGTTATTCGTGTAGATTTATGCAAGTATTTTTTTATACCTTAAAGGAATGTAATACGACTTCAACTGCATTATCCACTTGTTTATCTTGTAATATGATGTGTATGATATAGGGTAGTTTTATATACTGTGCTGTGTTGAATATTTCCTCGATTATATTGTCACCATATGTATCCATTGCGTAATATATTTTACATGCGGAATGATTGCACTTAAACTTGGATTAAGACATAAAATGGCAGTATTTTTACAGTAGCACAACTTTCATTGTTAAGTGTACATGTGTATAAGTAAAGCTTATTCTTTTCACTGATTGCGTGTGATGCTTGCAAAGGGTCCTGTCCTATTGAAACCAAGCAGACCTATTGTCTGGAGGCCATGAGCGCGGTTGGCTGGCTAAGTATGGCGCGAAAGAAGTTCAACATACATACACATGACACATTCAAGAGCACTGTATCAATGGCGTTTTAGTGACCGCTAATGAAGCGATGACTCTTCACATTGCACGTCATTTTAAAGCCAATTTGGTAGTAACGACAATTTAAGATCTACCAGTGGAAAGCCTTGCGAAAGTTACAAGTTTGTTTTACAGATGGTCCTACTTTGATTATTTATTAACTTCTTTAATATTTTATACGTGGAGAAAAACGAATATCTCCAGAAAACCCACACGCATCGTAAGAGGAAAAAGATATTATTTGTGTGATAACTGATACAAATGTTACCATCATGGAATACCATATATTGTAGTGATATTTAAACGCATGGGTGATTCAATAGAAGATCTGAATTACTGCAAGCATAGAACATTACTCAAGAGTTATTCCAATTGTTATAAATTGCAAGTTGTGTACAATGTGGCCACGATAAATGTGTGATTTGCAAGTCCGCATATTCCAATTCTGATTACGTTCACATCAATTGATTTCCTGGGCCTTCCAAAATGGGTGGTGTGTAGACATTAAATCTTGAGAACAGCTAACGGACTGCTAAGTGATGGCACTAAGTACTGTACTTTGTACCTCTGATGCAGCCATCAATATTTAGCTGCATCTCGAGACCCACCCAAATATGGCCAAAAGTACGATCTCATCAGTTTAAAATAGCACTCAGAAATATGTAAAAACCACACAGCCATTGTGCACATGCAAAAACAATCAGCATTTCCTGAAGGGGAGTGTCTTGTCGTTGTCTTGTCTTAGGGCACCATCATAATACATGTGAGAAAATGTGACCAATTGATGGTAGCAGTGATGCCGTGATGAATAACTGTTTTATTTTGACTTAAAACTTTGATGACTGCAGGAATTCATATTCTTTGGTTATTTCGGTAAAGTCACGTAAATAGAAAAATAATAATAAAGTGAATAAAAATGATAGAAATAAAAATAATAAAACCCCAAAAACATTAATGTAGTCTACAATGTAGACTGTAGCCTGGTTCTTAACCTCGGTGAGTGTACTGGCAGTCTATAATGTAGACTGTAGCAATGGTTATTAAACTGAGTGAGCGTACTGGAAGTCTATAATGTAAACTTATTCTTGGTTCTTTCAGTAATATAAAATACAAATAATAATAAATAAAGATTTTTAAAACCACGACGTTTCGATCACAACACAAGCGACCATCTTCAGGAGTAAAGAGGGAGATAGATGGTCACTTACGGCAATCGTTTATAAAGGTTTCAAAAATGGGCGTGGCACAATTTTAAGCCAATTTAGGGGCACCGTAATGTGACTTGTCCTGCGAGAGTCGGCCAATCTCCTGGCACCGGGAAACCGTGGGACTTTCCCTCTAGGGACCCTTCGGATTAAAACCCCTTGTGCCAGGCAATCCCCCGCTGGGACACGACGTGTGTGCGTGTGTGTGCTCAGGGTGGGGGCCAGGGGGCGGCCGTGGCAGCACAGAACCACCATGCACTTTGTCATTAAATGCTGACGATTGGAACACACGCACACAATGCTTGTGTTACAATCGAGACACATTTCTGTGTTATTTGAAGCATGGTTTTCCAGCCTGCACTATTTTTCCAATGACTGTTTTTTATCTCTCAGAATTTACAGATTTTAATATACTCGATATGATCTCAACAAATATTGGTGCGTATAGAAATGTTTTAAACAGCACTAACATACACTTTGGTTCCGCATACTGCATCCTTGCACCATTCTCCCAATGAGCAAGATCAACCAAGTAGGATCTACGTGATTTGAATCGAGACGCATCCAACCTTGGACTGAATTCGAGTGAAAAGGGGTGATTGCTCTCCCATGAATCGGGCACGCCACGCGGTAATAATCTCACTCTTGCTGTGGTCCAGTGCTCACAACTGGAGACCTGGCAACAATTAATGTCCAAGCGCGGTCTGTAAATACCATTCTCAAAGAGGTCCTGCAAGGGATACAACACAGCTTTGCACATGCTGCGATTAGGAAGCTAATTGCTGCCAGGCCCAACACCGGGCTTGTCTCTGACATCTTTCTCAAATAGGGGTCCGTCATCTCTACGCTGGCTCGTTTTAACTGGATCCTCTCTTCCCCGAGTACTCCACAGCATTACGAGATAAGCTCACCCGTCACAGACAGTCGGGAAAGTACTTTCTTCTATAAGCTTCACTCAAACCTCGTCACACAGACAACAACCCGAAGTGGCGAGCGGCACTGCATTCGGCAAGCATGCCTTGCTGATGAGACTTAATGTTGAAACCAGTCCGGAGTCTTGCTTGTGTTGAACCATTTCTCTAGCCGTCATTATGCACTCCCAGAAGGCCGTGTGGCTATTGGGATGTGTAACAAACATTTTATTTTAACGCAGAAACAAACACATGAGGGCATTATCGTCAGCTCACGTGTTGAGCTGGAATTTGTACAAACGATAGAATCATCGGTCGGGTGCAAAGGTCAGGTGAGAGGTGAGTCGTTGTCTCTGGATCCATGACACGTCTACATCACCAACATTACTCATCACGAGGCATCGCGGCCAAAATCAATGATCTCAGCAACCAGCAAAGCGTCTCAACCAAGACGCCAATCCCGCCACTCGCCCACTGGGGTCGCCAGTGGGCCAGAACCGACGCAACACACGCAACACATTCACATATATAAATAATCTCGCCCAACTCCGCGTCGCCTTTGCGAACTGGGATTTAAAAAACCACCGTCAGCGCTGACGTCCGCCCAGGACCGTCCCACTGCAGCACGAGGGGTAAGAGCCAAAGTCGCGGCCACTCGCCACGCGACTGAATCCCCATCGCGGAGCGTGACCCGCGCCGCGGTGCTGAGGCCGCGCGGTGGCCGCCGCGGTCGCGCCTGGCCACTCTGCGCGGGCCGAGCGTGCCACACGGGATGCGGGTGCAGGGGGGGGATGAGCGAGCGAGTGATGATGATGATGATGTCCCTGACGATTGGGATGGGCGGTGGTGACGACGCCTCGGTGGGAGGGCCCGCTGCCGCCTCTCGGGCCGAGCAGGAAGCGCAGAAGGCGCTTGGAGCTCGCAAGCAACATTAGCGCGCTGCCCCCGGCCGGCAGGCGACCCGTGGTGGCGGCTCGTACATCGCGACAGCGTTGACGAGACGCACACTATTTTGTCTTTGCCGTGGCGGTGACATCATCGAGTCTCTACAAGTAGGTCGACACGCATTGAAATGTTTATACATTAAAGACTTGTGCTGCTGCTGCTGCTGCTGCAGCGAGTGCGATGGGGTCTGTGCATAATCTCTCCCTTGGGCCCCCTTGAGCCAGCGGTGGAAATTCCGCATTACTGTGACGGGGTCGAGGATACCCCTACCAGAGGACAGCCTGGATTGTCGTGTTGGGAATCCTCGCTGAGTTTCTGGATTCGTTAGCAGGAGACACCGCATTGCGATGACATTCCATGATTCTTTTGCATGGACTTGTTTTACTTTAGAGGCTATGATTAGCAGTGGTTCACTACGAACTGCCTGTGGCCCCTGCCATGGCAATGTGGATTTTCCACTACTGGCACAGGGCAGCAAATGACAACATTACCTCCATATTTCGGCATGAGCGTTTGACTAAAAGTTTGGTACGTGATTCACAATTTATTTTTGGGTTTGGCCACGTCATTCTTGGGTTTGGTCAAATCTTGTGTCGTAAGCCAGATGCAACGTTGAGTCAACGTTGGCATGTGGTTGGAACCATTGGACCAACGTTGGCCCAGCGTCCCATGTTTACTTTGAAGCCCCGTCACCACCCAACATCGCCAAACAAATGTTCTTGCTGTGTTTTTCACACCTGATGATAATTGCTTGTGTTGCAGTCGAAACGTCTTGAGAATTGTATTGTTTTATATTTGTATTATTTAATTGTTTCCCTTCTACGTGACTTTACCGAAAGAACCAAGAATATGAATCGCCAAACAAATTAAACGGTCATTGGTGCAAGCGTTAAACGCAGCAGTTATTGTTTCTAAAATCATGTATGGATCATTGTCTCAGCTCAAGGAACTTAAGGACAAGATCGAGGAGGTTAGACTAAAGTCCATGAAGTCGTAGCGGCTGCCAACTCCTGCGTGCTAGTTGGGTAGATAGTTCACACACCTCGTGAACTTGGCGTTGGGCTTTAAGCCTCTCTGTGTCGCGTTGCTTCTCTGTGTCCCTTGGTGCTGCTGCTGCTGCGTTTGTTGGTAATTGCCACTCCCACCGGCCCGTGGCCTCTGCAGAAATGCTGTCGGGCAAGGTCCGTGTGAGGCTGGCCAGGATCCGGTGTATCCTGGAGAGCGTCCGGTGCTTCAGAGATGGCCTGCCGCTGCCAGAAGCGCTCTGCTACGTACCGAGGGAGGTGGTCTACATGAGTGTGCGTCAGGGCGACTCCGCAGGCCCTCCCGACTCCGAGGGACCTCAACGCAGCTCCCCGTTGCCTGGAGACGGCGTGTGGGACCGTCCTGGACCGGGCTCTCAGGCCCCGGCAACACCTCCACCTCGCATGGTGGTCCCCCTGGCAATGAGCGAGGGGGCTTTGGTGAGAGCGAGCGGCGAGCTGTACTGTGATGGGACGGGCGCGTGGGCCAAGGTGTTGCAGGTGAGAATTTAAAACGAGGACGTACGTGGATTCTTGAAACGCTTTCCGACGTGCGCTAGGCTTTGTACGTATTTAATCGGAGGCATGGGAGCCGAAAGGTTGCTGCGATCGTTTATTTCACACATCATCATCATATTCATGAAATACCATCCTCATCAACTTCATGAAATATTCATGAAATACCATCCTCATCAACTCATCTCATTGCACTTGTGCTGTAAAAACAGTTAATTGTTTAACACCTTGCTGAAGACGCTCTATAAATACGATGAGACTCATTGGCATCTTTGGACATTTACGCCCTTGAGTGTCTCAGTTTTGAGCAACCTTTTGATCAATTTGGGAAATTTTCTGCAGGTGAAGTCCCTAATAGCAACACCATTTTTTTGTAAAGTTCAATTTATTTTGACTCATGCGCACAAGAGTCAGCGTGACCCCACCCATGTTCCACACAGACAGACGGACTGATGGATATAAGTTAATGCTACACTTTTAACATGAATTGAAAAGCATTCAATACGAGTTGGTGTTTCGAGATGGCTAGCTGACTTGGAATGCGAATACCGTGTCAGAGCACTGCAGCAGCAGCACCACTGAGGTCATGGATGGTTTTAGATCCGGGGATACACCCAAGTAATTAAACTGAGTTCTGAAGTGTAGCAAACTGATGAGCAATGAATGCACCAAAGAATGTGACATTTCGAGTTTAATTCGCCGTACATCCAGCCCTGGGGAGTACTTCATTTTGGTTTGGTTGCCATGTGAGGAGCGCTGCTGATTAGTGTGGATGAGAGGTCTTGAAAGACCATTTTACTTTCATCCACCTCCCCAGAGACTTTTCTCTGACGTGAAGTGATGTGCCTGCTTACTTGTCATGCACAATGGGAATATAATTGGGCAAATAGTTTTTTTTAAACCGGTGGCTCAATGTTTCAGCAAGCAGTAGGCTGGTGCTCATTTTCATTGGCTACCCTGGGCCAGCATGAGCATTTCTGAAAGTAGTAATGATCAAGATAGTATGAATATGTGAACGTGCAGCCCTGCAGTCGCTGGCTCACGCCACACCTCTCAGAAGGGCCTCCACTAAAGAGAGCCCCTCCAGAAGGTGCTTTGTTCTCTTCCACTCTGGCCAGACGTCTTCGAAGAGTTGGGAGGACCCACACTTTACCCAACCACAGACCACCTTCTTAACCCTTTCCGATTCCCATGATGTACATGTACGTCATCAGTTTTTTTGCCGATTCAATTCCGATGACATAAAATAATTTTATCGGTACCGAGGCTCCGACGAGGCCATGCGGGAGGCGTGTGGCACAGTTTGGTGCCAGCTATCATCGAGTGCGGTTGTGTGGCTATGGTTCTTTGGGGTGAGTACAATGTATCTAAAAACACCAGTGCTACGCCTCTCTAAATAAAATTAAAGCTGAGCCACTGGGGCATTCCGAGATTCAGCGGTGAACGGGACCCCACGCTGCAACTTGCAGACGTCACGGAACGGGAAAAGGTTCAATGACTGCGGTGTACCCATTTACACTGCTTGGTCTATATAGGTGGAGGGATTTTAAAAAACGTGCCCACTCTTTCAACTGCCATGCTGAGAGATCAATTCTGACCGGAGTACCCTGGATTGTCCAGTGTGCCAACATTTTCACCAGAGTGATATCCTGCAATCCTTTTTAAATGAATGCCTCGCTTGGTCTCAAATTTCTTGAAGGAGATTCCAGGGATTATTTTATCAATTCCTAAATAAATATTTTTTGCACGTGGGAGGAAAAGTGATGTATCCAGAGAAAACCCACATGTGCATACGCAAAAAACCTCGTGCATAAATATTTGCAAGGGAATTGGCCACGCAGATCCTCTGACAGGCCCCTACTGACAAAGAATCCGTGTGTTCAGTTGAGAATTTCCTGAGTTAGAAAAACTTTGATTAAAAAATGTCACGTACGTTTCAGCGCATGTGCCTCTGTTTTAAGATTGGATCACACATGCAACATTTTTGTAAAAACATGTAGACGTTCGCACGTAAACAAGACATGTGACGGGCAACCATCTTCAGAGCATGCCATTTGATTAGTTTCCCTTTTTTTGTACCGTGACCAAAGGATAACTCTTAAAAATTATTCTGACACCGATGTTATCCTAGAATGAGCGGTGTGCCTCGAGGGCTGTCTGTGTTTTGATAATCGGTTTATGTTTTCCTGAAACACGTGGCCCTTAACCCAGCTGTGAAACTTGCCTCCACGGCCTCAGAGCATGATGTTTTTATTTTATTTTGTTATTTTATGTTCCTACTTGCCAAAGTTCATGAAGGCTACACGCGAGTAACAAAACAACCGTTGAACGGTGAAAATATCTTTGGTAAAATGTACAGAGTAATTTTCTTGGAAATTATTCCAAAGCAAGGTTTAGGCGGCTTGTGACAGCACAACTGGAGGTACGTTATGTTTCTGCTGACTCGCTATGCACAGAGAACAATGCCAAATTCAGCAGATACAAGAGGAGGATCAGCAGGGTGCATTGTTGAGGGGTTTGTGGAACTGTGATGGTCATCTCAATGGGGAAGTTAGTCTTGGAGTTGACAGTTTCTATTTGAATTAATAATTTTCAAAATGAGCTCTGTATGGACTGGTTGATATTAAAAATTGCTGTATGGTCTTTTCACGTCCATTATACAGGGTGATTGATATACAGATACCCCACTGAAATAATACGTGGATAATTTTAGAAACGAAGACCAATCTCAGTCGACCTATAATTTGTTTTCATCAATCTCCTCTGTTAGCGATGACGCCATCACTTTCACAGTGTTCAACATTCAATCGCCTGTTGCCGCTGTTCCCTCAACGCTCGATGTGCGTGCCCTCTTCGTCACGGCCATGTTTTGTTTTCAGCCGGAGCTCGGAAAACTCGGCTGTCCGAGTGACATGGAGGAGGGCTGGGTTCTCCTCTATCGTCCTGAGGATCATAGGATGGCATTCGTCCCAGTTCCACTCGGCAAGAGCAATGACGGCAAGGACAACGAGCAGAGCAGGTGAGACCATGAGCTCAGTGTATCATTCATTTAGTTTTTCTTAAAATGTTTCACACCGGGAAAACCCACTTGAGTTGGAGCATCTCTTTTTGCGTGGGACTGTCTAGGATGTCGATTGACGCGTACATAGCGAGCACGCGACGGCGCGCATGCAAACGTTTTCAATCGATAGATATACAGTGTGCCGTTTATAAACAATGAACATTGCACCCAGTCAGACGCGTTTATAAATACATAACCGACTCGCATGGCACGTATTCTAGCTGTAACAGTTGTAAATGGTGTGCGAGTGCGTTATAATTGAGTATTCAAACACGTTTATACTGGTGGCATATTTTTGTGCGTCCGGGAGATCGTCCGACCTTATGCCACTTAAACAACCTGCCCATGCGGCACACACTACAGCGTATTGCTGATCGATATTTGTTGATGATTACTTTTAAAGACTGAATGCCACCCGCGATTGAGTTGCCTGATGTAATGACCTAAGCACTGCCACTTTCGTACATCTTGCCATTCTGTAAAAATACGCCTCGACTTCCACGTCAAGCGATGAACGGTCGACCGCGGTGATGAGGCACATCGAGCCGTGGGTATTTACGTAAAGGATTTGACCTCTGAATGCTGCGGGCTCACGTAAGCGTCCAACACTCTTTATCTCGGTTGTACGTTGAGCTGTGCGTTGTTGCCAGACCCTGCCGGGTTCGTATTACGATGTCTTTTGGCGTCGTTGTAAGGCAATTGTGTTATTTACCCCCACCCAACCCCACCCCTAACTTTAGTTGGAAGCGAGCCGTGGATGTCAGTTATTGCCTGCAGCAGGGGTGCAGACCTCCCCTAGCCATCTGTGACAGTGCCGCTGTGGAGAAAATGAGGTGAGGGATATCTCTTGCAGACCCCTGAGGAACACAAATTAATACCTGTGGCGGCTCAAGCATAGCCGCTCGGCTTATCGAACCACGGCTGTCGTCACCGTGGGTTCTGTCTGTTACCGAGTCAGCCCACGCTTCACGCTCCGTATGTTGTTGGCGCTTGAGTAATTGTATTCTTTTTGGGTTTATTTTTTTTATTCTCTCCAAGAGATTGAGACGAGTATCTGGGTGGTTCAGGGAGGCTAATGCATCCCGTGCCTAAGCAGCAAGCCGACCCCCAATGGGATTCTGGTTGTGAATTTTGCCAGCCACCTGTGGTGAATCCAGGTGCTCGATTTGAGCGAGTTGATGATCCTCGGCCTCGTTACCAATAACACAGCAACAACAAAAATCCTTTGAGTTTGTTTTTTCACTTCATTCGACTTATTTTGACCACACGAATGAAACATTTTGGTTTTATTGCTATGTAATCAACGCTGATTTCAGGGTGCATACAGTGAAAGTCAAAGGGAGTTCAAGCTCAAATGAGCATTGAGGCGGTGCTCAACTCCTGCCTACAGCTTTTAGCCAGTGGTGGAAATTCCACATTCCTGTGGCAGGGGCAAGTTTATCCAATGCACAATCATTGTTGACTTCCCCACAAAGTGGTACTCACTTTATCAACCCATTGGGATTGATGGGCTGCGTGAACCCCCATCCAGGATTTGAATTCGCAACCTTTCCATTGTGCGTCTCTCAGCGTAACATAATACTGTCCGCCACTTGCATTTAATTTTCATCCATTTCTCATTGTGCTGCTCTGGCCCTTCTATGTCGACAGGTGCCCTAAATTAATAAAGTGACGAAAGTGTGCGTCTTTGTAAGGCGAGTTAGGGTCCACCCAAGAGCAGACCTCCCCACGTGGACCCGCTCTCGCTCTCCCGTGTTGTGTCTGGCACTGCGTGTACTCGCCTTTGTTTTCCAACAGGTTGGCTCCGAAAGGCTGGAACCTGCAGTGCGATGAAGATCTGGCTCAATTTCTGCTCAGTTTTTCCAAGAAAGAGTCAGAAAATCTCGACAATGCTAAATTATACGTGAAGAAGATTGACGCCTCGCACAAGCCAGTGAGTAAATATTTCTGGGAACGCGTTAGTCATCGAGGATTCCATGTTAAGAGATGTTGGCTGATTCTGTTAAATGTAATGTTGAATGAGATTGTTTATGAATGATGTCACAAACCGTGCCATAAAACTGGTTTTTTTAGATCAGGATATTTTAAAGACTAAACAGATGTTATTCCGAGTTGTTTTATGCCCTTTATTGAAGCAAAGTTGCGTAATGTTTACATCGAAAATAGTTTAAAAATATCACCCTACCCATTGTAACTCATCATCATCAGCTATGACCCATCCACTGCTGGATGAATGCTTCCACAAGCCATCAACATCTGTCAGAGTCTGGTAATTAAAGAGTCCGTCTCGCTCCTCCATCGAATCTCATTTCATAACTCCTTCTCTGCAGGCAACGTCCTCTTAGGCATTTCCTCTTTGCTCGCGATGCACCCTGCACGGGCCCACTTGTCCTAACAGTAAATTCGATGTCCCTAAATTGCGCCTCTTCCAATCCACGGTTTCCTCCTCCTCCTGTCGCAGTATAGTTCCATTTTCTTTCCGTCGTCTGCCTCCGATCCATATGCCAGAGTCTTTGATAACGAATAACGCAGAGGCCTCTTTGTTATTGTCCCCACAGAGCAAGAACCCGGTTAAGAACATCACAGATGATGACCCGGCAACGTATTGGGCAACGGACAATTCTGAGGCGTGGTTGTGCTTGCACATGAAGCCTGGTGCCATCATTCAGTAAGGGGATGCGCTCCCAAAAACAAGTACATGTCACATGCCAACCGGTAAACCGATATCCGGTTTCAGGAGCGATTAGCGGTTCTGAAAGGCAGGAACCGGTAACCAATTCCAGGGGAATGTTTTCCTAATGCTTTCCTGGATAAAACAAGCATAACAGGAATAAGCACTCCAAAATCATCGAATACGTAACTGTTAAATGTTCAATACAACATTTCTGAAAAAGGATGATTGTGTAGTGTTGAGTACACATTCCTGCGGAGAGAGCTGGTAGGAACGTTGGGTTGCTCGGTCAATGGCCAGGGTCAACGGCGGCGTGGTGTATTCCGCAAATATGGCCAACTGTGAGGGCGGGCACAAGCCGGCGTGAGTAGGTTAAACTTTGAGATTCATAAGGGCACCACGGGGTGACCAGACCCTCCCCTCCCACCCCCCACCCAGCCCCACCCTCCCCTCCCCACCCAGCCTCACCCCTCCCACCCCCCACCCAGCCCCACCCTCCCCACCCAGCCCCTCCCCACCCTCCCCTCCCCACCCAGCTCCTCCCCACCCTCCCCTTTCCACCCAGCCCCACTCCTCCCATTTTTGGATGCACGACGGACGGACACAATAATCCCCTGAGGGCTGCTGGAACCAGGTGGTTCCTACCAGTAAAAGGTTGCCAAATCAATAGATCCAGAAATAGGTTCTGTATTGTCGTGCTCCAGGGCTGTTCACCGACTATGGGAGTTATTAATTAGCAAAATTAACATCAACGTTTAACCATGGCACTGAAATAATGTTCCCTTAGGATCAACGCTATGTTTTGTGGAAGATACCGAGTTTTGGAAACTTTTGTGCCTTATTTTTAATGCAGTCATGCCACCTGGTGGATTCAGCCAGTACGCACATGCAAATACATAAAGATCGCCTGTACAGCTGTACCAATGAATGCCGGCACGGCACTTAACGGTTCAGTACCATGCCTAGCTGCTTTTGTTTCCCCACTGAAGCCGAGGACAGGGACAGATACCACCTGCCCCTTGTGCTGATGATCATTTATGACCATTTCTAGGAATGAGCGTTTGGCTTTCAGCAGTAACCCCATAGTACCCAGAGAAATAAAATGCGTGCGGAAGGTAGCGCACGCAGAGCCCCTGATGGATTCATTCCACAGGCACACTCAATGCAGTGACTCTACCAAATCTGGATCAAATTGCTGTGGGTGAGTTAACAAAAATAAAAACACGGCGTCTCCTTCACAGCGGAAGTTAAGGAACCTGTGATGTCATTCTCAAGAGTAGGCCATTGCGCGTACCGGAAATTTACTCGTTTGGAATAATATACAAAGCAATCGTCGCCTCTTACTCCAAAAACATTTAGTGGGACCGTCCTGAAGATGTGTCATGAGACTCGGTGATGCATTTAAGGGTAAACAATCGCACTGAATCATTAAACATTACCCATTATTGCACTGCTGTCTACTGGTAGCGCACAGCCCTTGCCATAGCAGCGCAACACCAACGCCTGGGAAGCTTCGGAAGTCACCCAAGCGAGTGTCCTCGAGATCGGGCTCGCCGGGGGTGATTTGTTTGTAGGCACCGGTGTTGTTTATTGATCCAGGAACTCGGGTCGCCGGGTTCGTAGTGCGGCGCGCTAACAGCTGCACCACCGCTCCATCGCAAAGACAAAGACTCCTATATAGCCTTAACAAACTGTTTGGGCAAGTGCTGTTAGGGAGCACCTATGAAGGCTGACACAGCACGGGTGGGGAGGGGGATGGTCAGCACCACCTTCGGCTGCCACTGTCTCCCCGGTGCTGCTATTTACAGACCGCACCAGGTACTCATTGAGTCTACCCCCCAAATCCCCCCCCCCCCCCCCCGCAACACACACGTTTATGAAACGTTCTCTCCAACGCGAGTTATAAAGCTCTCTATCAAGCAAGGTTAACCTTTTTATAAAGACACGTTCATTCTCATCTATCCACTGAGTGTATTGCATTACTTACGTAACCATCGAACCTGCTTGACGGGAGCCCATTGTGTCGCGTCGCGGAGGTGCGTAATTTGCGGCGTGTTTGCACGGCGTGTTTGCACAGGAAGATGTTCCTCAGGCACCTGACGAACGACGACAACAGGGTGGGACAGGTGACGGTGCTCGGCGGAGAGACGATGGACTCCCTCAAGGAGGTCAACCACGTCGCCATCGCCAAGTGAGCCGCGGTCGCGCCAATTTGGCAGAGCACACCGTCCATAACGTCGCCGAATGTGTACATTTCATTAGCTTAAGGCAGCGTAGTTAACTTCGTACATTTTAATCGATTCTTTTCTGCAACAAGTTAGAATCGTGAGTTTAGCTGCTTTTTAAACTGTTTGCCATATTTAGTGATTGTGTCACAGCGACCGGCGCGTGCAGTCCCTCGGCGGCGGCGTCGCAGTGCCGTGAGTGGATGTGTCAGCTCGTTCCCTTCGTCGACTCTTGCCTCTCCTTCCTCTGCAGTGACGCCAGAGACGTGTGCCTGCTTGCGAACGCGTGCGTGCACTACCCCCTCGTGAAGATCCACCTGCAGAGCAGCTCGCGTGAGTTATTCAGCATCGTTACCTTTCCTCTTTGGCGTGGCCAAATTCAACATGGCAGCTTCGGCCTCCATAGGGCTTGATACAAACCCACAATGCAAGCAGAGACATTGTGACCACAGTTTAGGGAGGATCTGGTCAACATAACGCCTTTGAGCATACATTGCAAGCAAAGTTAAAACTGGGGGAAAAGACAACAATGTATAACTGGGTACAGGTGATTTATTTTTTTCTTTTGTGGCAATTTTGCAGGATTCAACAACATCCAGATCAACACTCTGCAGATGAAGTGCTCATTCATCCCTCTTCCTCCAATGAGCTTGTCCGCATTTGAGCCGCCACGGTTGGCGCTGTTCCCTCGGCTTGCGCGGTTCAGCCCCGACTTCTTGTGCCAGCGCTCGATCGCAATCTACAGGTGCCACTGCCATCAAACAACCACCGTCACTCACTCGGCCATCGCTGTACATCAGGCACCTCAATGGTGATGGGTTTAACTCGGTAAAAACCGTACAACCGATTATAGAAACAACTACGATAGTTTCCAGTCATTGGGCATCCAAATTCAACAGCATCTCAGAAGGCTGAACAAAGCCGGGGACAAAACCAGTAAAGCAAGAAACAAAAACATGGGGACATCTATTCAACTAAACTATTCAACCATTTAGTATTTTACCAGGTAAGGCCCACTGAGCTATATAGCTCTTTTTCAGCAACGACCTGGCCACAAATAATCGCTCAACAAAGTGGCTTATGTGGAAATTTATAGCAATCAAATACTCTAAATGCTTGTTGATTCTAAAAGGGAGCGGGGGAGGAAACCACAGGACCTGGAGAAAAATTCACGCGACCACGGGGAGAGAGACATGCAAACTCCAAATATAAATGTGTCAGGATCGGGATCAAACTCACGACCTCCTGCATACCAGGCGAGGGAGTTAACATCTCATTAGAGGGGACGAGGCGAGGATGAGAGTTGGGATTCACGAGAGAGAGGCAGGGCAACGGAGCGCACGACCAAAAACCAACGTGATGCCGAGTCCCAGAGGGGGCTCCAGTGGTAGCCGACTTGCAGAAGTCCGGAACCGACGGGTCTCAGTGGAAATTAGGGTTCGGCGTCAGGATCCAACATCAATTCCCAGCGAGCACTACCAAGTCCCATTGAGTCTCGGGGAAGCCCAGAGACACTGGAGTTCAGCAAGGTAGCAGGGCACAGTACCAACACATTCCACAGGATTCACAGAGCCAGACAAGAAGGCCTGGGCCAGAACATGGGAGGTGGCAGTGCTGTGAAGCAAGGATGTTGGTTCGGCCATGTGATGGGGGAAAATCAAAATAAACTGGGGGTAAAGAAAACTTATAAATACTTGTATTCATGCATACCTCAATACTGTCATCCCCATATATTCCACTTGTTTACCCTTATTTAGAGTTGACTAGTAACGGTGTTGTTGAGTCTGTTGCATTCCAAAGAAGTTAGACGTTGTCAATAATACCGAAACAAGCTTACACGTTTGTGTTGTGTTCGGATGTTGCTTTCCACTCTTGCATCCTCAGGTTCGTGGATCTTTTTGAAGAGGTGATGCCATATGTGCTTCCAAGTTGGGAATATAGCAATGGAAGCTTTTCAGATTTTCAGGTAATCCTCAAGTTCATCTTTCAGGCATCTTACAAACTAAATACACTCTGTGTTATAAAGTTCCGTGCACGAGGGCAGACCTGTAGCCCAAGTTTTCTCCATCCCATATCGCCCCCCTGCTTACCTTGAAACTCCACGCTCCACATTCGGGTTCTCAAACGGTAACACGGCAAAAATAATTGCGGCGCTTTCTCTTTGCCATCCTCAACTGGGCAGATCGCCTACATCGGTTGGTCTATAAAACTCGCATGACAGTGATTGCTGGTGACTGATTTTAACCTTTGAAATAACCGTTTAGTTAAGGCAGTAGACAAGACGGGGTAGGCAAGATGAAGCGTTGAGACCTCGCGTGCGTGGGCAAGACGACGGATCGTGTGGGATGGCGATGCCGTGGGGGAGCCCTTCAGACAGCATTTAATAGATCGTGATCGATGATGATTACGACGATAGATAAGACAGTTTAATATAATACGAAGGAATGATAGGTGTGTACAGAGCGTGAAGCACGTGCTGGCCCTCTCGAGGGAGCCTTACAAGTTCATCGACATTCGAGATGTCATGGTCGATGATGATGATGATTGCGATGATGACGACGATAGACAAGATGGTTCAATAAAATACGAAGGAATGAAACGTGTGTGCAGAGCGTGAAGAACCTGCTGGCGCTCTCGAGCGAGCGCGACATGTTCATCGACTCGGCGCTGACGCGGAACTTGCCGTTGTCAACGACCAACACGACGGCCCACATCACCGTGGACCGCACCGCGGCCCTGCGACACCGCAAGAACCCGCACGCCGACCCGCACTACAGGAACTCGGTGGTCGCGCAGGTGACAGGAAGCGGGGACCGACTGTGGCGGAAGATGCACTGTGGATCCCACACATTAGCAGCGGGGTTGAGGGATGAAGCGGGTTTTTTGTACGTTCTGTCGGCCTGCCACATCCACTGGGTTGTGGGTGGTTTCAGGAGGTGGCAGTACAGCAGTAGGGTCACGACCTGTACCCGTGGTTTTTTGTTGAGTGTTACCACATTCAAAACATTCCTTGAAAAGGAATTGGCCGAGCATACAAATCTAATACTTTCTAGGAAGAATTTAATATGTTTCAGACTCGGGCTTCCCTGTAGTATTAAAGAACATGGGACAGATAAGCACTGGTATGAGATGGATGGGTTTTTATGTGGGTGTGTAAACCCTTTTCGTTTTCTTTGATCCTATTCAAATTAAACTTTTAGTTGACCAGGTAAAGTCCACTGAGATATTCGCTTTTTCAGAGACGACCTGGGCACACTTGATAGCTCATCAAAGTGCCGTATATCATTACATGTGGGAATTTATAGTAGCAGCCAAATAATGTGAATGCATGTTTCTAAATGTGGTATTGACCACACCAATGCTAAAACATTACCTCCAACTTACTCAATTGGGATTACACATGGCAGGATTGTCCCTGACTGCGAAAACTTGGCAGGACCCTCCCGAACAAGAGCCTTGGGACTCGGCGATGCCTTCCTGGGTTAACGTGCGAAGTAGTAATAATACTGATGATGGCACTACCAATGGAGGTAAGCACTGCCCATTGCTGGATTGACGTGGGAGTCGATGTTGCTTTGGACTGAGACCTGCTTCTGGGAAGCAACCCCTCGGAGGACCGGCAGCGCCGGCTCTAACGCTCACCCCCGCGCTGTGTCTGTGCAGGTGTACCGGGGCCTGCAGGAGTATGAGCAGAAGGAGTTTCTGGATTACAGGTGAGGCATGTTTGTGACCACACAGCCTTTTTATTGGCCTGTGATACTTTGTGTGCTTATAACAAGAGTACTAATTCCAATAATTCTAAGAGTAATGGTGTCTTACTACTACTATTACTACTATTATTGTTGAGTTCTCAGCTTGCTCAAGTTCTCTGCTCGAATCTTGTGCTTACCTTTTCATTTCTTTACGTCCCTGAGCAGCACTTTAATCTTTCTACCTCCTTTATCCTTTACCCAAAAGTAGAAGAGATCCCTTCAGCAAGCCCTTCGCCGCTTGCCGTTTGTATTGAACGGTTTTTATCCGTGCAGGTCATCCTCACGGCGGCTTTTGGCTTGCCATCGAACAAAGACGGTCACTACATCACACACTTTCAGATGCGCCTCTGTGTCCATCTGGAACGCTCTTCCATCCGATATTAGGAAGCCACTGGAGCTGTGCTCTTTTAAATCATCATCAAGATTGAAAACTATTTTGTTTTAAACTTATTTTTGCGTCTAGTTTGTTTATCCCCTCCCCCCGCGCCTCCAATTAGCACGGTTAGCTACGTACGGTGCAAGAGAAGTCCAACATACATCTCACATGATGCAATCCACCAGCAAGTGGTGCAGATGGAAAAATGTCATCTGGCACGTGTGGGAGTTCAACGGATTGCTGCAATGTCAGATTGTTAGCAGTGACATCAGCACACAGAGCTGTTCCTACAAAGTCGAGTGTTTAAATAATCGTGGGATGTTGCTCACGACTCTTGCTGGTCACGAGTCAGCTGTGACGATCCTATGGTCTTATAACAGGGACTAGTATTAGCATAAGATGAACAGCTGTTGCCTCCAAATAAATGACACTACACTACTATACACTACACTATACACTACACTATACACTACACTATACACTACAGCAGCATGTTGAGTAGTGGCGTTCCCAGGCCCGCCGGGCGACATCGTCCGGCCAGCGTGGCCCTGGGCCGGCTCTGGGGTCTTCACCCCTTATGGACATCTGTGAAAAAAGCTTCATAGCTCATCAGATTTCTCCAGGATAAAGATTCTGATTATGTTTATTCTTTACATATCGCTAACTGTTGAATGTTTGTCGCTTAATGTTTATTTAATACGTCATAATGTTAATGTTTTGACCGTTTCTTTTGCTAGCATTTACTAAATTGCTTTGTGTCCCTGGTTACCCTTAGAAAATAAACGTTTGGCCTCTGTGGGCTCTCGCCTGATATAACCTGTGTATTGATGATGGAGATCTCCTCGTATAACCTGCCGATCGCTGATGGAGATCTATGCACAAATTGGTGTTAAGGGTGTTCGTCGTCGTCCTCTCACTTACAGGTGGAAATCTTCGGAGAATCAGTGGTGGTCGTGTGATTTCACCCTGGAAGGAATGAATGATGCCGGTGAGTGGGTGGGTGACTTCGGCACCCATTGAAGTTCTCCCTGGCCACACCGAATGCCGCATTGATCCGGCTAAGCTTGTGGGAAGAAGCCCCCTGAAACCAATCCTCTGAATCCACCTTCAGTTAAATGCGTAACGATCTCAGCGAATGGCGACGTACAACGTCGATGAGTGATTATGGGATGTGCCGTAGCAATGTCCATCAGTTGTCTGATAATTGCGCTTGTGAGAACTCGTTGATATTCGTGATCACATTTACGAGGAAAATGTGTAAAAAAAGTGGTCGTTAAATATGGACATGGTATACAACATTTTTATGCATTCAAAAACAGTTTGTTCAATATACTTCTTCCATGCAATAAATCGTCACATTTGATCAATTGTGCGATATAAAATTCGTGTTAAATTCGGATATCTCGGTCACATCTCTGAGCTGTCCCTTTTTCTCCATTTGCGTAATGGAAAGGTTAATAACATAAACAATTCGTTTGTGAGTCTATTTAAACATGCGAACATGGCCTGGCGATACCAGAATACACAAGCCCACTCTTAGTAAATTATGAAGCTACTTCATTTACAGTATCCAGTGTACACCATTGCAAGATGTTTGCAATGACTTCGCTGAAAATTGGCAGGCAACTGCAGGGAATTAAACCATTTCTACGTTTCCAACAACACACAAAAACACGTACAAAAAGCACTCGGCCTTTTGTGCATTTTACAAAACTACTAACAGTTCCTGAAGAACTGCACCGTAGTTCTCATCGTGTTCGATCGCCATCAACGTTACTTTGTGCCAATGTGACCAACTACGTACAAGCAAAACCAGCGGGCGAGTCCTCTACTTGCTTTTTTGAACCAAGACGCTCATTGCATCGCCCGGCGCATTCGGATGCGTTTCTCTGGCCGTCATTACAATCTATTAGCGATGCACTTTTAAATCTAGATTCAAAACTGATTTTTTTTAGAACTGCTTTTGTGTTTAGTTTTTCGTCCCTGCCCCACACCTCCAATTGGCACGGTGGGCTACGTACGGCGAGAAAGAAGCTCAACATACACATGTGCGTACATATTGCCGCCTTGGCTGCATGGCGCCACGTGACCTCGCCGCTGCGGTGTAGGTGGCGGGCAGCGCGAGTGTCTGTCGGACATCGCGGAGGAGCTGTGCCCCAGTGACCCCTACTGCCCCGTTCCGGTGCCATTCTTCCTGCGCATGCTGGGACGGGTGAGCGCACGTTTCTTTTTCTCTCCACCGCTCTGCCTTTATTGCTTACCACGCACTCGATATTAGCAAGCCACTGGAGCTATGTTTTTTTATCTCAATTTAAAACGTATTTCTTTAGAACTGCTTTTTGTGTTTAGTTTGTTGTCCTCCCGCACCTCCGAGTAGCACGGTTGGCTACGTACAGTGTGAAAGGAGTAAAAAATACACACATACAATCACCGTCGTTGTTTATTAGTTGATATTGCGCCGCACACAAATATAGAAAAAATACTAAAATCCCAACAGAATTAACAACCACAATTGAACAGAGCACTTACCGTCGTTTGCACACACGAATGAAGGGCTGTGTTATTTTATTATTAAGCTACGTTTAAACATCCCCTCCCACCGCCCGACCCAGACAAAATCAATCCGGGCACTCATATTAGTTCTCCACTATACTGATGCAGAACCCTTTATGGTGTGTGATCAGTAGTCTAATTGAATATTAATGTAGTCGCCAATTGTGTATGCTCCCTTGTCTCTACGCGCAGAGTACCGGAGGGCAGGAATCGTGCGTGTATGTGCCGAACCCAGACTGCCATGACCTGCACGTGTTCACGTGGATTGGAAAGATAATGGGAGCGGCCTTGCGTGGCGCCAACATCCTGGTAACTTGTATTGCGCACGTGAGAACGAGCACTTATCCACGCGGTTGTGATCTCATTTGTACAATTGCTTCAGCCCATTAGCCAAGTGACTTCCTGCGCAAATGAGCATTGAGGCGATGCTCGTGTTATGTTTACAACGCTGAGCCATTGCTGGAATTTCCACATTCCTATGGTGGGGGTGAGTCCATCCAAAAGAACCACGGTGTACTTCTCCACCAAGTGGTCCTCAACCCCCCCAGAGGGTGAGTGGGGGCTGAGTCGACCCACCGCCAGATTTGAACTCCCAACCCTTGGATTTGTGAGGCGCTCACTGTAACACGAGAGAAAAACATAACTTGCTTTTAATTAGCATTTATTTCAAATCGATTTGCGTTGTTTTTGATGCGCGTATCCTAAGCATAAGAATCGAATTTGATTGAAGAATCGACGCATTGTTGTTGTCCCTCCGCTTAGCACAGTTGGCCACGTACGGTGCGCAATTATTTCAACACAGATACATTGTTACATGCCTACCCTTTCAGGTTTCTCTTTAAAAAAAGACTTTGGTCAATTTGGCTGTCTATCTTATAATTATAATTACAATCATGCAGTTATATTTATCTCAGAAAATCTCAATTAAGGCTCAAGAATGTTTCGACTATTCTCAAATGATTCTGCAGCACAATTGTGGAAAACTACACAAGGAAGCCCCACATATAAAGGAATATCGCTGAAAAATCCCTACACATAGGTTAGGAACCTACTTGTTGTACTGCGATCGACTCATCACCTTTTAGAACTGCAGCATGAGGTGAGAGCGTGCAGCGATTAAGCGAGGCTTGCTTTCTTATTGCCACTATGTTAGTTGGTTGGTGTGCAGCAACATTCATGAAAGCACTGCCGCTCTTCTTGAACATCCTATGCCCCTCGCTTTCACCAATCTGAACGGACCACCGTGGTGAAGTATGGTCAAATAACCTCAACGGCCGATGTGGTTTGGGGAGGCCCTCTCCGAGTCGTGGATGACACAAGGGGTGGTGCGTGTCTTGGTATTTGTTGTTGTTGCGGTGTGCGCAGATACTGTGCCTCCCGGCGTTGGTGTGGAAGCAGCTCGTCGGGGAGACCGTGACTTGGAGTGATTTCAGATCCGTGGATGAGACTCTGGTGAGAAAAGCCAACGACCAACCCCTTTGTACGAGTAGATATGCTGAACCTCTTTTGTCGCCAACCGTGTTAATCGGAGGTGCGGAAATTATTCACCTGCCGCACCTCTTCTCACCCCCTACATAATTTGTATAAGGGGAGGGGAACATGAAGTTTATTTGGAAATTATATTACAAGTATTACTCTGCATTGAGCTCAACCCTATTTTTGTTAGGGCGGGGTGCAGGTCTGGTTCAGATAATTAATCATCACCGATGTTAGCCTTGACCGGGAATTGAGCTTTGGCTACCGGATTCGTAGTGTGGTGCAGTAACTACTACGCCACCTCTCCCCACACACATCACTGCGCCAACTTTCCGTGTTTAAGTCACCCACCTCACCGTTTCATTATTGTCAGCGTCGCTCTACTGCCTTTCTCGTTGGAAGGTGACCGGCTCTAGATGCCTAATAGTGTCCTTCACAAACCTCCTCCACAGAGGCTGATCTTGACACCACTGGTACCAGTTTTTGGCAAGTCCACTCAGCTCCACATCCTCCTGTACCGCATAAGCCCACCTCTTCCCTAGTTTGTGCCACTCTCTCACTCATCACGCATCTCTAACCGCTACAATACCGCTCCCCACACACAACACCCACGGACACCTACGTACACGCATGGATGCACGCGCACTTGCGCACAATCTCACGGTGTCGCGGGCACGTGCCACGCGCCCCCCAGGCGAGGTCGCTGCGCTCGCTGGAGGAGGCGGCAGACGAGGCGGCGTTCGCGCAGCTCTTCGGCGAGGAGCTGACGTACGCGACGACGCTGAGCAGCGGCCGCACCGTGGAGCTGGTGCCGGGCGGCGCGGGGCTGCGCGTCCACCACGGGGACCGCCTGCGCTACGCCCGTCTCGTGAAGGAGGCGCGACTCTGCGAGAGCCGCCAGCAGGTGACGGTGGCGGCGGCGGGAGGGCGCGGCGGTCCACCTCGGCGGTCCGACTCGGCCAGCCACCCCCACTCGGACTCCGTAGACGAAGGGAATTGTAGGACGGCGTTCCCCCGTTGTTCATTACTGGTGATGATATTGGCCTCTGAAAATGTAATGGATTGTAATGAATTACCTTAAGTAAATATATAAATAAGCTGTTAAATACATGAAAATTATAACACGAATAAAAATTGGTCAAAATAAACATAAAGTTAATAAAAATGTACGTTAAAATTTTAAATAACTATTTATTAATTTACTTTCTTCAAATTATGATGCGTAGCAGCAAAGGATGCATTAGCGATAATGCTGATGACAGTGATGATGGTTGCGATGTCGTTACTACTCCTAGAGACACATTCGGATCACATTCTCTCTCATCACTTTGTCTCATCACTTGATGTCTCATGACATTCTTGCATCACATTCTGTCTCATCACTTTCGATGCGGTAGTCGTGTCGAGCTCCAGATACGCCTTGAGGATCGCTAAAGTTGCACGTAGAAAGTTCGTGAATAACGAGGGAGTACTGTACTGCGTAGGTTGATTAAAGGCCCAGGATCAGTACCGTGTGGGAGGGAACCAGAGTACACGGAAAATACCAGTAGCCGTGCGACAATTCAACATCCCTTACATTTATATTGTCAAAGTATTGGGCAACGATTTGGTTTCGATTTTATGTTTTCACTGTTCGCTTCTCTTGTCCGTCTCATTGCGTCTTGTTTGTGCTGACTCAGTTGTGTTGTCTTGCATGTTCCGTGTTGCTCTCGCTCAACCCAAAATGAGCTTTTCAACACCACTGTGGAGCCAAAGGTGGCTGGAAATCCGCGAGCCTCGTAACACCACCTCCTGGTGTTTTATACTTCCTCTGTTAGGTTTTCACCAATGGCGCTTTATCCTGACGGTCTGCGTATCTAACCGGGCGTGTTTGCGGCAGGTCGAGGCCATCAAGAAAGGAATATTTTCCGTGGTCCCTCAGCAAATTGTCAACCTCTTGACTTGGCAAGAGATGGAGCGGATAGTGTCTGGAGAGGCCGAGATCACCATGGATGTTCTGAAGAGATCAAGTGAGCCCACGACTTTCTTGCACCCTCGGCACATTCTCACGGCCACCGCGAGGCTGTTGGGCACTTTGCCCCACCCCTGCCATCGGACTGGAATTTTCACCACTTGTTTCTGGCAGGCTGTGTAGATTAGCACGGCGTAACATTCATTTGAGCATGGGGACAATGACTTTGAATTGCACGGATCACGTAGGTATGATGAGGCACAGATATACACGCATAACTGCAAGTAATCGGCCTAACAATTCACTTGCACGTGTGTATTATACAGGTGCCGCTCACTATACTTACCGCGCTTACCGTACTTTCCACACTCCATTGTGGAGCTTTTTCTCAGAAACGAACGCTGGGCAACTGAGATTGTGGTGCCATTTACTCGCCTCCAGAACGTAGTTTTCTCACCGCCAACACAAACCTTCCCTTGTCACATCGCTTCATAATGTTTGCACGAGTGCTTTGCACACGCACGTGTGCGGACGTGCAGAACTTACAAACACATCGTCGTCACGTGGATTGCTGCGGTGTTCGTCCTGTGTTGTGTTCACCCTGTTGTGTACGTGCGCAGTTACCTCCGTTATGGATAACGGCGAAGCCCGATTGAAGTGCCTCTTCGAAGCGCTGTCGAACTTCAGCAATGGTGAGAGCCTATTTCCTAGCAGCAGGCGGTCAACTTCTAAGGAGAAGAATTTAGAACGGGGTTGGCAGACCAACCCTGATAACTAGGACTCCTGTTCTAGTTACCATCTGGCTTGTGTTAGCAACTCTCTGCAAGCGTTCCAACGCTCAAACCGAGTTCAATTCCTGCTAACGGCCAACACCAGTGACGATAATCTGACCTAGCCCTGGGCTTCCCTTAGTTTGACTTGGCCTCAAATGAATATCTGGTGCAATGTATAAACATCGCCACTCGGACAAGAATCATCCTCAATGCGGCTTTTGGCTAGCCATCGAACAAAGACGGTCACCGCATCGCGCGCACTCAGATGCGCTTCTGCGGCCGACTGGAACACTCTGCCTAGGTTGAAAACTCATTTCTTTAGAACTAGATTTTTACGTGTCGTTAGTCTTTCCCCCCCGCACCTCTGATAAGCACAGTTAGCTACGTACGGCGCAAAATAAACACAACATGCATACTTGAACCAGATCCGATAACTTAAATGGCTTGCTCTTGCCAATAGCTCCTGGTAACATGGCAGCGAATGTTTAACAGGCTTGACTCGACTGATGAGAACCCAGGAGGTCTAAACTGATCCAGAGTTTGCTCACTTAAACAAATTCTGCTTCATGTTATTGGTCTGGAAAGCCAAGAGGCTCATGAACTGTGTATTTATTTGTATATATATTATATGTGAGACACGTAATGGATTCCTGCTTATAATTACCTTTGGCTTCCCTTGGGCTGTTTTAAAGTCCAACATGCATTGCGCCAGCTGATGATCTATGCCTGTGGATATGCTAGAACAATCTAATTCAGAAGGTTGCAACGTAAATGCTTTGTTTGGAAATTGAAGTTCAACATACACACAAAAGCGGCAGGCCATTGCACTGGCTCCCCACCCCCCGTGTGCCGTGCCAGCCGTCACTGGGGCTCGCGAACAGCACTTGCCCCAACAGTCTGTTAACTCTACACGGGGGGGGGATCTTTGTGTTTGTGCATCTGGCAGAGGATCGTAGACTCTTCCTACGATTCGTGACAGGGAGAAGTCGCCCCCCAATCACAATTCAAGTGATGCAATCGAGGTAAGCTTGCGCTCATAGATTGACAATAATCGTGATGAGAGTTACATTTATTGGGTTGTAGTCCAGTGCGTTAAAATGCTCACCTTATCTCATAAGCTATGAGAATACAGAATGCATAATTTACATTTCATATAATATTTTTTATGCATAGACATGTACAACCCTTTTGTCATTCCACTGCTGGATGAGGGCTTCCCATGCTGTGCGGGCTGCCGGGGGTTATTTGACCATACTTTGCCACGTTGGTAATACGTGTTGATGAAGGTGGCGGAGTGCCTGGATGTGGGAGCATAGAAGTGCAGTACCAGAATGGATTTTGCTCCACTGTCCTCCGCAGTCCGATGACACCTTATTTTGTGCACAGTGGTCGCCCATCGCAAGCACCAAGCTCAACCTGCTTAGCTTCTGAGATCTGACAAGGGTCAGGCCCATTGAAAGTGATTTAGTTATGGGCATACTACTCTTTTTATAATAGCATTTTAAATTTCACCCACATTGTGATTGAATTAATTGTCATTGCTTGTCGTCTTGTTTATTTTCCGAACTGAGTCCGACGACTCATTTGGACAAATGAAAGATATTTACTTGTCACAAAACACACCGAGTGAAGCCCGGGTGAACTAATGCCGCTGCTTGGTTTGCACAGCTCAAATAAGTCGGACGTTCTTCCCGAGACTTCCCTTTGCTCCAACACGCTCATCCTTCCCAATTACTCCAGGTGAGGATGCTGCTCACTCGCCCGTCGGTAATCCCCCCCCCCCCACTCTTTACCCATAATCATCCTCTTAGGATCCTGCCAGCATGTGATCGGCACGCACCGAGCCAGATCGTGCGTTTGGAATGCCATCGGCTTCACATGCAGAGAGCACAGGTGCTCGTCAAACAATGCGTCCATTCACTTGGTTTGCCAATGTCACACATTACCGTGCCCATCTTTGGCAGAGGTTTTAAAAATAGAAAATGTTACATATGCTTGTGAAGGATTGGGTTTGTCTAAATAAGTGAATGCTAACGTGTGTGAATATTCAAGATACTGAGCCAGCGATTTTTAGGGCCTCTGTTGGTATCCCTGATGCGGCGCGAGTCATTCTGCGCGACCACCTCATAGTGACGTGAGATGCTCTTGTGTGTCTCCATTTTGTTGGTCTTATCTCAACACTAGTGAGTGAATGTGATTCATCTGTACAGTGCTTTGTGGATGCAAAGCGTGCTGGCCGTTCTATCATCTCTGCCATTTCCATCACAGGAAGTGGAGATTAATACCGGACCGTGTTCATGTGAGCGTGACGACACTTTGTCTTGTTATAATTAAAGTATAATGTTTGGTTTCTGTTAACAAACTCAACCGTTGTGTTTCAGTGCAAAGGTGTGTGAAGAGAAGTTACATTTTGCGATGTATAACTGCACCACCGTGGACCGTGACGCCGATCACTAACGCTGATGGACTGCAGTGTCACCGGAAAATTGCAAGAGAGATGCGTGAGAAAATACGCTTGCGATATAGCGAATTCCCAAATAAACACAATGAGAAAATGTATAATAAACGGTGATAAAATATCAACGTCGTTTTGCTTTTGTAGTCCCCCCAAAAATAATCATCCCCCTAAACAATCGCTCACTTGCAGTGGAAGGATTTCGGACCCATTGGTGCAGACCTCTCGCTGGTATCCCCTGGTATGTGTGAGATTTCTTGAGCTCCCCCCCCACCCCCCCACATGCCGTGCACTCCCTGTGAAAGTGTCCAATCATCGCCCACTTCAGGGACGCTCCTGAGAAAAAAAGCCTCGACACATTGAAGCTTTCGGGATATACGATTGACATAATCATCAACAACTACACTTAATTATTTACGTCAACATCATCAACTACAATAACATCATCAGAATCATGAGCATGATGACATGATGATGATTCTAATGGCATCCCATCATCTTCATTAGCATCTTCATCCTGCTTGTTTATGCCTCCTTCCGCCACTCCGATTGTCTGACACCTTTCCGGTCAGAGAAAGAGAGGTTCCTCCTTCATAATGTCGGTGTGTTCAGGGCATTGTGCTTTTACCAATGTTTGGAGGAATTCACAACAGCTCGTGTCGTGCTATTAAGTTTCAATGCAAGTGGAAATGCTGCGTCGACGCAGAGGATTGGAACGCGAGTCGTCAAGGAGTGGCTGCATTGTACCTCACGGGGGGTTATGGCCCCGAGGGTGTGTGAGGGCCACTGGACAAGTTCGGTCTTTCTGGTTTCCTGGGCCAGCAGGGTCAGAGTTCATTGACAGTGATCTCCAGAAGAGTCGTGACGCTTTGTGGACGCATTGATCGCCACTCGTGAGACTCGCCTGAACGTACGTGACTAAGGCCTTGCATGTTTTTACTCAGAAAAATCACATCGTAGTCCCGAAGCTCTTTTTAAGTGGGATTGTTTGCCTTGCTTGGGATGTTTGGGCAATTAATTACAGAGTTTTAATTAATCATGTGCCCCAGGAAGAAAAGCAAGAGTGTCCAGAGAAAACCTGTGCTGCAGAGATAGCGCTCCATCCCAGCACAAGCGTGTGGTAAATGTGATGTAAGCAGCATTCAAATGAGAAGCTATTGCATTTGAGGAAGAAGCTACGAAGTTTACAGACCCGACATTATATATTGTTCTCTCTCGTTAATTGATTTCTTGACAGATGCATTGTTCAGTGGGAGGCTCTATTGAATATTGTCAGTGCAAAATGTGGAATGTTGAGGTTAATCACAAAGCAAATGTCAACATGTGTCACTTTAAAGTGCCAATATTCATTGCTTGCATCCTCCACACATCCAGACATATCCATAGTGAACAAGCTTAAAATCTAGTATTTGCTGTCGTAGGTGAGTTGTGTTTAATGTATGACACTGCAGTGTATTGGTATTGCCATGTTGCAATGCGGCATGATACTCTTAACAGACACAATAGAGAGGCTGTCTACATTTGTGCTTGGACAACGAGCAGATTGTCTACCGATGTTTTACATTTTAAGCTATGGTGTTTTAACAATTAACAATCGTAAATTATTGTTGTTCTACATTTTCACTTTGAAACGATGCTTCCTGTTCTCTAGTCCAGTTCGTTTCCCCATTGTCCATCTGAAGCGTTTTCCGTCTCTGGGTCCTACTCTTGGCATTCACCTTTCTGTGGATTTGGTCGATATGTCTCAGCCATTACCCAGCCATGTCTATCTGAGTATAGCACTTTGCTCAATTCTGAGTTAAAATTACGGTTTGTGGTGTCAATTCAGTCCATTATCCCTCTGAGGATGATTAAATGTATGTATGTTGAACTTCTTTCGCACCGTACGCAGCCCACCGTGCTAATCGTAGCACCACTTTGTAAGAAATCAGCGGACATGGTCTATTCCCTGCCGGATGAAGGCCTCCCCAAGCCGCTGCCATCTCCCATTGACCTTACAATGTAAACATCCATCGAGCACCTACACAGATGCTGATGTCATCGCTCCATCTCCTCGGTCGATGTCCTCTCAGACGCATTCCATTCCTTGGCTGTGATTCTGTCAATGTCCTTCACCATCACCCATCGTCCCTTCTCGCCATCACATGTCCTGCCCAAGCCCGACTCGCTTCACGGCTTTAATCAAGTCTGTAAATGTGTTCCTCTCTCTCACTCTAACTTTAAGTATGCGTCTATCCATGCTTCTTCGTGCACTTTTCAACTTTTGTAAAACAAGTTTTGTAAAACAAATATGAAAAAAGGACAACTATACTCACGAGAATTTGTCAGTTCCATCGAAATCAAATCTGATAACTACACTCACCAAACAGAATACAAACTACGTTAAAAGCCCGTAATAATTATGCTCACGGTAAAGATGACATCCAATCAAACGACAGGAAAAGCCGATGAAGGGATGTCGACTGATCAAAAGCATTCTTCACGAGGCACATATCTTGTTATCAAGTTAAGGTTTTCCGAAAGCCCTCTAACCACCTGCGTTTGTTCACCTCTTTATTAGATAGTTTCGATTCTGGGCCATTCTTCAATCGCTGCTGTAGTTTTATTCTGCTGTGTTCTGTTATGTCCCTACAACAAATGTCCCCTTATTATTTTGCAGATGTATTGTTTAGTGCATTGTATGGAACCACTGTTTATATAACTAGACTAATCATTGAAATGCAAATATGTAATTTGTACCACTGGCTCAGGGTTATCAGTGCAGATAAGCACCACCTCAGTGCTTATTTAAGGACACGTTTTGACTTGCCATAGTTGTTTTTCCTGGTACTTGTTTTCTTAGTCACGTTCATGCAGGTGTAGTGATGCACCTCACAGACACTAGAATGGGAGGCACTCTGTTTATTAAGGCCCTCCTCACAAGCACAGGGAATAACTGCACGTGGTCAGGACAGCAACAGGCTGCCTGACCAACAACGCTGAAGACGATGACGAAGACGTAGCTCCCACAGGCTTCCACTCCAACAACCCCGAGTCCCCTACGGGGGTCCCCCTTTTATCCCCCTAGCGCAGCCTCGCCCCGCCCTCGGCCACACCCCCCTTTCAGAACCTACCACGAGGTTATCGGGCTTCCTCTCACGTACCCCCTGTCACCTTATCCCCACTTACTTTCCTCCCCACTTCCCTTCCTCCCGCCTATTCCATGACCTGCCGACCTGCCAGGGCTGTTACAGCAGCAGCAGGTCCCCTTCTGGCCAGCAAGCCGCGCTGCCCGCCATAGTGATCCATTCCATGTCACTGCACAGGTGCTGTTGTTAGTTTCTGGTTTATGCACCTGCTTGTAGTTTTAGATTAAGCCAATTTTCACTCTTACAAAAAACAAATCCACCACTTTAAATGCTCTCTACATTTAAGTAAATACTTTAATACTGTTTTATACATTGAACCTAAAAGGACAAGCTGCACCAAATATAGGGCAGACAGGTAGGGGTTTGATTGAGTGTGTTTTTTGGATAGGTCACATCATACGTTACCACATGGCCAAAACCACCACCTCCCATCTTTGTATGGCTGATTTTGATGTAGAGCAACAACTATGAGTTTACATCCATGTGGTTGAGCCAGATGATGAGGTCAGTGGTGTATCCCTGTGATGATGCCTCCCGTATTTGTAAATCGGGCATCGAGTCGTTCTGGCTCAAACCTGAAAATCCACTACAAATCATCTTGCCTGTGAATGCCGACGAGTTGGGTTAGGGCACATTTCTGAGTATTGTGTTTTTATTGCTGATACAGCAGTACCCCGGTTTACGAAACGACGTCCTCAATCGAAGCGATGTCGAGGGCAGGTGGAGGCGAAGGGCGGAGTGACGAATAGGAGAAAGGAGGGGCCGCTGCTGTCAGCGACGTCCGTGTGGGTTGAGGCGACGCAAATGGGGCAGTGGTATCGATCAAGGGACGACGTTAAAGGGGGAGACGTAAATCCGAGTATTACTGGAAAGTGAAAAAGCCTTATTTTGTACCGTACTTATTCTTTATGGTGAGAATGTATGAAGTGCCTTTTTAACAGTTGTGTATTTTAGTTGCACAATAACATCGTTTACTCTTTAAACTAAATGAATTGCATTTTTTGGCCATTTTACTTTCCAAAAACATTTCAAAATACGAAAGAAAGATAATGCATTCTAAAATAAAAACAAGCTTTCGCCTTTATTGTATCTGAATGGAACGCTTTAAATGTATTGAGCCTCATTTTCGCTGACACTTGTGCCAATGTGGGAACCCCTCCCAGGAGACTTTTGGCGAGTCACGTCCACAGAGGCGGCAGTCAATGAGAGCACTCAACCCACAAACCTTCTCTTGGGATGCTGCCAGCGACAGATGAGCATGCACTGAGCGAGATCGTGAGCTTGGAAGGCAGTGGTGACTTGCAGCGAAGCAATGCTTCCTCTAGCTTAATGTCTGACCTATTGCACGATCTGCCGATTCTTCAGCTTTTTTTATTTCGCGAGATGCTTTTTTAGACTGTTCTCAAATTTGTATTCTCCGCGTAAGCAAAAACCTCCATAGCTCACTTTGGAGTGTACCAACTCTGACTTTTAAATAGCAAAGTGGTAGGGGACAATACTGCAACCAAACCTTGAACGTGACTGCACTTCTGTGACGAACGCAACATTTCCTGCAGCACTTGCCGCGTGCTGAACGTGGCTGTGTGTCTTCTTGTCAAATCTCCTCTCGTGGGGTTTGCCCTGCTCAGTGCTGGAGCCCATTATTCCCGCGTGTACAATGGAATAAGAATGCGTCTCACCATTGCAGCCAGGAATCAGATATTCGTACTGGAGGAATCCGATGAGCAATTCGGCTCTCACAGTTGTCCAGTAGCGAGGCCGACACGTGATGCTGCTGCTTTTGCCGTGTATGACATTTTGAATTAGAGTGTCACGTGTGGTGCCATGGTGTAATGATGGTTAAGAAATGAGACTCAATCACTGGTTCGATTACCCACTCCCCCTGGCATGACCGAGGGAGCTAATCGAACCAGCACTGACAATATCCACCAGATCCTCCCGCCCAGCACTCTATGTGTGCAAGTCGTGTGTGGTGGGGTAAAGCGTGGGTACACCCACCTCTTTTGAGACGTCTGACCAGTATGGAGGCTTCCGCCAGCAGTGGTGCGAGCAAGTCATTGCAGGGTAGCACCTTTAGCTTAATACCTTCATGCGTTATTCAATAGAAATCGATCACGTGGTTGATCTCTGTCATCACTCTTGCTGGGCTTTACCCATGTCATGTTGCAGAAGGGCATTTTCAATCTTGACGGATTGCCTTTGTGATAACAAACCCCTTGAACGCAGTAATACGTTTAATTTATTTACTAAAATTACCTGACCCCGCAGTCAGGGTCTGGGAAAGCACTCAACGGCCCACTGTAGAGATATGTTCGACGTAACGTCAATTACAAACGGGAAACCCCAAACGTGAGCACAAAGCAGCAAGCAGCTTTGTTTAGGAAGCCACGGTTTTCTGAACCATTCTAGTTGGTGTAAATGTTCTTTTGGACAGGAGCACTATAGAATAGGATGCAGTGACATGCAAACGTTGCTTTGTATGGATACATTATAGCAATTTCTCACAAAGTAATCGATTAAACACCAACGTGAAACCTGGGCCGCAGGGTTACAGTCATGTTAAGGTGACGTGACAGCCATTCTGCTCACAACCCCCCTCTGTAACACAAATTCTTATTAATAATTCCAGAAATATCTAATGCTGGTGTGTATGCATGTTTGTGCAAGTCACAAGTTTACATGATTTACAGCATTCACTTCTTTATCCTATGCCCGTTGGCGGAGCAGGTTTCGCTTCCATTGGCACCGTTTGCCGTTTACTGTGGCTGTCGTGAACATGTTTACATGTGATATGCACTTATGAAATCATACTTTAGTCTGTAGATTTCATAAGCAGATTGGTTTTGACCTGAACATATTTTTTGTTGCGAATTTAACAATTACAAATGAAATGATTGTATTAAACGATTTTGCCATGTTGATGGGTGTCTCATTTATACCCGATTTTTATTTTAGAGTTGAGAGCGCTTTTAAAAGTGAAGAATTATGGATACTTGGCCAAGAATGTTTTTGGTTACAAGAAAGCATATAACCTTACATTGAAGATCTCTTGTAAAAGCAGTGAGTAGTATGGGATATAGAAAAGACTATGCATGTATAAAGGTCAAATGTATATGCTGGTTTCAAGAGCTTTGGCTCAAGAGTATAAAGAAAAATAAAAAGTATAAATATGTTTGGAAGTGGAATGTGTGGTGCAGTGATTAGTGCATGGTGCAATGAACCCTGCAACCAGAGATCGATATCCAGCCATGGCTAACGTCAGCGGCGAGTGATATCCAAACAATACACAGATCCGCCCTCACAAACCTGCATTGGTCAGTGTCCATAATAGAGGCGTTTGGGTTAGATCGCGTAAATATATTAATGTGTCGTTAAAACCCGACACCACCCGACACGGCCAATTAGTCAGGGTTGTCACGTAAATAGAACGTGGCAATTAGTCACCAGTACAGCACACCGGTGTGGTGGAGAGTCAAGCCACAACATTTACAATCTGAGTACGACGTTTTGCCAGTAATTACAATGAGCATCAGGCGACAGCCAGATTTGTGGAGAAGTCCACCTGCTTCGTTCCTTATATAGAGGCGTAGATGTGGTGACCACGCTTGGGTAGTGGCGGGTTTTAACGACACATTTACACGATCTAACCCAAAAACCTCTCATGGATGATAATGGTCGCGAAAGGCTCCGTGTTAAACTGGTCAGTGTGGTGCAGTAGAGTCGGTCCCCATTTCTGGATTGACACAAGACTGCAAATTATTCATTTATTCTTCTCATGTGGAAATTGCACACAATTTAAGACACGATAGCAACATCAGTATTCCATGCTATATAATACGGCATTATTAAATATTAAACAAACAAAAATGTCAAAACACGCAAGGTTGGATATATATTGTTTTCCCCGTACCATTTTATGAATTGCCTGTTATGATTTGGCTTTTAAAGACGTGTATGCTCCCGCAGTTTCGATACTATTTGATTGTACGCATCTGTAACGTTGATTATAACCCAAATCAATCCCATTATGGCTTCAAACATACAGAACAAGCAGCATGCTGGTGTGCATTTGAGGAAATTCGTGAAAGTATGTCTCACCTGTAATATGAGGACCCCAGCACAGTTTTAAGACAAAAATAAACGATACGGAACATGAAACTGTTACTATTCAGCAACGTTCCAGTTATGAACATGGAACGGTATTGTTATTTAGGGACTATAACACTGAACTTGTGTTTACTTCCTGCTCGGCACATGGTCTGCTTGATTGTTATCGCATTTCCAAGGCGTCCTGGTGGCTGACATCACCCTGTACAGAGTAGCGAACCCACAGCTGTTGAGTTCAAATAGGAGCAATCGCGCTCGATTAATCCTGCGTCTCAAGTACAATATTTCACCTGATTCCAAAGTCACAAGCACGGTCACCAATTACTGCACAAAAATATAAAAATTGTAATTGTCAACAACATTCTTCGCCACACTTGTATGGAATATCGCTTGTAAATATTCATTGAATGATTATCACATATCGACGATTGACAGAAAATAATTGGTTCAAGAACAGAAACCTCAATTGTATGTATGTTAAACTTCTTTCGCACCATACGCTGCCAACGGTGCTAATCGGAAATACAACTAAACACAACGCAGTTGCAAAGAAATTCGTTTTCAATCCAGATTTAAAAGTGCATAGCTCCAGTGGCTTCCTAATATCGGAATAGCATTTGATGCAGGCCCCCTAACGAAGTTTGAGTAAGCAAAGTATGACTTTGTTAAAAGTAAACGAACCAACCTATGCACAATTTAGAGGGTGGGAAGACGAAATGAACGCCACGCTGGCAAGGCTTGGCTCCTAGTGAGAGAAGTCAACGCTTTTGGCGAGTGCTGACGGGGGGGATGTGTTTCCCTTGCGGCGGAGGAGCAGCGGTGTGGTCCAGCTGGTGACAGGCGAGGCTTCCAAACGGGCCTGGCCCCCTGGCACCCTCCCCCGCCTTGCCCTGCCCGCTCGCTCTGGTGTGCCGCAACCTGCATTCAACAACACCAGAGGCCGTTTTGCTCAACGCGCGCCGCCTCGAAACGCGCGCACTTGCATCGCAACATGGAGAAAGTGACGGACGATTGATTGCTTGGGTATTCATCGTGGTTGTGGAAGCGTACATCCATATTATCACAATATTAGGGGCGCCACGGTGGTGAGATGTTACTACCTCGCCTGGTAAACAGGAGGTCGTGGGTTCAATCCCAACTCGGATGCCTGCATATTTGGAGTTTGCATGTTCTCCCCGTGGTCTCGTGGATTTTTCTTCGGGTCCTCCAGTTTATCCCTCCACATTTATAAACAACGTGCATGGGAAGTATTTGGCGTGATAAGGCACTTTGCTGATTTATCATTTGTGGCCAGATCACTTCTGACAAAAGAGCTATATAGCTCAGTGGGCCTTACCTGGTAAAATAGAATAGTTTAGTTTCTAGTGTATACCACTCCTACATCACCTCTTGCTCCAAAACTTCTCGGGTGCCAGCTCGCGGGTCTCTGCGGCGTTGCCACTTCTGGTCGGCTCGCTCTGTTCGATAAGAAACCACGCGGGAAACGAAGTACGGTAAGTGGACCACGCTCTGCCCAGCAGCCCCGATCGCTCGCTGAAGGAACACGTTCCAATGTCGTCGGCTAAGAGCGGGTGCGATAACGCAATACAATTTGTGTTTAATTGCATCTAATTGAATGAGACCGTGTCCCAAGGTGCTGGACACAAGTGAGCCGCACGCATCGTAGGGACCGCTGTAAAATGAGCTGCATGCAGCACCTCTTCAACAGATAATTATAAGACGCACCAGGAACTGGTGGTTCAGTGGTAGAATTCCCGCCTGCGTTGCGGGAGGCCGAATTTTGACTCCTGGCCAATTCAACTAATGTTTTGCGATGTGTCAACACCCTTGGCACCCTTACAAATGGGATGCTCCATCTCCAGGGGTGTACGAAGTGAAATACTTTCGTTAATCAACTAAATTCAAATTTTACGCCAATTATGACATCCCGGAAGAGCAGGAAAGAAGGATTTAAAATAGAAGGTGGAGAAACACGCACCTCCAACTTTTTCTTCCAAATGCAGAGGGAATAAAGTGTGTTTTATAATCCAAAGAATACAGTTCTTGTTTAAGGCAAGGTGTAGTTGAAGGCATTTCGTAAAGAAGAATCTGTCTCAGCGCAGCAGAAGTCTTGAGTTTTGACTTCAACAGGCACTGGGGGTTGGCAGCATGGACGGCGATGAAGTGAGAATTCCAAACAAGAGCAGCAGAGAAGGAGTGACCTCGAATTGAGTGTACATTAACTGGGGGCATTGACAGAAGGCGTGTACGACAGTATCGGTATGAAATCGAATCCACCAGAATGCTATCGTTCCATATAGCCTTGCAGAGTTCAATATTCACAAATAACAGAATTATTTGTTAATTTAAAAAAAGCAGTCTAGAGGTTATCAGGCAGGTCCTGAATGGGATGTTTGGTCAATGAATGTTTGAGCATGTGGGAGGAAACCAAACTGCCCTGAAAAATAACCCAATGTTATCAATCGATGAGACCACCCATGTGTGTGAGATTAACTGCCTTACCGCATTGGTAAGGTTCCAGCTGACGTATTTTAAGATTTAAAATCGAACTTAACCAATCCAAGGCTGTAGTGTGAAACAGCTTGTCATCTGTTCGCACGTAACTTGACATGTAACAATTCACTCCCCACTGCAACTTGGATGAACCGGCATGATTCAAAGTTAAAGGAATGGATTATTATTGTTACATTTTTATCATCTCGTTTGTCATTTTACAATTTGTTTCCTTTCCCCATCCACACAGATGTGTTAACTCCATTCACCTCAATATTGCATTCACACAAGGTGCGCTCTGGCTCCAGTTAAGGTGGCCAGTCGATGCGATTAGTTGCTGAAGGAGCTCCCAGCACGTGGAGCAAAACGTCGGACATCGCGCGGGAACAAAGCCGTCGCATGCGCGTCACCTGCACCACGTGGTCTCGGCGCTCCGCCTCCCCCTCCTCTGGGCCGTTGCGATTGGCCGGCCGCTCGAGCGAGCGCTCTCTCCGATTGGTCCGCTCCGGCCCGCGAGCCCCCGGGCCGCTGGGCTCGTAGCGGTCGGGCGCGAGTGGGTCGAGGGGGTCCACCAGGATCTCGAGCGGCCCCATGGGGTGGCTCCACGTGGCGCGGTTGTGGATGTCCCACAGGGTGTCCTGCCCGAAGGTGCCTTTGCGAATGCGGAATAGAACATAGTCCCGTGCATCATTCAGGGCGGGGTGGGGTGGGGGGGGGGGGAGACGCGTGGTCGTGTGGTCAGAGCCCCCTTCTCAAGGGGACGACGACTCTCCGTCGAGTGGAGGCCCTGACAGCAGCAATGGTGCGCGCAAGACATTGCAGGGCTGCGCCTTTAAAGTTTATTTTATTTATTACACGGATCATGGACATTTCGCGGCTATGTTTCACGGGAGATCCGTGGTGCTGCGAGAGCACAGCAGCAGCAGCACCTCCACATTGAACAGAAGGAGTCCAGTTGCACAACTGATGGGGGCCGTCCATAAATGACGTCACGCGATTTTTGACCCCCCCCCCCCCTTCGTCACACGGCGTCACAAAAAGTCAGACCCCCCCTCAAATATGACGTCACAAAGCTCTGCCCCCCCCCCCCTAAAAAATAAAACATGCTTAAAATCGCTTTAAACTATTGTCATTGTGCATATTTAATGTGGCGCTGCACATTAATTAAGTAGAACGTGTTGTCTATATTTAAAGTTGCGCATTTTGATGTGACGTCACATTTCTCAACTCCCCCCCCCTCGTCACACATCGTCACAAATGTCTGACCCCTCCCCCCCCCCAGGTGTGTGACGTCATTTATGGACGGCCCCATAGATGCGGCATTTGAACCACTTAGTAAGAGTAGAGGTTAAAGTGAGTCAACACTGCAGTGGCCATCACTCGTTTATAGAAGTGGCCAACAACCCCCAATGCAGGCTTCCAGGACAGAGGGCGTGCATGGATATTGCACAAATGAGTGTCCAAACTGAATTATTCAATTCACTTGTTTATACGAAAAAAAATTAGGAAAATACCTGGGCGTACGTGCCGATATAACAATATATAGAACTGAGTTTAACATAAGAATGCACTCAAATCAAATGTAATGGATAAGATTCCCTCAAGATGAAACAGCTTAATGATGAGGTGCTCGGAGAGCTGCATTGCCACTCCAGAGACACTCTAGAGCCCTGCAGCATCGCTTACCAACAAAGGCTCCGTCCACACTCCACAGCCTCACTGAGCAATCCAACGCAGCTGTGAGCAGCAGCTTGTGCTCCTCGATGACATCCATGCTGAGAGAGAACGTGACAAACCGCACTCAACTTTTGGTCTCGCAAAGATTCAGTTTCCTTATACGATCCTGCACTGTGCCCGCTTTCGTTCCCACGCCTTGATCCTTTTCTGAGACGGGGTTGGCAGATCACACGCCGCGTTCATTACCTACCCAAGTGATCTCCAACCTCGTATTCTGAAGTGCCACACAAATACAGTTGTTCCACAAGTTATCAACCATCCGGCAAGACACAACCAAAACACGTGGCATGGTGTACATTAATTTGTTCGTTTGCCATCGATCACAGCAGGCGTGCACAACTCACCTTGTGATTGCGCCGACATGGGCTCTCCATAAACTCACCACTGGGGACAAAGAAGGAGAAGATCTGCTCAAAACGGTCATAAAATCCAATCACGAGTTGTAGCCTCAACTCCAAAAGCTGTATGGGGAAGCCTTAATGGGAAGCGTATGAGTCACTGATGATGCACATTTGGTCATCATGGGCAGTGTATTGACAAGATTATCACTTGACTGTTGTTACACAGCACTCTCACAGAAACAATGCAGAATTATTACAACACCACAATCGTTTTAGCAAGTGCTGCTGCATGCACAATAATGCAAATTGCATAAAAGCAATACTCGGAAATCAATAATATGACGCAAGGGCAAAGAGAGATTAACAAACATGTGCTGTGTAAATTATAATCTGGCCCAGTTCAGACAAAACAAGCAATAAACGAGAGTTAAAAAATAGGTCGTCACGGCCTTCACAGATTTCTCCTAGTCTGGCACGTGGGCAGATCTCCCCTATGTGTCTCCACATACGAATGCATTTTAGTCCTTAGGCTGCCATGGTGGAACAGCGCACTCAACTTGCTGCCGGTTCATCTCCCAGTGTGGCAGGTGAAACAATGGGCAAAACATCTGTCCACTCAGCACTATAATTGTGTACTTCACATTTAGTCGATTGGCATGCCGGGTGTATTTGGGTAAAGCATCTGGTCAGCTTGGATGAGTAGGACAATGCCCTCTGGAGAAGCTCTCCAGAGCCCCCTCTAATGGAGGCCCTCATGCCAGCAGTGGGATGGGCGAGTAACCTTTTAGCGATCAGCCTCTTGGATTTCCACACACAAGTTATCCAGCAGCATCTTTTTAAAGCAAGCAAACTGGGCCAGTTTCAACATTCTGGGTGCCATCGGCAGAGTTAAGCTTGTCAAATAAACGTCGCGAGGTTACCAGATGTTATTGGAAAGAGCACTCCATCCAAACGATGGGTCCGATGTGGAGGGGGGGGGCGGTGCCACCTACACTGGGGAGGCTCTTCCTCGGGGCCGTGCATGGCGTGCGAGCTCACGTCCCACGCGTACACGTGGCCCGTCTGATCCGCGGCCAGCAGCACGCTGTCTCCGAGAGCCGAGGCCAGGCAGCACACGGGCCTGCCCTGCCGGCCCTGGTGCGCACAGACAAAGGTCCCCCTTCAGCCTCGCAGACCATAAGGGCAAGTGCTGTTAAGCCTTTCCCATTCCGATGACGTATTTGTACGTACATGTATGTCACCGGAATGGAATCGGAAGAGAAACTATTATAAAACAACTTTGTCGGTACCGAGGTTGACAACGCCGAGTGGAAGGACGCGTGGCGCAGTGTGGCACAGTTTGGCGCCAGCTATCACAGATTGCGGTCGTGTCGTAGGTTCCCTACGGTGAGTAGTGTCTTTCAAAGAAATAAAATGAACGCCGAGTCCCTTGCGTGTTCCACGATTCAGCAATGAACGGGACCCACCCTGCAACTTGCAAGCACCTCACGTGATCATTCTGGTCACATGGAGGACTCTCCAATGATAATCATAAGGTCGGCTAATCAAGTTACAATTCAGTACAAAATAATTCAAAGCTTAATTAATTCCAGCCAGCACAGTGTCCCACCACCTTTGTCTCCCCAGTGCTGCTGTTTACACAATACACCAAGTGCCTATTTAAGGAAGAGACTACACCCAGCTGCAGGAGTGGGTCCACGACATGCCACTGGTTTGTTTCATGGTCGTAACTGGAACGTGGGTCGCTGGGTCTCAGGGAACGTGCCCATTACTCTGCTATATCCATTTATTGAAAAGATGTGTGCACGCACTGTTTGAAATTACACAATGAAGCATTCGGCACGATGCGAGTGTTTGAGAAAGAGGATTGTCATCGTTACACATACGGCAGGAAACCTGGCGAACAGCCGTCCTCCGTGATAAACGTTCCAGAAATGAATGAACCCTGCAAAGAGACAATTGCACTGTCACATTAAATTAAACAAAAGACAACATTTCTCTGAGCTCAGTTATGCAGAGTGAAGAGCTCATCTCCACTGCCAGCACTGATCCAGTGGTGAAGATTTCCACATTCCTGAACTAATCAAAGAGTTGTGTGATACTGCGTTGGCAGTGGTGCACAAGTGTCCTGTATGTATGCTGGACTTCTTTCACAACGTACGTAGCCAACCATGCTCACCAGAGGTATGAAGCAACAACTCAACACATCCGTCAATAACACCGAATGGCATGACTGAACATTGGGCTGAGATTACATGTGACTCATGGTCTGGAGTTGTGAGCCCAGATGCCACATGCCACAGCTGCCAAATTGTGAAATATAATGAAAAATAAGGACAGCTTTTACCCTTTCTGGCAATAAAACAGGTGTTAAGATGTTCAAACACCAAATCGATCCCTTTTGCAAGGTATCAAGTGTGCATTAGCCACACTTACTTGTGGCAAAACATGTAAACAAACATGCTCTTCTTGTTTCTTTCGGTAAAGTCACGTAGAAGGGAAGTAATAAAATAATAAAAATAAAACATAATAAAACAATTCTCACGACGTTTCGGCTACAACGCAAGCAGCCGTCTTCAGGTGAAGAATGAGACACTACCAAACTAGGAGCTTATATATAAGCTGCCTTGGGGGTTGAAGAGCGCCTTAACAAAAAGAATGTGCATGTGAAGAGGGATTTAGCATATTCATGGGAAATGCGTAGGCGTTGGGCGGGGGGGTGTCAAAGTCATATTATGCCCATGCATTATGCAGGATCAGCAGCAACCAAGGGGGGTGCAGGGATTAGCAGTAACAAAGGAAAGGAATGTTAATGATATGTAGCTGCAGTTACTCAACAACCACGTAGAAAACTAAAGTATAAACTACATAAAAAACTAAAGTATAAACTGCATCGCACCATCAGTATACTTACTATACTCTATAATAAGCTGAGTTACTAACAGCAAGTAATACATTACAATTTTACCTCGTAAAAATTCTATAATATGCTTCCATCTAAACCTTATTCTCTTACATCACACGAGCATATACCGTACTATATACTGCCATAGATAAACCCAACATTAAATTATATACTGTATTGCTGTAAACCAACCTATATCTTATACATTTAATATCACACTATGTATTATTCTACACACCCTAATGTGTATCGAAATGGTTTATTACGTCCTTCCAATGATTGCTGAGCCAGAATCCATCTTCTCGGTTAAAATTGTCTCTGTGTTTGTATATGTGGATCGCCTCATGAACGAATCTCTCATGATAGCCAGATGGCTTGCAGAGAACCTCTGTCTTGGAGAAGTCAATATCATGTGAGCCCACTGAGTTGTAACAGTGATCTGCCACGGCTGAGGTGTTAGTCCTACCGTGTTTCAGGTCAGCTTTATGTTCACGGATGCGGTCCGAGACATGTCGTTTGGTTTCACCAATGTAACTGCTACCACAGAGGAAACTTAGTTTGTAGACGCCAGGGTACTGTATGTCTGGAACCACATCTTTTACAGACGGTACCAGATCACGGATTTTATGTACTGTGTTGAATCGGACCTGGATCTTGTGTTTAATCAGGATTTTGGAGATCTTTTTTGTGACCCCAGCAATGTAGGGTAAGGTGATGGTCTTGAAAGGCTCCTCAACAGGATCCTTCTTGATGGTTGGAGTGATGGCTTTGCGGATTGTATAGTCGGAGTAACCATTTGCCTTAAGAGCTTGGCGTACGTGTTTGAGTTCACTGGAAATGTGTTCATGGTCGGAGATGCATTGGGCTCTATGATATAGAGTCTTGATGAGGGAATTCTTCTGGGATGGATGGTGGTGGGAATCCGGTTTTAGATAAGCATCCGTGTGGGTGGCTTTCCTGTAGACAGAGTGGCTCATTGAACCATCAGGTCTCCTTTTGATTAGGACATCCAAAAAGGGTAGCTTGCCATCATTTTCGACTTCCATGGTGAATCTGATGGCTGGGTGCTCTGTTAATATACACGCATTGGCTTTGAAACGGATTGGCCTGCACCAGAGGCAGCCTTCTTTAGGGCCTCGTCTCACCGCTGGTCGGCCAGAGAGCAGCACGAAGACAATGCGAACATCAGCACACCGATTGCTCAGGTTCAGCGGTTGTGTTGGATCCTGGCAAAATGGTCCCATCGATATTGTTACTCATTGTTACTATCACTCATTATTACTATCACTCATTATTACTATCACTCATTTTAAAGTATTTAGTTCAGGGATGATGCTGCCGTGGACAAGAGGTCACATTAAGGGATTTCACATGTAATTCTGCGATATCCACGTCTGTGGGCCGTTTTCTTATAGTGATCCATTTCGATGTATCATCTCATAACATGGTGGGGATTGCACAATAAATGATTAAATATGGAATTCAGTTTTGTTACAAAAAATGTAAAACGAAATGAAAATGTTAAAACTGAGTGTTGTGTGCTGCTCGCCATGTGGCCCGCTCGCAACGAGCAGAGCAGCCCTGTCCTTGTGGGCGACACGGCTCTTCAGGAAGATGACCTTGGAGACACTGAGATCGTCATCCTCTGTGGGGTTACATAGGGGTCAGTGGTCAGGTGTCAGAGAAATAAGCAGGCAAAAAGACCAGAGGAACCCACAGCATCCATGAAGCAGAAAATCAACGTATTACTCTCGGCATGGTGGTTAACACCTTTAATCCAGAGGTTTGAAGGTAAGGGTGAGTGAATCGCGTGGGTTTGTGAAATTCACAAATCTGCTGTGCTCGTGAGGTGGCCACGAGGTGGCAGTAGAGCAAGTAGGTTTGTAGTGTGGTGGTTGTGTCATGTGCCCTGACTTAAAGGATAAATTAAAATCAATGGTCAATGGAAATTCCAGTGTGAACGCCGGTGCAATCGCACCGCCCGCGCACGGAGGGCACCTGCAGGGTCGGCGGAGTGCTGAGCCGGCGGTGGAGGCAGGCGACAGCTCACGTGACCAGACACCAGGTTCCACACGATCACCTCCCCGTCGTAGCTGGACGTGGCGAGGAGGCTGGGCGGGCACTGGGCCACGCACAGCACATCCTCCCGATGGCCCTTTCTCTGCGGATGGCGACGATCAATTATGACACTTGTGCGAGAGGAGGTAGGCCTACACTGGTGTGACATATCGGAGAACAATTCCTCCACTGCCACATGCGAGCCGAGCGAGCAAGGGGTCCTCACGATACGGGTTGCGGTTGCCGCCTCTCCTGACTTTCGCTAGAGGTGGAAACCCTAGGTAGGGTTGGTTTTCCACTGGCTATTTGCCAGAATTTAACCGTGATATGCTGGCCTGAGAAGATATCTGAATCTGGCTCAAGACCAAATAGGAACACTGGCGGGGCTAATGAAGCATCCATCGTGTGAAGTCCGTCATCACACCGTCCGGACACAGCGTCACTGCCACATCTACATGCGTCTTGACATATTCATCGCGTGTGACGGCAGTGGCACGGCTCAGCTGGTGGAGTGGAAAACAACCCTGCGCCTCCTGAGCCACGCCAGGTTGGCCCGGCACTGCCCTGGCACACCTCGGTTGTACTGAGGATAAGAGGTCAAAGTGCATCTCTGTGCTCAAACAGTCTCGTCTTGGTTTAACATGTAGGCCTTCACGACTGTTGGGATAGCTACCGACTGTGCTGCGTGGAAGCGAATCATCAAATAAAACATTGTTTAAATGCATGCCTATACAGGCCACTCATACTTCAATAGGGATTACCATCGGTACGGCTATTTTAATATACACGATGGACAGGAAGGACAAGATCAATGGGCTCACATAATGCGCATGCATAATGTACGTTGACTCAAGAGTACAGAAGCGTGGTCACCACATCTATGCCTCTATATAGGGACCGAAACAGGTGGACTTCTACATAAATCTGGCTGTCGCCTGATGAAGCTCATTGTAATTACTGGCGAAACGTCGTACTCAGATTGTAAATGTTGTGGCTTGGCTCTCCAACACACCGGTTAGTGCTGTGCCTTTGACGAATTGGCACGTTCTGTTTACGTGACAACCCTTACTAATTGGCTGTGTCGGGTGGTGGCGGGTTTAACGACACATTAAAGTTCCACATTCCTCCGGTTGGGGATAGCTCTTCCACAGGAACAATGGCGTCCTTTTCCTTTTTGCAGTTACAATTTAAGAGACGCTGTGTGTGCGCCTAGATTTGAAATGGTCCAAATTCAAGGAATACAATTTCAACTCTGGTTTTATAACCTAAAAACCTTAAAATATTTTCTAAATTTGTTTAGGCATCCTGAAACCGAAAGTAGGTCATGTGTGTCAAGGTTTGTAGGTCTTCATATAATTGGACCAATTCCTTTCAAATCAGCTATTGCTGAATAGATAAATCACGTTTATTTATGACTAGGTAAGAGCCCACTGAGAATAAAAGTCTGCCATGAAGTGGGTCTAATAGGTATTGATGACCTTTAATCATATACAGAGGATATGGCCCAGACACAGATGTTATTGATCAGCAGCAGCAGAGTTTGAACCGGGATGCTACATTTAGCATAGGTGCTCTGATGGAAGAAACCCCCAGGGGGCGTAAGATGTTCATCTCAGATTTAATTGGTGCCACTGTGTCGGGTACCAAATCATCCGCCCAGTGCGGTTGTGGGAACTGAATCAGCTGTTGGTCCTCTTGGGAATCCTGAAAGAGAAAATGAGTACATTTTATCCACAGCATCACTCCGAATCGAACTTGGATTTCTGGGTTCACGGCACGGTGTGCAAACCATGGGGGGACACCCACTTAACCGACATGGCTAGGGGACGCTCTCATCCAGCAGTGGATTGACAAAGGACTGTCCATTATTAGAAGCAACTGCAAGTGTTTTGTTTATACGATGAGAATACTTTTAATCTTCATTTGAAGCTTTAGTGACTGCAGAAATGCATTCCCTGGTTCTTTCGGTAAAGTCACGTAGGTAGAAAAATAACGAATAGATCACGACGTTTCGATAGCAACACAAGCTATCGTCTTCAGATGAAACAATGCAGCAGGCGGACTGCTGAGGCAGGAGGAAATGTAGCGAGAGCTACTGCAGACAAAGCTTGTCGACGTTTGTGGTGGGTACAACCCAAGGGTAAGTGGGCGGGACTAGGGATGGAATTTGCAGGCAAATGTCGAGTAGTGATAATAATTTAGTAAATACAACATTACTCTCTCTATCTTTAATCATGTGTAGCCACATGACAATATATTCGACCAAAGGTTATGTTTCATATCTCGAAGGAGGAAATGCGGTGTAGAGGGAGGGCACTTACCCATTATCTCTAGGTAACCAGCAATATTTGTGTAGCACGCCTGAATGCTGATGAGGCCCAGAAGGGATGAAACCAGTCCAGAGTTTGTGTATTTAAGCAGATCTTGTTGCCTAACCTTACGCCTGAGAGTCCAATAGGTTTAAAGACTAAACAGTATTGTGTGTGTGTGTATGTAGATACATAACTGATTGAAAGATTATACTGCAAAAAACTCTAATTTACCAAGTCGCATAAAGCAGACGATGATATCTATATAGCATGTAAATGTGAGACACACTTACCAAGAAAATATTTATTCTCTTGTCCCATCCGACTGAAATAATATATCTACATGAAAACAGACATAAGCAACGCGCATTCAGCATGGCTCCAAGGCACGTTCAAGGCACTCGTATTCAAACAAGCACCTTGTCATTTTTAAATTACCCTAATTTACACCGGTGCAATGAGAACATGAAATCAAATAAAAGCAGCATCAATAGCAACAGCTGTGTTCAAGCCACTGCTGGATGAAGCCCTCCTCATGTTTTCTGCCAAATCTCAGGGTCCTGCGATGTCGCATTCTACCCGCTCCTGCACATCAAGCTGGTTTCATTGTTCCATCTCCCAAGTGGAAATCCTCCTTTGATAGCAGATCGGGATGACTGTTGCCAGTCATCCCGATCTGCTATCATCCCTTCTCACAATACTTGCTGCCGAAGCTCACTTACTTGTCTTAGCAGTCATGAGCTGCTCTCTTCGCTCCATCTCCACGCTGGAGGTCCTCTTTAGCTCGTCCCCTCCCTTAGCGGCTGCCCACTCTGTCAATACTCGCAACTGCCAGCCGTCATCTCTTCTATCGACAGGTCCCTTGCCCACTTGCTTATCTTAACAGTCACTAGGGTGCCGAATGTTTTCCCCTCCACACTTAGAAACATGCATTGAGATTATTTAAATTATTTTGTTGTTATAAATTTGATGAGGCACTTCGTTGAGCTATCACTTGTGGCCAGGGCGCTTCTGAAAAAGAAGTGAATAGCTCAGTGGGCCTTAGCTGGTAGTATAAAAACAACTTGTATCTGTATATTTAAGTGATTTGTTTACATTTTCTCTACTTTGGCACTCCAATCGTGTTTTTGTATTGCTTGTTGTTGTCACGTTTTGACCTTCCCCGACGGGACATCTGCGAAAAAGAGCTTTACAGCTCATTGGAGTTCTCCAGTATAAATACATATTATAAATAAAGTGAATACATTTTTTTTAAACATTAATGTAGACTGTAGCCTGGTTCTTAACCTCGGTGAGTGTACCGGTAGTCGATAATGTAGACTTATTATTGGTTCTTTCGGTAATATAAAATTTCAATAATTTTATTTATTCTTTATTTTTTATTACTGAAAGCATACAGAATAAGTCTACATTATAAACTGCCAGTATGCTCACCGAGGTTAAAAACCTTGCTGCAGTCTCCATTAATGTTTTTTTTTTGTTTTTTATTTTATTTGTATAACTTTTATTTTTCTTCACTTTATTTTTCTATCTACGTGACTTTACCGAAATAACCAAAAAATATGAATTCCTGCAGTCACGAAAGTTTTAAGTAAAAAAATATCAATATTCTAATTTAGAATTTGCATTTGTCCTCTGATCCATGTGGCCCTCTTTCTGACTCTCGGTGTAATTCCCATCATGCTTCGTTGTCCATGTTTTCCCTCGGCATGGTGTTGAATGGCAAGTTGGTTCCGTCAAGTTGACCAAGCACGGATTCTGACAGACACTTTGACTGACTTGCCTTTTTCTAAATGTTTGTTATGGGGGGAACTCACTTATTTTTATTGACCACGACGTACGTACAGTCACAGATCTCTTCAGCATTCCTTTCTGCAAAAGAAATGTGAACTGGTAAGAAGGCCTTATTATCCACTGAGCAAACCACACATTCTCAGTTAATGCAGACATAAAATTGTTAAAGCTTTGCACATGTCCAATTCACGCTTCCATGCTTTTGTGCACAAGTGAATTCCGAAGCGATACACATTCAAATCTCCACGTAACAATTAAGGGATGTTGTACCAGGTCATGAGAGTCGATCAATAACATAGATTTTAGCCCTTTGTCAATCCGCTGCTGGATGAATGCCTCATGCTCTCATGGTTGTTTGGCCATACTTCACCACACTGATCAGCGCGGGTCCGTGAAGAGGGGGCCCAGGATGGGGGTCAGATATCCCTCTTAGCCACTGATGTTCGCATTGCCCAAACCACTGCGCCACCACTCATTTAAAGAACACTGTAACATTGTTCTTTGTGTGAGGAGAAAATGTACCTTGTGTTGAACTTTTAGATTTTATCATATGTACAAATATGGTGAAAGTAATAACACCTTATTTTACGTGTTAGATAAAGTGCCGTGTTAGTAACGACAGTCTTCTGAGAGAGGAAAAAACACTGCTGGTATTGGTGGAGTAACGGATGATTCTGCTTACTCAGAACGGGCGGAAAGCACTCCCTCTGTCGCAATGAGAATGCACTTCTAACTATCGCATTTTAATACTTGCTTAGACAATTATATTTTGTGTCTATTTCCTAACAGCCAATAATTATGAAGTGTACACGTATTGCATACGAGTTTGTGCATGTGTGTGTGTATGCATAGATTAATAATGCATCACTCCTGTAGAAGACGCTGTTGCATTAAGCCGCATGTCCACACACCAGCGGAAGTTGTGTGCATGGCCCTTCACTTTACCGCCTGGCAACCAGCGGCATTTGTTTACGAGGCCAGAGTTCTCCGGCTAGAGTTCACCTGTTTAAGCAAATGCTGATGTCATATATTGGTCAATAAAGGACATATCGGCTGCTGAATCGCAATTCACATGAATCTCTTCTGTGGTCAGATTCTTGTCCATCTATTGTGAACTCTATATATTGTATTACTTCACATAAGTGACATTTTGAAAATACCTCGTGTTTTGCTTCATAACACCCCCCCCCCCCAACAAAAGCCATGGAGGCGTTTATCTTCTTGAAATAGGAGGTAAAGAAACTCGTAATTCGAGACTCAAACATCGCACCAACAGCTCCAGGCTGTGACACTGCTAAAAGACTCTGGTGGAACCATCAACTGCATTAGGACCTCAACAGGCCAATGGGAATTTAAAGACCCAGCCAAAGTGTCAATGTGGCAATGCAACCTAAACTACGGACCATACAGTCAACAAATGTAGTCAGTGCTCCATCAGGAGAGAAGGAACAGCAAAACTACACAAACTCTCTCCTGAAGACCTCTGGTGGCTAGCACTACTCCACATTCGTATTTAGCTACCGAACATATGATTGCCATACGTAATTGAATAGAATCAGAAAGATAAGCGCATGGTGATTTTTTATTTCGATCAGTTCCACGTGATGGGGACTTACGTTTCCTGAGTGTTCGCAAACACTGCCCGTTGTTGTAGTTCCACACTTTCAAACACCCATCTCGCCCGCCTGTAATCAGCCTGCACGCCGGACACAGTCGGTCAACACAACAGCTCCCACTTGATCTCGCAGACCTGTAGCTGAGTTCGCAACATCAACAAAATTCCCACCAGCACTGCTCAGTATGTCCTACAGTGGCCTCTGGTGAATAGGAATCAGCCATGAAGTAATGCCTGACTTACTAATGAATGATCACAATACAGAACAATGTACTGTATTAGTGTCCATGAAAACAATCATACTGTACACACAAGTGGAGAAAATGTCTCTTCAAGAGGAGCACAGAAGAGGATTTTTTTTCATAAATAACTTGGATTTATTTAGCATTTTAATACTATAAGCATCTTTAAATGCAGTGGAGGAACAACTATGTAAATACATGATGTGGATACATCTTCAAATATCATAGAAACTTGCAAGTTGATAATAAGAATATTTCCCCCATACCAACACAGACACACGTGTGAGATGTGCACGTCTAACACGTGACACTGGAGCACTTCCCATTTTCAGAGCCAATCAACATTTGGTGGAATTGATTGGTGGTCAGGTATGCAAAGTAGTATGGATGGTATGAGTGGACATATGACTGGCATCCAACGATGGTGTCTCAGACTGAGCGGAGGTTGGCTGATGATGATCCCTTTTTCATCTCTCGTGGGGGCTGATGGAGCAGGAGGGGCTGACGCTGTGCGATGGGGGGAGGGAGTCCCACCTCCTGCCGCTCGAGTCGAAGGCCATGCAGGTGATGGCCGACTCCCCGTGCGCCCCGCAGAACTCGAACGTGGGGAGGCCCGAGTCCAAGTCCCACAGCTTCACCTACCTGCGAACGGCGCGCGGCACGCGCACGGCACACCTCCACCATCCCCCCTCACATCCTCCAACAATCCCATCATCCCCTCAATTGCCACGACCAACTAACAGCATCACCCCCCCCCCCCCCCCAGCCACCAACAGAAGAAGAAGAACGGCATGAATGCCAAATGTACAATGCACCCGTGATTTGATGTGGTGCTGGCCCATGCCTCGTGGAGGCTGGAACTCACCGAGTCCTCGGAGCAGCTCACGACTTGGCGGAACTCAGCGCTGTACCGACAGCAGCGCACCGGCTCCCTGTGACTTGTGGCCGCCCCGGCGTCCATGTGCAGCCTAGAAGCAGCACAAAAGCAAAGATCCCCCGTATAGCCTTAACAGACTGTTCAGGCAAGTGCTGTTCTCCCGAACAGCACTTGCCTGAACAGCCTGGCACAGCACACGAGGGGGTGGGTGGCCAGCATTACGTCCGGCCGTTTTTGTCTCCCCAGTTGGCGATGTTTACACATTGCACCAGGTACTCATTTGAGGCTGAGTCAACCTAGAGGAGGCCCAGGACCGATTCAGATAATCGTCACTGGTGTTGGCCATGAGCGGGAATCGAACTCGTGCCACCGGGTTCATAGCGCAGCGCGCTAACTGTGGCGCTGCCGCTCCCCACTGCGTGTGTGGGAGCAGCACAAAGATAAAAAGGCACACACGTGCGCCACCTTAGCCATGGCGACAAAGCCCCCTGAGGTCACTCCTGGCCTCTTGACTTCTCACCCGGTAGCACAAAATGAACGTGAAACTGGAACCCGCGCGTCACGTTCGCTCACCGGTCGCGGACGGACAGAAGAGCCACGCCGCCCTCGGTGGCGACGCACAGGGCCCGGGCGGCCGGCAGGTAGTGGCACGCGGAGACGTCCCCTCGCAGGCCGCTCATCTTGGGGCTCACGGAGCACAGGCAAGTCTGCTCCTGGGCGTCCCACACCTGAGCCGGAGACGCCGGCCAAACACGGCGGGCGAGGAGAGTCAAGGTTGACTCCTGCCCGACCTCCCCTGCGCACCCACGCTCCTCAGCGCTGCCCCCTCCCGCGTTTATCTTGGGTCCAGTTTGTCGCCAGCGCTGCCCCAGCTGCCCTTGGAGACAACGGCCCCAAACCCCCCTACCGCCCGCCCGCCCGTCCCAAGGAAGCCCTGGAACTCGTTGGTGCTGCCCTGGCTGCCCCGGCTCTCCCCCCGGTTCACTGTTGGCGCTGGGCCCTTGTTGCTTTGCCGCCGAATACTGCCGCAGTGTTTCTCTCTTTCTCTCCTCTCTCTATTGTTAATCTGCCATGGGCCCTTCCAGCCCCCAGGTCACCCAGCTTCTACCCGAATGTAATAAGTGTATGGTATTCCCTCGTTATTCACGAACTTGCTATCCGGGAAGCGCATCTGGAACTCTACTTCTCTGAAGGAGCAATAAAGACATCACAACGATCATCATCATCACCACAATCATTGTCGTCATCGTCTTTCAGCATCATCTTCACTGCTTCCTTCTACTGCACAGCATCACCATAATTTATGGTAAGTTAATTTATAGACTGTTATTTAATCCTTTAAGATTTATTTTTATTTACTTTATGTTTATTATAATAAAAAATTGCGTTGTTATGGAAATGTCCACGTATTTAATAGCTTATTTACGTATTCATTTAAGGTAATTCATTCTAAGAGAGGTTTCCGAAGGCCAATATCATTATCCGCGAAATATGATATTCATGAGCATCTCCAGAACGTATCCCTTGTCGCAAACAACGAGGGAATGACGGATAGAGATTGGTGGGAGATGTGTATGGACTTGGACCCTAAGTCTCATTGTTTGTAAAATTCCTCCATATTATTATAGTGGGGTATCTATAAATTGATCATCCTGTACGTTGAACGCAAAACTTATGGCTGCAGATAAAATTGATCCAGTGCTGAGTTTCTCAGGAAAAATAACTTTATATCAGAAACCTAAACAGGTCCTTAACTCAAGCTAAAACTAACATGAGTCTTAGCTAGGGTGATCTTGTGTAATTGCAGTCACAAAAACAATTGATGTCAAATGTCAGCACATGTGAGTGGACTCCACCATTGAAGATTATCGATAGTGAAGCTCTACTCTCGCCGGTGGCGCTCGTTTTGCTCCACCGCAGGACGGCACCAACTCACTTTGATGTTTCTGTCCGAGCCGACCGAGAAGATGCGGGACGTCTCCTCACAGATGGCCAGGTAGCAGATGGGCGACGTGTGGCCCCTCAGTACACCCGTGGGCCTCCTGGGATGTGCACATTCACGCGGCCTCGGTTACATTCACTTCATCCACGAGGCATTTAACCATCCAATCGGCGCTCAGCATTTATCAACCTACCAGCCACACGACCCCGACAACACTCTCGTCAAGGAGAAAACTCCGGTCATCCTCGCAGCGGTGGCTTTTAGCGAGCCACTGGACAAAGACGGTCACTGCATCGTGCACTTTCAGATGTGCTTCTGCGGCCATCTGAAACGCTCTTCCTTCCGATATGATAAAGCCACGGGAACGACACACTTTAAAATCGAGATTTAAAACTCATTTCTTTAGAGCTGCTTTTTATGTTTAGTTTGTTGTCCTTCCCCCACACCTCCGATGAGCGCGGTTGGCTCCGTACAGTGTGAATGATGTTTGAGTTCAACTCTACCGCTACCACTCGTGACGTTAACATGAATCCCAACACTAACACCTACACACGAGCCGTCAAACCACTGGGAAACATTGTCGAATGTGCACCACCCCCCTCTCCTCTACGCTGCTCAGTGCCGCCGTGGCGACGAGGCACGGTTACCCGGGCACGTAAGGGTTCCAGAGGCGCACGGTGCGGTCCATGCCGCCCGTCACCACCAGGCTCCTCTCCTTGCTGAAGCAGAACGTCTTGACGCCCTTGTGAACGCGGAACACCGTCTGGTCGGTGGCCGCTCTGCGTCGTGCCGCCCCCAGGCCGCACGGCCGCCTGGCGCGGAGGTTCCCGGCCGTGTCCCTGACGAGCTCCTCCTCCAGGTTGGTGGCGCCCGTCGTGCACCCTTCGTCACGCGGCGACACGCGCCCAACACGCGGCGCACGGCGCGTTGTGACACGCATCAGCGTCGCCATCGCTCGGCATGCAGCAATTTACGATTACTTGGAATTAAAATGAGAAAATGCGTTACGTTAATATCGATAATACGAGCAGTTAAACTCACCAATGACAAGTGCAGTGCCTTCGTGGTTTGAGGAGGATATCACTGCCCGGATGGACTCGTAATACTTAAGCTGCGATGACACGCACGTATACGTACGCACACACACGCGCACACATAAATACACGTGAAGCTGCATCACACGTGCCAAACAAACTCACGTTAATTTTGTTTAACCAGGTGAGAACTCAAGAGACCAGGATAGCCTAATTTGCAAAAGTGACCTGGCACATTATTCTGCCCATAGGGGGAAATGATTGCTGTGTATAGTCCCACTTTCACATTTGGCAAGTTTGGACCCTCAAGGCGACACGCTGGTCAACTTGTGCGAATTACATCGGCGTATCTTTAACATCGACCATGAAGCACAGAGTGCGTAGTAGTAGTATTCCACCTGCGGTCATAATCAGGGCGGCCGAGGAATTGGAACCGTGAACCTCTGCAACAAGCGGCAAACGAGTTAAAGCGAGACCATGCCAAACTGTTGTCCTACTTAAAAACACACCGGTAAGCGGTGTATGATTCCATAGCAATAGACCACGAGAAGAAAAGTTTCAATAAGCACGTATTATCTGCCACGCATGAGGATCAGAAACATCGACATTGACAAAGCATATGGAGCAAAAGCTAAAAAGTATCCAAAGAAAAATGGAGAGACGCATGCTGGAAATTCCAATAAGAGAGACAGAAAGAGGACCACATGGATCACAGTACCACCACAAATTAGAGAAACCAAAGCGACTCTTGACTTCAAGCTTTCGTGACTGCAGGAATTCATATGCTTTGGGTCTTTTGGTAAAGTCACGTAGATAGGTTCAAAGAAAATAACAAAAAATTACGACTTTTACCGAAAGACCCAAAGAATACCACAGTGACTGTTAAGACAAGCCAGTGGCCTATGGGAAGGACGTGTTTCGAGATAACGATGGACCAGCAGCCACTAACGACAGAGTGGCAGCCGAAGGAAGGAACACACCAAAGAGCATGTGCATTGCGGAGATGGAGCAATAATCTAAGCTCACGTGCAGGATGGAGATCGATTTTAGCATCACGGGACTGTAAGGGATGGCAAGTACATGGGGTGGTTTTCATTTAGCAGCAGAAGGAACTTGGCGATGGATAGCAATTATGAGATTTGGTGGTAACTGAGAGGCCTTCATTGCAAAGTGGAAGGGAATGACTGACGGTGATGACGATGGTGCAGAAGGGGATGACGGTCGTGCACCTCTGTCACCCAGTCGTCGTGCACTTTCCAGTGGATGTAGGTGAGGTTGGAGTGGTGGAGGGCATTCTCCAGGGTGATACTGGGCACTCCATCCACTGGAGGATTCTTCTTCCAAAGCCTGTCGTAGTACAGCGAGTGTCAAGGGACTTGCACTCTCCTTCACCCAAGATCCAAACATCACACATTGACCATCTGTTGCTCTTCACCGGGAACCAACCAACGAACTACCCATCTATCCAAACATCCATCTAACCAACCACCCAACCATCTATGGACATATTAAACTTTTAAAACTATTTTCGATGTTACCAGGTAAGGCCCACTCCAAACATGCATCTAACCAACCATGCAACCAACCAACTCTCCAACCACATGTCACAATATTAGTTGACTTATTTACAAGAAGGTTGGGATATGGTGTGGGATTATGTATTTTTAGGTTGAAACGTGGCACGTGTCTGGTTTTCTAGCCCGTGACTCAAACGAAGGAATAGACAAATTCCTGATTCTATAATAATTGGCCACAGTTCTTATTCTCTAGCCACCGAGCCGGTACACGGTATGCAAAAAGTAGCATTGAAAGAAATATTGGTGCTGTATTTACTCACCTTAGTGTCTCCCCCACTGATGAGATTAACAAGATATTCACACAGCCCTGAAACAACACAAATGCTGTTCGGTATTAGAGATAGGTTACATGACAAACTCATACATAGAACTGGGGAAATTCGTTGAATAAGTCGGTTAGTCGACTAAAAATTGTATTCTACTTTTTTGTGGGGCAATGACTGGATGCCCCCTTTAAAATGGTGGTCACCCCCGCATCTTGCCTCCTGAAGGCAGGAAACCCCCTACAAGCCATGTCCAGCGTGGCTGATGCCGATGAGGTCACCAAGCAACGCCTATCGCCTCCCGTCCAGTGGCACACGTTGGAACAGAGGTGAGACTTTTAATTCCAAGTATTTTCGTGTTCTGAACAGTTGCGTCATCAAACTGATCATCAGAAGAATAATAAATTGCTTAAATATTCAGATATCTCAGCTCTCCTCGTATCTCCCCACACGTTGTTCTGTTTATCCGACTTTGGTGTAGGCTTTTATATCATCAGATATCAGAAGATACACAGGAGTGAGCATGGGTAGTGACCACCATGCATAACAGGTGTTACAGGCTGTGGGCTACATGGAGGGCATTACAACAAAATTCACTGTTACACTGTGCTCATATGCTCCCACATCTATGTTCCCTGCCTTAACCAACCTGCGGTGACCAACGTGAAATCTGGTCACGTGACTCCCACAACCTGCATGGCATAGGGAAGCCCTTGATTTAGCAGTGGCTTGATAAGGGCCGCACGTGTACATATCGGTCTCATGGCAGACTGGGTAACATACCCACCACCGAGCACGTTTCTACAGGGTCAACAGTTCAAGCCCCTTAAGCACCCGGAACATTTACTTGAAGGGCATTACTAGAACATGAGAGGTGTGATCCACATGTAGGTAGAGGGCCTCTTGAGCATGCACAGGCAGAAGGACCCCACTCGGCTTCACCGGCTTCCAGCCGACATGTGCATGTGTGACAATGTGAAAACCCGATGAAGGATAGCTTCCTGTGTCAATCAAGACTGACAGGCCTTTATCACTCCACTGTTGGATGATTGCCACCCACACCATATCGGTCGTCGGGGGATGTTTGACCTCACCTCGCCGCGTTAGTGAGTGCGGGTCGGGGAAGGGGTCGGTGGTTCAGATGCCCCTCGCCACTGACAATGGTCGTGGCTGGCAATTCAACTCAGGTCGCCGGGTTCGCAGGAATGTTTGTAAGTCACTGCACCAAAGCTCCACTGTGTACCAGTATCAATTTGAATGTTGATTAAAAAAAACATCCTGAATCTCACCATTGCAGCTCATTAATTGCTTTCGAATTCTTGTTTAATATGGTCACTGTAAAGCATTGAATATCTTGCGAAGCACAGAACAAACACAAATTGATTTGAGAATTATAAGTTGATTGTCGAGCAGCACCTCTGAATCTCCGTAGAGAATCATGCACTCGTCTTCTCCCGTGTGACTGGGAAACAGAAACGATTTTAAAGTGTTAGATTTGTGTAAGTTTAAATAGCAGTTAAAAAGCATTGCATATATCATAACCATCTATCATAATCATCTATCATATCCACTTGAAATTATGGGAAGCATTCTTACATGGCCCTCACCTCTGTCCACACAGCAATATAAATTGGTACGCCAGACAGTTTATCGGCAGATCGTGTGTGATAGGGCAAAGTGCGGGTTGATTCCACCTTTTCCAATAAGACCCTCTAGAGGGGCTGTGGCGTCCTTTAGCGGACAAATCTGGAGTCCCTTCCGCCTGCAGTGGCGTGAGAAGGACATCACAGAGCTGTAGCTTGAACTTTTACCCTGACCAACTAAACAGGTTATTACTGTGGCCCATAACGATGGGCTGAGTCACCCCTGAGTGGGTTTCAACTCTGGACCTTGTGAGGTGAGCACTCTCGTTACTCAGGGTGATACAATCCACCACCCCAGCAATTCGATGAATCAATGCAATTCCGGGCTGCAATTCAATTGAATAATTATTTTTTTATTTTGTTTACAATGTGGTGAATGGTAGCACCTCAATTGTCTGCAGGGGTGACGTGGGCCCACTAATTACAACCCGAACAAATCGAATTATTATCAATGCTACACACGCCAACTGATAAAGCATGTATTGTATCGTGACCTCAGGAAATGATATTAACCAATGAACTGAGGATGCATCGTTCCACCCCTCACCTGGTGGAGAAATGCGGTCGCTGTGAGCCCAACCTACCTGTAGTTGATGCGTAGGGGGACCGTCTCCAAAGCATTGATCTGGCAGTAGGGCTCGAAGGTGGACACCTCGTACAGCTGAATCTCACGGTCCCTGCGTGGTTAGAGGACACTGCGCGTTAAACCCATTCAAATCACCGATTGAGTCTCCCTCGGTTTGCCTGTCAGTATGTCAGTCACATTTGCTCATTTGTCAGTCACAATTACTCCAATTTAACCTACCGACAAGAGGACCGCAATGCCGTTTTTCGGTAACTGCTGATGGTTTATACAAAATGCACAGAGGCTGAGTGCTTTTTGTCAACACGTGTCACTGTGTTTATTTAAACTGTTCATCTCTGCAAACTGACCCTTGAGTCGCCAGAGCGATGGTGTGGACGTGTCTCCCTGCTCGAGCCGCTGTTCAGCACTGTTCATCCCCTTTCAGGAGCCCTGATGCACCTCTAGATTGCAAGTCCAGTGATGACCATTACACCACGTGCCAACAAGAACACTCAATTGATTTTGATAATGTTGAAGTTCTGTGCAAAACTAGCTATTACTGGCCAAGACTAATCGGAGAATCTATCAAAATTGAAAGAAATAAAAAATATTTTAACCATTCGGATATCTACCGACTAAGTGCTGCGTGGAAGCGAATTATCAAATAAAACATTGTTTAAATGCATGTCTATACAGGCCACCATAATTCAATAGGGATTAGCGTTGGTACAGCTATTTTAATACACACAATGCGCATGCGTAATGTACGTTCATTCATTAACCCCCCCCCCCTCCCCACATTGTGCGAGAGCGCAGCTGCGTGGTCACCACATCTACGCCACTATATAAGGAACGAAACAGGTCGACTTCATTCACATATCTGGCTGTCACCTGATGAAGCTAGTTGTAATTATTGGAGAAACGTCGTACTCAGATTGTAAATGTTGTGGCTTGGCTCTCCAACACACCAGTGTGCTGTACAAGTTTACTACACTATACACTACACTATACACTACACTATACAACACACAACTATACACTACACTATACACTAGTGCTGTACTAGTGACGAATTGGCCACGTTCTGATTACGTGACAACCCTTACTAGTTGGCTGTGTCGGGTGGTGGCGGGTTTTAACGACACATTTATATATTTACATTATCTAACCCAAAACAAAACTGTGTTATAAATAACATTTTCATTATTGTTGTACATCCTGGGACAGAAAATATTAGATAATTATTAGCTGCATAACAATTATGGGCATTAATATTTATCCGTTATTGTTTACTTGACTTATCTGCATGATTATAGTGTGGCTAACTAATGTGCGATTATGTTAATTGATATGAATTTGTTGCGATAGAAATTAGAGAAAATTGATGGGGTAATTGTTGTGCAGAGAAGCCACTGCTCTGTGAAGGTTCAGTCTACCTTGAACATTTGTTTATTCTTGCCTCGAAGGGCTCACTCGATTAAAATGGCTTAAGTAACTAAAATCAAGCAATTTCACCAAGCATCACTTCCGTTAATGCTGTGAAATGTCACCTCCAGTTTCTCGTCACCGTGCGCGAAATCCATTAACAAGGTGGACAAGGTCATTTCATTTGCACACTTCCAGCCGTGAATCCGTCATACGCGCAGCAGAGGGACGGACGATGCCTTTTGAAATATGGGCACTTCTGGAGGTCATCATTTGTGTCTCGTGATTAGACACTATCATCGCGCTGACGTGGCGTGACGGTTAGCACTCGGGACTTGCACTCCACAGGTCACCAGTTGAATTCGATCTCTCGGCACGGCAGTTGAAACAACGGTTTAACTTTCTTTATTCCTTTGTCCATCCAAGCGGCAGGTTCGTGTGTGACGCGTGGCGTTTGAGTCCATTATTGCTACATAATGGCACAGTTTGTCTATTGATACAGATGCAGTGTTCACAAGGCACACAGCACAGATAAGACCAAAATATATCTCTTATTTATATTCTTTGGGTCTTTCAGTAAAGCCACGTAGATAGAAAAAAAACATAACAACATCGCGACGTTTCGATCGCAATACAAGCAATCGTCATCAGGTGAAAAAAATTGGCGGGAGAGCTGCTGATGACGATTGCTTGTGTTGCGATTGAAACGTCGTGATGTTGTTATTATTTTTATTACTCTTTCTATCTACGTCGCTTTACTGAAAGACCCAAAGAACATGAATTCCTGCAGTCACGAAAGCTTTAAGTCAATATCTCTCTTTGTTGCATATTTGTGAATAATGTCGCCTGAATTAAGCATGGGTGCACATTTTTAAAGATAATGCTCAATATAAATAAGTGCATAGTTCCTACTTTAGAACGTAACATTAAAATGTTCATAGACAACATTTTTTTCCGTAAAACATTTTTAACAGCCTCAGTTATTGCTGATTACAGCCATCATAGCGGCCAATTTGAAATAAACGGCAGGAAGAGTGCTGTAAAGTGAGGCTCACAATAGCCAGGGCAACAACGAAAACCACGTGTGAGGAAAAGTGTTGCTGTGTGCTACAACCCACTGGTTAATTGAGTGTATTTAATACGATCAAAGATGCAGTATCTTTCTCTAACAAGGTAGAAAATATACATGAAGTCTACCTCAACCCCTCTCACTACCCCAAACCCTATTACTACCCCAACCCCTATCACTACCCCTATCACTATCCCTACCGCTACCCCTATCACTACCCCAACCCCTATCACTACCCCAACCCCTATCACTACCCAAATCCCTCCTTAACCACCCCCACCTGTCCCTCCTTACTGTCACCATAGCTACACCACCAGTGTTAATAACCCCACTCTTTATTGTAACCACTATCATATAATTTGACAAATATTGTAAAGCACATTGCAATAAAGCACTATACAAATCTATATAAAATAAGATAAGATAGTGAGATGCTAAAAGCATAGACTTCTCATTACCATCATCTCTAGACAGAGCACGTGGCAATGTCGCCTCCTGCCCGCAGGCTAATGGCCGCGTGCAGGCCGGCAACACGAAGTGCCGCGTGGGGGGAGCTGCACTCGGGGACCCCCTTGGCTCGGCTGCAGCAGCGGGCAGTGGAATGGTTGGGCTGAGATGAGAGACGCAAGACGCTTTGAGTTGCTGAGGAGCGTAAGCAAGCGCCCTACGAATGCAAATAATGTCCCCTTCATCGTTTACCAAGTCCAACCACAGCAAGGCGACATTGTAATGAGCTAAGTCGGAGCTCTCCGAGACCGTTTGCGATGTCGTGTTTTTTTGCGCGACGAGCCTGCGGCGACAAGCGTGCGGAGGAGACGCACCCAGTGGCGATAATGAACTTGTTGTACTGGGGCATCAACGCGAAGTCCGAGGCCCATTTCTGTTTGCTTCGGTTGCTCGGTTTGTGTTCCTCCTGGTTGACAAATGAGACAAGGAATGTCAACACGGCACTGCAGCCACTGGCAGGAGTTCAGGTGATAGTGGCACAAAGCCAATGCGAAGCAAGCATCGTCTACAGGGCTAATGGGAGTGGCGTTGCTTGCTGAATGCAGAGCCAGGCAAAGGGGGATGGGAAGCACAGTTGTCAAAATAAAAAGTGTACAATAGGTGACGTTTCAGGCAATGGCTCTTCTTCACAGCACACAGGCTGGAGAGGTAGAGACTCTGTGTGATTTGACGCAGTGTTATTGAGGAACGCGTTGAGTCGTTGTTGTCGCTATTTGTGCTTGCGCACCAACGCAGCAGCAGCATCACCAACTAATGTGCCGAAGTTGACGCCGTGCATGACGCGTCACGATGTTGACATCCATTTCCAAGAAAAAGACCTTTGCCCTCTTGTGAATTATGTTTGTAGTTCACTTTTTTACCTCAATCAATCTTGCAACGAGTGTTCCTGCAGTCACGAAAGCTTTCAGTCGAGTATTCGTTTACCATCCTGATGCAATTTCTAAATGGTCTCTCTCTCTGCAGGCACGGTGACATCGTGACGCATTGTGCCACCCACACGGGAGCCGGATTGTCTCCACCACCGTGAACAAAGGTGATGATGGTGGCATCACGGTGGGGAGGCACTTGATTTGAACAGATACAAAAACGTAGAACGAAAACGATGATTGTCATGCAGCATTCGTTTGCCCACCAATTTGCCATCCTTGCTCGTGGTGAGGGGCCATCCATTGAGTAGGTAGCAAACATCTGTCAAAACGTGACCCCTACCCCCCTCCCTGTACACACGCGGACTTCTTACACCCCCCCCCCCCAATCCTATAGAACGGCCAATATTTAATCCACGCATAAACGATCAAGGATTAATAATATTAACGTGAATCTTGATTTGAATATTAACGTGTTGAAGCAAACAGATAGTCCACCGCCGGACTATCTAACTCATTTGAAGGCCAATGAAGACAAATTATTATTGAGGCTTCACCCCCCCCCCCCCCCCCGTTTCCTCTGCGTGCGTGCGGCGTACTCAATGGATGGCCCCTTAATGCGTCGCTGCTGGTTGCTTTAAACCTCTCCTTGGAAGTGGCAGCTGCTATTTGTACTGACATGCTTTATTTTGTTCTATTTATTCATAGTGCCTTCCTTACCTTTCTCATAATTTGCACTCCTATCGGTTGTTGGTTTGTTTGTTGTTGTAACCCTCTGACCCGTGGGCCCGACTGGACATCTGTGACAAAGAGCTTCATAGCTCATCGGATTCCTCCAGTCCGAAGTAAAGATTCTGATTCTGAAGCAAACGAGGTGAGTCTCTCACACGCAGCCCCCCCCCCCCCCCCCCCCCCCCACCCCCAGGGCGCGGCGTGGGGCACCGCAGCGCCGGCGTGGGGCACCACCGTACCAGCGTGGCGCGGCAGCGCTTGAGCTGCGGGGCGCCCGCCGCGGTCGCCCAGAAGGCGACGGAGCCGGCGCCGCAGGCGGACACGAAGCCCGCGGTCCCGTCCGGAGCGCTCTCCACGCGCGCCACGGGGGCGCGGTGCGGGCTGGGCCGGCACGGCGCGGGCACGCGCAGCGAGACGCGCCGCGCGCGCTGCGCAGCCTCCTGCCGCTCGGCGCACCGCAGCTGCATGTGGGTGCAGAACGCCTCCTGGCAGGGCCGAGGTGGGAAGAGAAACTGGGAAGTGCGCAAGGGAGCACGGCGTGCACAGTGCTCGCCCATCCAAGCGCTGCCTCGTCCCCGAGCTCTGATGAGGTCGGGGACATCCCACGTGCTTAGTCGTGGGCAGGCTTGAAGAGGTAAGACCACAACATTATGATCACACGACTTGTCTGTGCATAAACACACGCGTGTCCCAGTAGACTAAGGTCGGGGTGGATACGTGTAAACAATCAAGTACTGTATGTGAACATGGCAATGACAGTTGTGCCGTGCATCAATAAGATGCTAGACAAAAGTCAATCGCAAACTGCTTGAAGTGTGGCAACATTCTCTCCTGTACGTTAGAAGGAAGTGGAGGTCCGCCACATTAAGGACACAATGCCGAGGGTTAAAAGGCTGGATTCGTGAACGTCTGTCAAGAATGACATCCACACTGCGCACGAATACAGCCACCGATTCGGACGGTTCATTGGCCGGGGCAGATGTTGACTGTCAGATATACGACGTTGTCTTGAAGTAATACATTCAACTCACCCACTCAATGGCTCCATCAGCTGCAAAGTCAATTTTCTTGAAGAGTTCCAAAATCTGTTCCTCATTCTGATGACGGGCAAATAAACATTCATAAGTTTAGTCCGAGACAAATTACATTTATTTTGTGGATTAATATGGGCAAGCGGGCTGGCACGTGAACACGCTTAACAGTTCATTTTGCACCATCATTGTGAAACCCTCGCAGTCCATTGAGCACACATCTCGTGTTACACCTCGCAACAGTTAAATGCTCACGGTCAGATTACATCTATGAATTACGCATAATCGTGTTAAAAGTAACCCGAATCTCCTTTATATATACCATGTTTAAGCACACAGTAGTGTACTTTAAATATAAATAATTTTAGTGCATTTCTTAAATTGTCATTAATAAACGATAAGACTACCACCGGCTGTGTAGACTGAATACTTTTAGACGTACAAACATGCCGACATATGTTCTTGATGATTCTCTATATTTACCTCTGGTTGACAATGTTGTAACTTTAAATCCTCGCTAGACGTGTCCACAAACCCAAGTCTCCCCGCCATCTCAACTGCCCGTGGCCGCGCGTCAGACGCCGAGGAGTGAGGAGCGACGTCTCCCCAAGTGAATTGCCGCAGCTAAAGAGGCGATTCCTGACGATTGCTCAAACAAAAACCCATCGGCACCTACCCACGCAGAGCCCGCCCCACGGTCATTCATTCCAACAGGCGGAGGTACAGAACCACACAATGCCTTCGCCAAGAGGGCGATTTCATTACGCGATGACAACACCAACAGGCGGTCCTCAATTGCGCCTCGCGTACACGATGGGAACACATCCATGTGACGTGTCGAGTGGGCAGGTCCGTCTACAGGTGGCACCGGGCAGGCGACTTCTTCTCAATGAACCCTCTCATATGTAGTCGAAATTGGATGTAAGCACACCCCTTGCAACTACTAAGGGGTGTGCTTATAAACAAACTGTGCCTCTATCAGAAGGTGCCCTTTGCCTTCCCTCACCAGTGTGTTGCGAGCATGCGCTGTTTATCTTGAGCGGCGCTTATCTCGAGTTTCTCATCTCTCTTTCATGCCAAATGTCTAATCCAACTCGAGCATAACCGCGGAGCAGTGACGGAGTGTTTAGCACACTGCACTTTGAACCTGGTGACCTGTGCTCGATTCGCGGCCACGGTTTACATCCATGGCGAGCGACATCTGAACTCATCTTGAGCACCCCTTTCACGAGCCTGGACTAACCAGCGTGCCGTGAAACCACTCATGGCAATGTGTGGGTTGGCTGGCAATGAACTTATTGATTTTACTATTTACATCTGTCCTGTAATCATTGTGTTTTGAATTGCAATTGTTTACAAATGAAATGTACAATTATATGTACATGTAATAACTTGTACTTAATTTAGTCTTAGCTCACATACTTTCTATCCTTCGATATAAACTACCTAAATTATTAGTGGGTGAGAGTAAGCAGAATCTTTAAACTAAGCCACTGCCCGGAAATTTTTATTCCACTTAATGAAAAATGCTCAAATTGTATGCATTGTTTGATGAAGTGCCGTTTAATCTACTACATATTAGGCACATTCTGAGTAAAACAACGTTGCTTTTTATCATCTTTTTTTTCACATTTTACAGGACCGACAACTTGCCTTCAAACCCATTTACGGCAGCTCTCTGAAGTGCAATTGTCGCTCATTGATGTGCAAAGTGTGCACTTGCGGTAAAATGCTTGAGAGAGATTTCTCGAAATAAAAAGTTGGAACATTTTTAAATTGCGTAATAGTATTCCAAGAAAGAAATGGCCTTTCAGCATCATATTTTCCACATGCATCCTGGAGAATAATTCTAGATAAGAGCCGATAAACACAGTCACCTGATCCCGCAGGGGAGTGGGGGGGGGGTTGCAGAAATCATTCAATTGTGGATGGGTGTGCATCAATGTTGGCAGTCCTAAGCCATCCGTGAAAATTCCACATTCCTATGAACAGAGGCTAGTCCCACGAGGATAACCGACGTTTGATACATACTGAGTGATGCAGCGGCAACCACACAGCGCTGGTTTTATCTTACCTGAGAAGATTAGGGGCCAAATCAACCCCGACAAAGATTGAAACTCAAGATCTCATGTGTGTATGTTGTATGCATGTTGAACTTTTTTTCGCACCGTACGAATCCAACCGTACTCATCGGAGGTGCGGAGGAAGGACAACAAACCAAACACAAAAAGCAGTTCAACAAATTCGTTTTCAATTTAGATATAAAAAACCTGCAACACTCTCAACTCGACGATACACTAATCTAATACTTACACGTCCACAGCCCTTTACCAATCCACTCGAAGAGGAGGGGGGTATTTGACCATACTTCACCATGCAGATTGGTGAAGGCGGGCAGTGTAGAAGACAGTACAGAACTCGATTTTGCCACACTGCTCTCTGCTGTGCTCTACATAGCCCAGGTGGTGGCCCATCATCGCACTATCCCGCATCAATCCTGCTAAGCGTCTGATGAGCTCAGGTGCATTCTCGATGTGTTTTGTCATGGGTAACTTTACACCATGGCATAACATAGAAACAGATCTCTATTTTACGTCTCTACATACAAATAAAATATTTTTTAGTCATCAGTCTATCGGCTAAAATACATACACACGTGCGGCAAATTAACCCTGGTGATTGGAGGCTTCTCCCACTGCTGTGGGTCATCTCACCGTACTCCCCCTTACCCCGTCCCACCAGGTTAAGAATGTCAAGAGCTTTGAGCTCATTGTAAAGAACAGGCTGTTGCCTCACACGTACAATGCCATCCGCCCACTCCGTTGGCCAACACGCTACGCTCGTTGCACGAGTCTCCCCGGCATAAAGGCTGCATGTTTGTACATGCCCCGAGTTTGAGATTCAACGCAACCTCAAAGAAGATGCTGACCTCCCCGCAATCTGTTCTGTACAGGGAGCAACTGGTGCATTGTGCGGGGGAAGAATACAACCCGAAGCAAGTCCTCCTTGCTCGGCTCTTCCTGTAAACACTGCCGTTGGTGGACGAGTCGGAAAATAAGCAACGGAACGAGCGCTGCGCATCATTGTGTAACGGGGTGGAAGCGGATGTCGAGATGAAAGATGTATTTTGCAATACCGCATGCCCCTGATTGTTCATATATAAACATGGCTACACGTCATGCAATAGGATCGGCACGCTCTGCTACGGGGTTCGATCCTTGGTCATGCACACTACCGGCGACGGGTAATTGAAACTGGTCTGGGCCTCTCCTGGGTTGACTTGGCCTAAAGTTGGTTTGTTGTCCAATTTATTAGCATCACCACTGGGGAGATGAAGGCGGTCTGGCATGTTGGCCCCAGCATCGCATCATGCACCTTGCCATCTAAAATAAGCATATCTCCTTGCCACAACAGCCAATGCAGCGTAACAAGGGAAGATATGTTCATGTTTACTGTGTCCATTAATAAACATGGATGATATATGTACTCTGAACATAATGTAATGGATATAATAATCATGATAATTCAGACCCCTTTGTTAGTGCTCAAGGCCTCCTCCCCACGCTGTGTCGATGTGGGTTGTCGAAGCGGCAGAGGCAGACACTGAGGTCCCATGCCCCGCGGGTTTCGGTGCCGTGAGCGACGCGGCTCTCACCGTGAGCGACGCGGCTCTCACCGTGAGCGACGCGGCTCTCACCGTGAGCGACGCGGCTCTCACCGTGAGCGACGCGGCTCTCACCGTGAGCGACGCGGCTCTCACCGTGAGCGACGCGGCTCTCAACGTGAGCGACGCGGCTCTCACCGTGAGCGACGCGGCTCTCACCGTGAGCGACGCGGCTCTCACCGTGAGCGACGCGGCTCTCACCGTGAGCGACGCGGCTCTCACCGTGAGCGACGCGGCTCTCACCGTGAGCGACGCGGCTCTCACCGTGAGCGACGCGGCTCTCACCGTGAGCGACGCGGCTCTCACCGTGAGCGACGCGGCTCTCACCGTGAGCGACGCGGCTCTCACCGTGCCTCTCACCGTGCCTCGGGGCCCCAGGGCGCCCTTGAGGGCCGCCGTGAAGCCCTCCAAACCGAGAGCCCCTCCTCCTGCTGCTGCTGCACCCACGTGGGTTTCCTCCTGCCACACGTGGCACACGGCACGGCTTAGTTTGTTGTCCTCTGATTAGCACGGTTGGCAACGTACGGTACGAAAGAAGTTCAATAAACGTATATATATACATACAGTCGAAAATCAAGGTGAATTCCTGCTGCTCAAATAAACATTGAGGTGGTACCCATGTCCCGTTCACAGTCCTGAGCCAATGGTGTAAATGTTACATTGCTTTCCTTTGGCGGGGGCGAATTTCTATCCATAGCAGCACCGCTCTAGACGTCATCACAAAGTGGTACTTATTTTATCGACCCTGGAAAATACGATGGACGGAGTCAACCCTGAACTGGGATTTGAACTCGCGACCTAACGACTGTGAGCCACACGGCTCTATCGCTGAGCCACCTGGCCGTTCATGGAAATTGTCTATGGCTAAAGTCGGCCTCGTCGTTCAATGCGCAATGTGGCAGCGTTCAACTGTTTGGGGATCCCCATCCACCAGATGAAGTCAGCTGCGTAGCATCGGGGATGGGGGGCTGTAGGGTACTGACCCCGCTTGCTGAAGAGCAGAAGTCGCGTATCGCCAAACGGATGAATCGCTACTTATTCCATTTAGCGTTTGTTTAAAGCTTATTTAACATTGTTGATTGACGTATGTATTTATTATATATGTTGCACCGTACTTAGCCAACCGTGCTAATCAGAGGTGCGGGGGAAGGACAACATCCTAAACACAAAAAGCAGTTCAAAATAAATTCGTTTTAAATCTAAATTTAAGAGTATCAACGTATACAATATTTTTATTCTTTATAAATATTAACAAGTCCGGAAACCGTAATAAACTGTTCAAGGATGAATTCATCCGTTGCATTCAATAGCTCTGAATGTAAATTTACCTCAAAGGCAGTCTTCAGCTTTTCCAAATGCTCTAACGTCACACTCTCTTCAATCTGACGAAACAATTTCACGCAATGAGCAAAACAAAATTCCTTCTCACGCTTTGAAGCTCGGGTTGTCAGTGTTCATGCGTAAACTCCATGCAACCGCACCGTAACTCTCGTGAGGCTGATCAGAGTGAATCAAAGCTCGCGCCTGAAGGTTGTGTTGCTAGTAGGGACTAACCCAGGGGTCGTCAACCGAAATAACAATTAAAAACATCGAATACGGTAAAAGCAACTGAGTATTGCAAGAGCGGCAATGCACGTGGTGAATACGAGCCCGTGGTGTTCCTTCATGAGCAACGTCACGGAGCAGTCCTTGAAGAGCCGCATGAGGCTCCGGAGCACCAGGTTGCAAACCCTCTGGACTCACCCAAGAGCGACTCCGTCCACCGCAGGGGCTTGCCCAAAACGTGGACACGTGCACGAAAGCAAAAAGGAGCATTTGCAAATACTCTGTATGCAAATGAATATTGCCCACACAGCTACCCATCAGTTGATAAATTAACTGTCCACAGACGAACATGTTGGAAAAGCATTACATAATGCACGCATGATTTTTTCCTAAATTGTATTCATAATGACAAAGATAACGAGGTCCTCATTAATCCAGGAAAGTCTCGCTAAGAATTAAGATTGGTTTTGGTTTATTAAAGGCCTGCATTGAAATATTTGCCCAATTCATTATTAATGGCTTTTTCGCAAACAAAAAAACATTTTTGCAAGTTTTTTTTACTTCCACAATTTCCATTACGACTGTAATTGAAAGTAGCAATGTACAAAACATTTTCAAACCACCGTATTCAAATGGAAATAAGCGCACAAGTTGCTTCTCATACATTTTCCCTGGAGCTTAACGGTAACAACGTAACGAGGGTCGTTGCTTTCATCGCAGGCAACTCGGTGTGGCCACCGAGAGGCACTGTTGTGTTGGCAAGCGTTGCGTCAGTACCTCCAACAACCATTCACGTGGCTCTCCTACACGCTTTCGGGTTGTTACCAAGTGTTTTTGTTCGGCACGATGTCCGACGTTTTACTCCACGTGCTGCGAGCTTCTTCAGGCGCACGCGGTGCAACACAAAAACACATCCGCAAAAACCTACGCGGTAGAATGATATGCATTCCTGACACGGTAACCCTATTACTACTATTGCATATGTTGAGTGTTAAAAACATGTTCTAAATAGTAAGGTGATAGATAGCAAGGGTGAAGCACTAACCGCACAGAGGAGCAGACTCCTAGCAAAGAACCATGTTTTACAAACAAAATTGGCTGTTTCTGTCGAGTAAAATTATTTAGTTACAACGATAACAATAACGTACCTCCTCTTGGCAAATCGTTTCAGACTTCCATGGGCCATTTCCTTGCTCAGCAATGGCAGTCGCATTTTCCATGTTATAATCTCATCATAGGGTGTTTGACCATCTATTAAAGCCCCGTAATAAAATAAAATCTGAATCTATTATAATACTGTGATTTAAAAAAAGAAAAGTATAATCACATGACAAATTACGGACCACACTTTTATTAAAATGTCCTTCCAGTTCGTTGTTTAGACGTGATGGCTCTACGTTCGAGCGTCCAATTTAAATGTTATCAGTAAAATGGTGTCCAGAAGCACACCAAAAAATATCACTTTAATCTGGTAACATATCTACTGGCTGCTTAGAGTAAGTGCCCTCTCTTCTTCCCCACAAGCCGTGGCGGATAGCTGCCAATTCCTGTTCGCCATGACAATAAAGCGTGTATGACTTGAGCACGGGCCAGCCAATTCGGCACTGTGGTCGGACGGGATCTCCTAATTGGGAGGGCAAGCACAGGCATGCAGATGAGTGCTTTGTGAAACAGAACTCTGCCGTGCGCAACACGGAAACCAAATTTCAGAGGGTGCCCCGCAAAGGAACACGCAACCACATTTGCATGCAGACTGTGCGCTCATGAATCTCTATTCTGACCACCCTTGTGCATACCACTGCGTCGGCTTGCGCGGCTGTGCTGTGTAAGCTCTCCTGCCTGTTGTTCGGAACGATGTCCGACGTTTGGCTCCACAAGTTAAATTCAGGAACTTCATTTTTAGTTTCGCTCCATTGAATTCACTTCCTGAAGAAGCTCCTGGATGCGAAGCGAAACATCGGACACCGTGCCAAACAACACGCGGGACAACCTGAAAACGCCATTGTCCATCTTCATGCTGTCCCCAGCCTGGGCTGCCCCACTCACACGCCCTTGACATTTATGTCAATTGTAAAATGGTGCAACACGCATTACCATCCTGTCAAACAATGCTTGGTTAACATCTTGCTTTGTACTTCGTCTTTTAACGTAAAGATGATTTATGATTTCATGAATTCTCCAAAACAACTATATTCTGTTTTGATGCCATTGCTGTTTGGGTCCCAAGTCAGACCACGGAAAAGGCTTCCTCAACAAACTGAACCCACTCCATGAATAATTTTTAAAAAGCACGCAGTCCCGTTCAGGCTGAAAATAGCACACATTACTCTACTTTAATTTTCAATTAGTTGGTGCATAAATAATAATCCTCTGAAAATTAATAGTGCCCTTCCCTTACCCAGGAAAGCCTCACTGAGTTGGTTTGGTCAAATCCATTATTGATCATTCGGCATGTGAGAGGGAACGAACTGGAGTACTGGAGAACCCCCATGCACACGAGGGGGTAACAAACAAAGTTCTGCTTAGTTCAAGAATGCACAGTTGTACTGCCATCTGTTTGTAGGCCATATGTAATAATAACTGCATACATTTCAAAAGCTAACCTTCAAACAATATCACAATCGTCGTAGCAGGAAGCCACAGAAAAATGTCTTGAGCAGACATGCATGCTAACGTATGAAGGCAAGGTTTGTTCATGACAGTGCAGTCGCGTGCCGTGGCTGTCGAGTGGACAGTGAAGGCCACCGAATTTTCCAAGTGTATAGTTACTGCCCTGGGGATGTGATCGCGTAGCCTCGCCGACTGCCAACGCGTGGAGCGGCAAAGTGCGCCTGGTAATTTATTAACGGCCTGCTGAGAGCGTGGACGCAACTCGGCAGCGGGGATGATGTGGCGTCTCGTAGGGAACATGCGGTTCAAATCTAGCGAAGGGTCGGTGCTTTATACAATAACTTACACAATCACTTTAGACAATGACTTGCACTACTACTGTAGGCTGTGCTGTGGAGTTATTTAATGTGCTGGGAGCTTCTTCAGGAATTAATTATTTAGTTCCTGAAGAAGCTTGCAGCACGTGGAGTGAAACGTCGGACGTTATACAGAAAAGAGCATGTAGAATCTGAAAAAAACATAGGAGAGCTAATCATTGGAACTATATTACAGCTCAGATGCTCCTGCAACAATTATTACAAGAGCATCATTATTATCAACCATCATTTGTGCCATATTTACCATCAGATAAAACATAACCTCAGCTGTGCATTTAAGAGAACATTTCATTTAGAACATTGTGTAAAAGTGTTTTTGCAAGCTTTGAGGAGACAATGTGTCGAGGTTGGTTGTTAAATATTAATCAATCAAATAAAGGAGAGACAACATCGTCATCCTCTCAGCCGACAAGGGCAATGCCACGGTCGTCATCGACAACGCCACATACAGTAACACAATTCAGGACCTACTTAATGATGGTAGCTATACCAAAATTAAAAGAGATCCCACCAACCGCCTCGTTACGAAAAACCAACAATATCATCAACGATTCGACGTCTTTAATTGAACCAACCGAGCGGTTTTCCTTAAAACCCTCTGCTGCTAGACCACCAAGATTGTATGGCTTATCAAAAATCCATAAAGAAGCTACACCCCTTCGTCCTATCGTCTCCACCATTGACTCACCCACCTACAAACTGGCCCGATTTCTGTCTGAGACCTTACAACCATTCACTGGTAAGACCACTTCAGCTGTACGTAACTCAGCTTACTTGGTATCATCAATTAAGGACATTTCACTATCTCCATGTGATTTGCTCGTTAGTTTCGATGTGGTTTCTTTGTTTACTAAAGTTCCTGTGCCTGACACTATAGCAATTATTGACGATTTGGTCCAACAAGGACTAAATGCTGATGTACCGGCCCTGGTGAGACACTGCCTCACCAACACTTACTTCACCTGGAATGGAACATTCTACAAACAAGATGAAGGCACCCCAATGGGTTCCTCCCTTATCTCTACTTGTAGCCAACGTTTTCATGGAAAAATTCGAGACAAATGCCATCCAGGCATCCACTCTATGTCTGTCCTTGAGTAAGAGGTACGAAGATGAGAAGTTCGTCTTCTGGCCACATGGCCTACCAGCTCTGAACCAATTCCTCAACCACATCAATTCCATACACCCAGCTATCAAATTCACCATGGAGGTGGAAAAGGATGGCAAGTTACCATTCTTGGATGTTTAATCGAAAATAGACCAGATGGCTCAATGGGACACTGTCTACAGGAAAGCCACCCTGACTCCCACCACCATCCATTCCAGAAGAATTCCCTCATCAAAACTCTACACCATAGAGCTCGATGTATATCCGACCATCATTGCTTAGCCAGTGAACTGGAACACGTACACCAAGCTCGCAAGATGAATGGATATTCAGACTATCTGTAAAGCACCCCTACCGTTGGGAAAGAACCATCTGAGGACCCAATCAAAACCATCACATTGCCATACATAGCAGGGGTCACCAAATAGATTTCCAAAATCATGAGCAAATACAACACGCAGGTTCGATTTAACACAGTACATAAAATTTGTGATTTGATCCCATCTGTGAAGGATGTGATCCCTAACATGCAATACCCCGGCCTCTACAAACTAAGCTGTGTCTGTGGCAGTAGTTACATTGGGGAAACTAAGCGACACGTCTCGGACCGTGTTCGTGAACATAAGGCAGATCTGAAACACGGTAGGACCAATACCTCAGCCATAGCTGATCATTGTTGTAATGCGGTGGGCTCACACGGAATTGATTTCTCCAAGACGAAGGTACTTTGCAAACCCACTGGCTATCAGCAAAGATTAACTCATGAAGCCATCCATATTTATAGACACAGACACAATTTCAACCGAGAAGATGGGTACAAACTGAGCAATAATTGGAAGGACGTTATTAACCAGTTTAAGTCATAACTGGCTGTGATGTTTCAAACCTACCTTCCGATGTTAGTTGCTATTTTCGGCTCTGATTTTACATTAACAGGTTAAATTTCTCACACTAACACAGCCACTTCGCGCGCCGACGCGACAGTGGCTCTGCGGTCTCACATTAACATGCTAATCTCTCACATTAACATGCTAATCTCTCACATTAACATAGCCACCTACGTGCCGTCTTGGACGTCGCCCGCGGATCTTACATTGACATGCTAATCTCTCACATTAACATGACTAGGCCCGCCCACTTTGTTTATGACCCTTGGGATACGCCCATTCTAAACCTTTAAACAGTCTGCCTCAGCAGCTTTACTCTTTTCTCCTCCTGATGACGACCGCTTGTGTTGCGATTGAAACGTCGTAGTTTTTCGTTATTTTCTTTGAACCTATCTACGTGACTTTACCGAAAGACCCAAAGAATATGAATTCCTGCAGTCACGAAAGATTTAAGTCATGATTGAAATATAAATTTCACAAATATTGGTGCTTGTTTGTAAAATTATAAATGTATCCTGGTGGATTAAAAAGTGAACGTGCAAACACGGCTTTGTGCGTCTTCAGCAAATCGCTGCTGATAATTCCATAGAATCGACCCACACCTCTGATTAACATGGTTGGCTACGTATGGTGCGAAAGAAGTTAAACATACATACATACATATGACCCAATTACCTATCGGTGTGGATTTCCACAGAGACTATTGGAAATTTGAAAGTGCCATAAAAAGATGAGTTGACAGCTCCATTGTAACTTGCTGACCTGCCCACTGGACATCTGGGAAAATGAGCTTCATAGCTCATCAGTCCTCCAGTCTAAATAAAGATTCTGATTCGTATATGTAGCCGACATATATAATGGCACGTACAATGATTAACGAATGCTACATTTTCTAGAAGAGAGTTCACAGTTTCACGAGATGAGTGAAGGCGCTGATGGTACTCGCCAACACACCGGTTAGTGCTGTACCAGTGACGAATTGGCACGTTCTGTTTACGTGACAACCCTTACTAGTTGGCTGTGTCGGATGGTGGTGGGTTTTAACGACACATTTATATTTTAACGCGATCTAACCCAAAAAAAACTATATTATGGATGATATTGGTCGCGAAAGCCTCCTACGACGTGTTAAACTTATGTACTTTTAACTTATGTGGCACCGCAAGTAGCCAGCTTTACTAATCGGATGTGTGGGAGATCTTTACAAACTTTGCAGGAAACTGCCACATTTAGACAAGCCCCTCCCCCCTCAACTCTAGGATCACCTTCCTGACTCCACCCACACCCCAAACCCCCCCCACCCTGCACCCGTCCTCCTTGGCTCCTCCCCCCTCCTCTTACCCTATATAATAATAATGTCTCATCACAAATAACTCACTACAGTTGTTTTGCTGTGCCTTTTTACACCTGATGAAGGAAGCTTGTGTTGCCTCCGAAACGTCGTTATTTATTATTTTATTTCTATTATTATTTCTAATAATTTATTTGGTTTATTTTTCTTATTTATTTATTTCTTTATTTTCCCCTATGTGACTTTACCGAAAAAACCGAAGAGTAGGAAACTGTCACTTTAGCAATGTCAGATGTGTTTCAGAGCTTGTATTACACATATGCTGTATAAGTTCCTGAGAGTAAATTAAACAAGCGTCTTTGAGATGTGGGGTATGACTTGGTCATCTTGTGTTGGTGCAAGAGGCTTTTGGACCAAACCTCCTCTCGGAGTCTGCCAGAATCGTTCTGTGAGCACAGCCCAGGGTTGGGAAGCTTCCTCAGAGTGTGCCGATCAGCTGACACAGCTAGGAAGTCCATTCGTTTGCTTACCACCTTAGTCACGTCAGTCCGTGAAAAGCCTTGCAGAGCGGCAAATGCAAAGATACAGAGAGACTATGAATCAGCGGAATACGGTTGGCATAACTGGTGAGTTGTGTAGTCATGGCAACGTACATTGGGTAATTAATAGTCATGTGCTCCAAATGTCCCCACGTTATATTTTTCCCGCCGGGTTGTCGTGAGTAATGTTAAAATTTGTCAAATGGGTCATGACACTGGGCCCATTCTCAAAAAATATATTTACAGGTTATTTTATAGCGATGCATCAATTCATTGATTAATTGATTAATTGATTTAAATGTATCCTTGTGCTCACAATATGTGTTTTGAAATCTGATTAAGAATCGTTTTTCCCCGGATTCAGGTGCATTCTAAGTGATGAGGTGCATGAACACCCTGCAGATCACGATCACAAAAAACATTGTTTGACTTGAGTCGTAACCAAAGATTGTAAAAACGCATTGAATGGTGGAGGGTATGAATGATTGTGTGCCTTATTTTTACAAATGATGGCAAAGCGTTTTCACTTAGGTTGAAAAATACATCCAACAATAATGCAAAATTCCAAACGGTTTACTGCACCCTGCAAATCTCATTGTGGCTTTATCGCAAGGCTGTCCTTTAGTTTAAAAGCCGTATAATTTTTACGACTGTGTTCATGTGTGAAAGTGACAGTGCCTCAATGAAATGCAGTGGCACATTGTTAAAGGGGCCACGGACGAATGACTGAACGGTACCGCCGACCACTGCCGCCCCTTGCGTGACCCAGACGCCTTCAGCCGGTGAGAAAAGAAGCCAAGGATTTTTTTCACGCCTCGTCAAATACGGGGCGGTGATGGATTGCGCTGGGACAGAGGCAACTCTCCACTTAACTACTCATTTGTTCACGGTCTTGTTCGGTTCAGACATGCTCTGTGTTTCGTTAGCGAGCATTGATCTCGGGCTTTTGTCTTCTTTGCCGAGTGCAGCTCCACTTGTGCCCAACAAACGTATGCAACTGCAACATGCATGTATGAAAGTGTTTCCTGGATTCGTTTTTTTTAAATTATGTAATCTGCACCGAATACATGGCAAGAAGCATAAACCATCACGCAAACTCCGGTCATCCTCGTAGTGGCTTTTGGCGAACCATCGAACAAAGACGGTCACCGCATCACGCGCTTTAAGGTACGCTTCCGCGGCCGTCTGGAACGCTCTTCTGATATTAGGAAGCCACTGGAGCTATGCACTCTCAAATTTAGATTGTAAACTCCTTTTTGTGTTAAGTTTGTTGTTCTCCCCCGCATCTCCGATTAACACGGTTGGCTACGTACGGTGCGTCAAAATTTCAACACACGTACAACATACATCTATCTGGTTCCACGAAACTTCTTACCCATGCCCTTCTGTCGGACATCTGTCAAGCTCAACACACCCCACCCTCCCGTCAAGGTGGTCTGGAAACACAGAGCTTCCTCTTCCCGAGCACCATTTTATTTGAACCGGTTAGATCCCAATGTGGAACTGATCGAAACTGCTCATGTATTCATACTCTTTGGTTCTTTCGGTAAAGTCAATTAGGTATAGAATAAATTAAATCACGACGTTTCGGGCACAACACAAGCGTCCATCATCAGGTGGGAAAGCATGATCTGCTGACCCCTTGACCATGAACCACAGTGGCGAGATGTTAACTACCTCGCCTGGTATACAGGAGGTCGTGGGTTTGATCCCTACCCTGACGCCTGCATACTTTGGAATTTGCGTATTCTCCCCACGGTCGTGTGGATTTTTCTCTGCGTACTTTGGTTTTTCCCTCCCCTTTTTGAATCAACGCGCATTCAGAATATCTGTCTGCAATACATTTGTACGTGACAAGCCACTTCGTTGAGCTATCATTTGTGACCAGTCGCTTCTGAAAAAGAGCTAGAGCTCAGTGGGTGTTACCTGGTAAAATAAAAATAGTTCCATAGTTTAGTTTGATGAGCAATCCACTGCCGAGTGAAGACTTTCCCCAAGCTCCCGCCACACTGCGGGCGAGGATTACCCGAGCCATGGACAGGTCCCGGCGGAGGAGTGGCCGTTGGCAGCGAGCCGCGTCCCACGCGGTGGACACCGAGTGCCGTCGAGGCCCCGGCGCCGTCTCCGACCGCCGGGGCCTCGCGTCTCCCGTCGCGCCGGGGCCGCCGTGGCCGTGCGCCGTCACCACCCGCCCCGGGACGGTGGCCACTAATGCGCCGGGAAACGCGCTCTGGGAGCGGGACGGCCGCACCGGGTCGTGCCGTGCCGAAGGTTGCTCCCGCCGGTTGCCCGCGGCAGCGAAGGCGGTGGCCGGGCGTCGCTCCTCAAAGACGCTGGCAAATGGGACGTGAGTGGAAATGAGAGCGGTGTCAGCTAATGACCACAGAGGCTTTTTTTACCAAAGAATTGTACTATTATATTTTAGAATTTCTCACTTTGCATTTCAGAAGAGAGGATTAATAATGAGATACAGCATTCGTTCGGGTTTGGGGGTTTTCTTACCGCGCCATGTTGTTCTAAGTGATGTTTTCACCTTGGCTGGCTATTTCAGGGGTGGTCAAACTTTCCTAACCCTATGAGCCACAATATTTATATGGCTGAGAGCTACGAGACACACGGAACCTTACACGTGCATTCTCTAGCACGGCCAATCACTTGTGCTGGTTGGCTGCAGAGTTTATATTAATTTGTGCACTGTGCCATGAACCCTGTTACCAGAGTTCGATTCCCAGCCACAGCTAACTTCAGTGTTAACAGCGCCATCCCTCTTCACCAACCCGTGCTGACAAGCTTGAAGAATTCTTTGGTTTTTTCGGTAAAGTCACGTATAAAAATAAAATAATAAATTAAATAATAGCATACGACGTTTCGATTGCAACACAAGCAATCATCATCAGGTATAATGAAATAGCGACATAGAATATAACCAGAAAACTATAGACAGACATATAAGCAGACAGATATCACCAAGATACATATAGAGAGCAACCCAGGTACAGAGAGAGGTGATCGTCTCTGTGGGGTGGCCTTAAATAGACAGAGGGAGGCCACCCCACAGAGACGATCACCTCTCTCTGTACCTGGGTTGCTCTCTCTATGTATCTTGGTGATATCTGTCTGCTTATATGTCTGTCTATAGTTTTCTGGTTATATTCTATGTCGCTATTTCATTATACCTGATGATGATTGCTTGTGTTGCAATCGAAACGTCGTATGCTATTATTTAATTTATTATTTTATTTTTATACGTGACTTTACCGAAAAAACCAAAGAATAATTCCTGCAGTCACGAAAGCTCCAAAATTAAGATTGAAGCTTGAAGAAGTATGGTTAACCAACCTTTATGCCCTATACAATCTAGGGAAGTCTGTGTCCAGCAGTAGATTGACAAAGGCCTGTAAATTATTATTTATTTTGATAAAAACGTTATAAGTAGTACCCTGTTACAAGGTGCCACAAACATTCCACTGGGCTGTTGAGTCCATTCAACCGCAGACTGTTGATGGTGTCGAGTAGAAATATCACACGCGCTGACATTACCGTCTTGGACGACTGGAAATTCAAATAGCTCCAGTGCCACTTAACACAGCCAAGCATTGCTCTTGCTGTAAGAAGACAAGTTTACTTGTTCAGTTTCCATGAACAGCTTGACATTTAAATGTCCTTTGATATTATACAAAGCACACAAAGCTCCATTAGAAATTATAATTCCGTAAAAATGTTAAACATCCAATTATATTTAATTGCCGTTTACTTTCAAGACAAATCTTAACATATCATGAAATCTAAAGTTTATGATGGCATGGCTATATCAACAGAGCCGCACCTATCATGCTCCAATGAAAATAGCTGTTACGAAAAGTAGAATAAAGAATAATCAAATCAAATAAATGTTACAATTTTTCCACTGATCTGTGTTATGTCATTTATGTACGATTCCAATCATACTCTTTGTTTTTTTCGGTAAAGTCACGTAGGTAAAAAATAAATTAAATGAAACCGTTACAGCCAAAATCACTATAGTGATTTTGGCTGTAACGGTTCCATCTGAAGACGGAAGCTTATGTTGCCTCCGAAACGTCGTGATTTTATTTAGTTGTTTTCATTTATTTAATTTAATTTTTTACCTACGTGACTTTACCGAAAAAACAAAAGAGTATGAATCCTTGCAGTCACGACAGCTTCAAATCTAGGGTTCCAATAATTTTTATAGTCAAAATCGCCAAATTTGCAGAGCTTCGCTGCAAATACAGAGAGAGACGAGAGGTGAGGCAGCGACGAGCTCAGCCTCCCCTCTGATTGCGCAACCCCTCAGTAACTGAATGGAGCGCGGGCAATAAGCGCGTGCCTGTTACTATCTCAGTATGTCACCAATGTAATGTTTGTAGACCCCTTCATTTCATGTCCTCGCCTTCCATACTCCAGGTAACTTATTTCACATATGTGTATACAGATATTTAGGCTCGCTGGTCTCGTCATGAAACTGCAATGAAAAAGCACCAGGGGAGGCAGCTATCACATCTGCCTCACTGATGGGGACGTGTCTAACACGCTCCCCTCCGTGAGGCCACGCCCCCGCAGTGTGTGAATCTGGCTCTGACACGAGCCAGTGCCTCCCCTGGCTTTGACCTCACCGCACGTCACTGCGGTTGGCATCGCCTAGCGCCCGACCGGCGTCTCTCCCAGTCAGCTGGCCGCACGTGGCACCAGCGCCCATTACTGAGTCACAGAGCAGCTGACCTCGTTCCACGCGCGACAGCTTCAGATTCGCTCGCCTCACCGACTCATTGGGGCGAGTTTCCGTGCAAGACGTTGGCTGCTATCGCACTGGACATGTTACAGCTTAATTGTCGACATCATCATCATCGGCCATGGTCACTCCACTGCTGGATGAACGCATCTCCAAGCCACGGGCATCTATCTGCGTAGTAAGACAAAGATCCCCCGTGTAGCCTTAAACGCCTGTCGGGGCAAGTGCTGTTAGCGAGTAGCACCGATGGAGACCGGCACTGTGGCACACGAGGAGGTGGGTGGCCAGCACCACGCCCGGCCGCCTTTATCTCTCCAGTGGCGATGTTTACACACTAGCAACAGGTACTCATTTGAGGCCGAGTCGACCTAGGGGAGGCCCAGGAAAGGTTCAGATATCCGTCACTGTTGTCGGTCGTGAGCAGGATTCGAGCTCGCTAGCCCCGACTTACGAGCCGATTCCATCTCCCCGCTCGGCTTCCCCTCGGATGCGTTCCGCTCCGTGGCCTCCACTCCGTCATTGCTCTCGACCACTCGTGCCCGGGCCGCCAGGACGATGCCTGATAGCCAACGACTCTGCTGCGTTACTCTCCACGCTAAACAGGCAGTGCTGCAAAGTCCATTGCTGTACTGAACTTCCATGCTCCCACGTCCACGCTCGCCTGCCTTCACCAACTCGCCCTGACCCCCGTGGGGAAGTATGGTCGAATAACCCCCACGACCCCCACAGCGTCTGGAGGAGGTTCGTCATCCAGCAGTGGATCGAAACACGGCTATGACACATTCGGATTATTGAAGGAGTTGTCTAGTATTCAATAGCTACGATAAGCGTGGCTCTTTTATGCGGTTAAGTTTGCTGTGGTCATAAGGCTTGCGTTAACAATACGATACAAATCTTGTGTCTAAGCAATGCGTGTACTGATTGTGTGTGGGATAGAATGTACAGAGTAAGACACGGGCTCTTGATGCAATACTGGGTGATCCATATATAGATGCCCCCTTGAGTTAAAATCTCCATTCTCGACGGTGATTGAACGTTGTGAACGTGGTGGCTCAAATATTTTAGAGAGGATAATTAATTCAACGTGTTTAATAGTACTGAGACTGGTGGGAGATAATGCAGAGAGCGAGGCTCTGAAATACGATGTCACTTTCGCAATCGGGTAACGAATCCACGTGTTTTAGTGGCGTGTCTATGACTTGAACACCACCTAGCTGCCCACATTGCCATAAATCATGTGCACACAACAATACGCCGCTGCGGCATTGCTAGGCTACCATGAGAATGGAAATAAAAAAACTACTATATCAACAATAATATAACTTTGACCAAACACGAAACATACCTGCTGGCTGTGTGGGTCTGTAGCCTTGCAGTGGCTGAGGTTGGTCGAAGTCTCCTACCCAGCGACATGTTTAGTGTCTGTCTGTATGTCTGTATGTCTGTCTGTCTGTATGTCTGTATGTCTGTATGTCTGTCTGTATGTTTGTCTGTATGTATGTCTGTCTGTATGTCTATATGTATGTATGTCTGTATGTCTGTATGTATGTCTGTATGTCTTGTCTGTATGTATGTCTGTCTGTATGTCTATATGTCTGTATGTCTGTATGTATGTCTGTATGTCTGTATGTCTGTATGTCTGTATGTATGTCTGTATGTATGTCTATATGTATGTATGTATGTCTGTATGTCTATATGTATGTCTGTATGTCTGTATGTCTGTATGTATGTCTGTCTGTATGTCTATATGTATGTATGTCTGTATGTATGTCTGTATGTCTTGTCTGTATGTATGTCTGTCTGTATGTCTATATGTATGTCTGTATGTATGCCTGTATGTCTATATGTATGTATGTCTGTATGTCTGTATGTATGTCTGTATGTCTGTCTGTTGAACGTCTTTCGCACCGTACGTAGCCAACAGTGCTCCTCGGAGGTGCGGCCGGTGTACAGAGCGGGAGAGAGGCGGAGTGACGGCGGCTGAGCGGTCACTCCACAGTCGGGTGGCAGGGCTGCTGTCGTTCTGGGGCGCTGGTCGCAAGGGACACGAACCGTGGCCCCCCAGAGACCTCCCGCACAGAGTGAAGTGCCCCGCAGCAGCCTACGGACAGCAAAGACAAACAGCAACAGCAGCTGTTGCTGCAGCAGCTGTTGCCTGGGCCGTGTTGGAGTGTTTGGCTGCTGGCGAGTCGCCTACTGAGCGGCATCGCGCCAGCGACCTCGACTCCCCCGCGACGGCCACAACAAGCGGCGGGCGCATCGCGACCAGGGCACGCGCCCATGGCTACAGCCGCGCAGAGCAGGGGAAGACGCCTTCGTTGTAGAGCAATGGACGTGTTTTTGTTGTTGTTGTTATTCTAAAGAAGTGAGTTTCTGTGTTTTTAAAAAGCGAAGCCGGCAAATCCCCAGCTGCTAAGTCCCCCACCCACCCACGCCGTGGACGGGGGGGCGGGGGGCGGGGGGCGAAATGCCGCATCCAAGTGATCCAACTCTTCCTTCTCACCTATAAAGTGCACACCACTGCACGCACACATTACTGTATACACTCTTTGGGTCTTTCGGTAAAGGGGCCGTCCATAAATTACGTCACGCACCTAGGGTGGGGGGGGGTGTGAAGAGGGAGGTGGGGGTGAGAAATGTGACGTCACATCAAAATGCGCAACTTTAAATAAATATAGACAACACGTTCTACTTAATGAAATAGACGTTTTAATACATATTTTCTCCTACAACATCAGAGTGCAGCGCCACATTAAATACGCACTACAATGACAATAGTTTAAAGCGAATTGAAGCATGTTTTATTTGTTGGGGGGGGGGGGGGCAGAGCTTTGTGACGTCATATTTGAGGGGGTCTGACTTTGTGACGCCGTGTGACGAGGGGGGGGGGTCAATAATCGTCCAAAATTGCGTGACGTCATTTATGGACGGCCCCAAAGTCACGTAGATAGAAAAATAATAAAGAAATCACGACGTTTCGATCGCAACACAAGCAACCGTCCTCAGGTAAAAAAATAGAGCTTTTATTTTTATATCGACGTGGCTTTACCGAAAGACCCACGGAGTGCATTACTGTATGTTCGACTTCTTTCGCAGAACTTTAGCTAGTTACTACTTCAGCCCACGGGTGTGTTGGAGAGTAAATCCACAACATTTACAATTTGAGTAGTGCGACGTTTCGCTGGTAATTACATCCAGCATCATCAGGCGATTTGCCAGAATCGTGCAGCAATCCACCTGTTTCCAGTCTTAAATAGAGCAAGACGACGTCATCACTGAACCCATCAGGTGCACCACTGCACGTACACGCGTGGAAGAGGAAGACATCTCACAATTACTTATAGAGGAAACACATACTAATTAAATTATTACTAATCTATGATATTATTACAATAACACCCCTCCCCCACCTCTGATTTCTGCACCTGATGGGTTCAGTGATGACGTCGTCTTGCAGACCCACCTATCTCTCTGCCCTCTCCCTCTCTAATTTAGAAATCTTTGGATAACGTAATCAACCAGGCTATGCGTTAACTGTGTGTTAGCCGACTCTCTGTGTTGCATTACATTACATTTCCAAAAGATTTGATAAATTTTGTTTTCTCAAACTATTTCTCTCTCTAAAATTTACCAGGCTCTCATAGGTCCATTCGCTCTTTCTCTCCCCCGGCCGCTTCGGAGTGTATTTCCATACAACTCTCTCTAGAACTTACCAGACTTGCTGGGTCTTTTTATCCCCCTGCCACCGCGGGGTGGATTTCCACACAGCTCTCTCATTGACATGCTAATTTATCTGCTCCAGCAGACCCACCTCTCTATCTGCCCTCCCCCCCCCTCTCAATTTAAGCCCTCGACACAGAGGCATTGGGTGTCTGTGTGTCTATGTTGTGTGTCTCTCTCTGTGCGTCTCTGTGTTGTCTATCTACTTGTGTGTCTATCTGTGTGTCTCCGTGTCTGTGTTTTGTCTCTCTCTCAAATTTAGTTCTACCTGATGATTGCTTGTGTTGCAATAGAAACATCGTATTCTATTATTTTATTTGTTTTCTTTCTACGTGACTTTACGGAAATAACCAAAGAGCAAATTGTAAATGTTGTGGATTTACAAATTGGCGCGTTGTTTACGTGACAAACCTTACTGGCTGTGTCGGGTGGTGGAGGGGTAAGAAACATTTATACTTACGTGATCTAAACCAAGATTCCTGACATGCAATATCCCGGCGTCTACAAACTAAGCTGTATCTGCAGCAGCAGTTACATTGGGGAAACTAAACGACATGTCTCGGACCGTGTACGTGAGCATAAGGCAGATTTGAAACACGGTAGGACCAATACTTCTGCCGTGGCTGATCATTATTTTAATGCAGCTGGCTCACGCAAAATGTACTTCTCTAAGACGAAGGTACGTTGCAAGCCCACTGGGTATCAACACAGATTCGTTCATAAATCCATCCATATATACAGACACAATTTCAACCGAGAGAATGGTTATAAACTCAGCAATCATTGTAGAGATTTCATCAACCACTTTGGGTCATGACTTGATTTGTGTTTTCTTGTCAACCTCCACCATCAGCAGTATGGGTGTGTGGAGCGAGGTACAATGATTGCCTGGCGGCCCTTTGATTAGTGTAGTTGCTTGTCTTTCTCTTGCATTAACATTAGCTGCCCTGCCCATGCTGCTGACACACTTGGGCTACATCCATCTCTAAACCTTTATAAACAGTTTGCCTTTAAAGGCTAACCCCTCTTTTCCTGATCGAGGGCGTGGCTATGCACGACAGACAGACAAATAATCCCTGGTGGGCAGTGTGGAACTATTGTTCCTACCCGTAAAAGTCTTCACTTGAGGTGAGAGGAATAATCCAGCGTTAAATTGAAACTGCAGTTCTGGGACAGAACGGTTGAACCCTTCAGTTCTCATTCCACCTGGAATGCCACTGACAATTTCATTACGAAGCTATCTGCTGATATTATATTGGTGAATGGTACGAGTATTTCAGATCGTCTACAATTTATCAAAGAGAATTCATCAATTTTAAGCCTCAATTATAGTCAATTATGCGATATGAAAATGCAACCCAGGTTTTTTCAAAAGCCACTTTAGTCTTTTGCTGATGGCCAAGATATGGTGACAACTGACATTTGTATTAAAACACGTGATAAGGCATAACGTATACTATACTTGAATTTCTGTGTCATGAAATGTAGATATGAGAAGTACAGACAATTCAATTAATAAATGATAAAATATTAACACGGTAGGGCATCAGTTTCTTTCAGGACATCTGTCCAATAGTAGATTGGTATGAAATGAATCCATGGCTGGAATCCATGGAGGTGATTGGTTGTTAATATTTATATAATTTATGCTTAGTTTAATCCCTTAATGTAAAACAATGTCCTGTAATTGAATTGGCAACAAAGCTTGACTATCCCACAGTTTGGGTCAGAGCACAGAAAGCTTCGTGATTTAGTCTGCAATTAATTCCTAATCAATTTTAAATGATCCTGCCTTATCTCTAATTAGTCTGGGCAACAGAAATTGATTAACTGAAACCATAGTCAGTTGTCATATACATCTAAACAGTTGCTATGATGCAGACGCAACAGGCATAAGGCACATTTTGAGAACAGTATTAAAATTCATGACTTTATGTAATTACCTCCAAGTCACTTGTATGTTAGAGGCAATGGGCATGAAAAGCATAGCATTATCATTTTTCCATGATAAAAAACACGATTTGCTAACACAATCGCCTTTCAACCCGATATAAAAATCTGCACATATCCCAGAACCCACTGTTTACCTTGCTTTGTATAATGGGGAATATTTCAGTAAACTTTACTTCACCGAGTCATAATTATCACGCCCTAAAATTAAGCCTAAAACTTGTACGTATGTATTATGTTGAGTGTATTATTAATTTTTTTTAAACTAAAACAGATACAAATACCAGAAATATATCAATCAGATAGTCGTCATATGAAATGGCAAGATATGTGAATTAGACCATTAAATGTAGTCTTAATACAACAGAACATAAGATTGGTGGCACCAAAAAATGCACAACTGCTGAAAGCTAAATTGTTTCTAAACGTACGCATAGAATGTATTCGAAAATGTTCTTTAACTTTTGTGCTGTTAATTTTGCCAGCATCAGGAGAAATAGGCTGATATATTTTCATACTTTAACTTCAAAGCAACCAGAAAATATTTTTTTTACATACATCACACGGAGATACGCAGGTCCATTATACAGTACAGTACTTCATTAGGGAAAAAACACATGGTACCAAATGCCACAGATGCAGCAAATATTATATTTATTTGATATACAGCATCAATTGCACTTAAAAGTAAATATTGGTATCAATGTAATTTTCAATCATATGTATACACGGCATTTGATATCCATATTTGTTGCGAGTTTTATACTTAATATTTTGGCAGGCAGCTCAAAACATTGCAATCTCTCATAGCTCAGGTTTTAAAAACTGCAATGCTGTATTCATGTCCAGATTTATTTTACAATTGTGCCTGTGCACATTTTCGCGAGCTATTTCCAGTTGAATAAATGACTGATATTTTGAGCAGCTCTTTGTGGTGTAATTGTGAAATAAATCATTTACACCCCATTGCCAATCCACTTTTGGATGAAGGCCTCCCTAGATCATGTCATTTAGGGGTTGTTTAACTATATATTATCACACTGCTCAGTGTGGGAGGGTGAATGGGGGTGGCTGGGAATGGTGCTGACATCATCCGCCACTGATGTTAGTTTGCTAACCAAGTGCAACCACTAAACCCCCCAATGATGCAAGGCCGTAATTATATTGCTATAAAATAGATTTCTGTTTATATGATTGTGGTTATGGTTGTACTTTATTAATCCCGAATCTCTGCCATTACATACAATGAAACAAGAAAAGGTAAAAAAGGAAAAACAGAAATGTAATACAATACACTATTAGACATTGTAATAAATAAATAAAACGTCCATCCTATGTGTTAGTGATTTTTAAAAATATATTTTAGGCAGGAAATTGCAGGAAATTAGTTTAAAAATTAGGATTTTTTTCTGGGGTGGGACCCCCAGACCCCCTGGAAGATTAGGTCCCCACCAATGTTGACTCCATGGCTACGGCCTTGCAATGATGAATAGATGACCATAACAATTGCTAACGATAAACGGTCAACAAAACAGACAATTCGTACGTTGTTTGTAGTGCTCTAAGAGAACGATGTTCTCGCGTTTAATCGGAATTCTAAATACAGGAACTGGTGATTATGATACCTAAATTACTCACGAGGGCTAACACCAATAATGGCCTCTATTCCAAAGTTGTAAATTAACGTAATTCTGTAGTCTATACTCCAACTTGAGAGCAGTCAGCTAAAAGTATATCAGTCAAGAAATTAGACTTGAATACACTACAGAACGTTAAATTAAGGCTTGTCATAATTTGTAATAAATCCACTGATAAAACATGTTATGATCTATAGAATCACTTTCAATGAAACTACATTCACCATTATATTCCACGCATATTTTATTGTGCACAGAACTATTGACTGCATTATGGCTAGGGAATTAAGCAATACTTTGCATGTACCAATGCATCATGGACAAAACCGTTCTGTAATGTCACAAGCATGCTCCGTATATACTGCAGATTTTCACAATTGTAAGATAGAATACACATACACAAGATGCAGCAAGCATGTGCAAACATATGCGCTTTGTACATATGTGTGCATATACAGCACCTAAAAAGCAATAAAGGCAGGACATCCACTTATGGGAATATCCTTTTCTACTACTAATAGGTTTATTGGATTTTCATGGAAAACACATTTTGTCAATTTGATAATACAATATTTGGGTACAAAAGCCTATTACTTAAAAGAGTGATAGCTATGGTCAGAGGAAGAGCGTGCCTTGAAATTCAATCACCTGTAATGCACCCTCATTATAGGAGGGCCTTTATTATTGACGACTGCTGTATAGATTTGGAGTTTCTTCACATTCGGAATCATTACACATACATTTGTAGAAACCTGGCTTAAGCGGTATCAGCAGTTTTCTTTTGTACAGAAAGGCAAGGAAAATAATGTGGAATCAATTAGCCAAAAACATGAAGTTACCATTTCTATGCATGTCTCTAAATAACTGTTATTCATACAAAAATATAAAGAGACACTAACGAACTATATATTCTGCACATGGATTTTTGAGTAGTCTTAACAGTTTTTACTTCCATCTTGATCACATTCCTCAAGCTCATTAGATATCTCTATTTTCCCAGACTCTGGGGAGCTTCTGTTTTTTGTTTCGGATGCAGCAGATCCTGCAATGTCCTGGCCGTTCTGCTCTTTGTCTGGGTCATTTTCTTTACCCTCTGACGTCTCTTCAAAATCGTTTTCTAGGAACTTCTGGAAAGACTCCTTGAGGTCCTGCATTGCTTCATCATCTGAGTCTCCAAAATTTCTGGGAAAGACAAAAGAAGCTGTCTAGACACATGGCTTGATAGTTTCAAGCTCAAATTTATTTTTTTCGTGGATCACATTTTTTAAACATCTCTAACAAGCTGGTTAGTGTGTGGAATGCCTTAAAATATATTTGTATTGAATACATGTACAGGATCTCAAAGGTAAATTAATAGCATTTCAAGTAACATTCTAGTCCGGTCACATTTTAACATTAAAAACGATCTGAAAGTTGTATTGTCACAGATTACCCACTGTGTAGTAGAGGTTTTCATATAAATATTTCATCAGTTGGCATTATAATCAATGTCAGGGGCTAATATAGATGTAAGTGAATAAAGCACCAAAACATTGTACGAGGTCTCTTGCTTTTAAGTAAAATATTGCACAGGTTTAACACACATTGCAGTATACTTAGTGATTTACTTCAGAGCAAAGTGCATGTTTTTACGTACGTGTCCTCGTCATCTGATCTTCCATCCTCTTTCATTTCATCATCTCCCTCTTCCAATTTCTCTGCTCCATCAGTCCCCGAGTTGGCTGATGATGGCTGGATATCTTCTTCATCCTCTGCAAGAGGCAAACTATTAAAAAAGTGTGCTCTCTATTATGACACGTGATCATCGTTTACAGAATAAGCTTGAATCTGCAAAACTCTTTGGATTGTTTATGTAAAAGCACCAATTAAGCCACATAAGATGCTAATTACATATATTAACATGAAGCAAAATATGCAGAAAATAGTGCTTATTGATAATACATTTAGTCTATATGTAATGTTGAATAATGCATAAATGACCTATAGGATAATGTCTTGCCCCAGACTCCTATTCTGTGATGGGTTGAGATGGCCAATGAACCAGCAGCCAACTACTGAGCAAGGTTTGGATCTTTAACACCTTGCTAACAGTTTTTCATGAATATGTGTATGCACTGTTAGATAATTTATGTTATGTCAGACGCAAGTTAACATTAACGATGAGCGATTGGGCGTAAAATTCAAACAATCTTAACACTAATGCAATGCGAGAGTTCCACTGGGCTAAAATGTTATTGTGGGCGTGAGACTCTTTATACCTCTCTCCGATATGGAAGGGCAGATGGTGCTCAGGGCTGCCTTGCTCAGCACCTGCATGATTGTCTGGGAGGGACCCTTCCACTGGCCTCGATGTCCAGCATCCTGCGGCCACACCTCCACCACGTCCACATCGGGACACGTGGCTGGGAGAACAGAACACATGCGCAGTGCGAGGTTGTGGAGTGCGGGGTCGCGCAGTGCGGGGTCGCGCAGTGCGAGGTCGCGCAGTGCGAGGTCGCGCAGTGCGGGGTCACGGAGTGCGAGGTCGCGCAGTGCGAGGTCGCGCAGTGCGAGGTCGCGCAGTGCGAGGTCGCGCAGTGCGAGGTCGCGCAGTGCAAGGTTGCGGAGTGCGAGGTCGCGCAGTGCAAGGTTGCGGAGTGCGAGGTTGCGCAGTGCGAGGTTGCGGAGTGCGAGGTTGCGCAGGGAAAATATATGCTACTCTTACAAGTTGTCTTTTCAATACGTTTACAAATCTATGCTGTGAAACGTGATAACACATTGCATGGGGTTAACTATTATCAGCGTTTTAACGTGGTGTCTTACTGGTTGCCATGGATTGTGCCGCATCTGCACAATTTGTATATATCCGTGCAGATGTCATATATATGCGATACATTTTCATGTTAGTAGCCTTCATGAATATACATTATATCCTCAGTAGTACGATTCAGGTAAGGTGGGTTGACATTTTTCAGAATGAAACTACCTCCAGTAGTTGCTTTCATACAAACATTCATTGTATTCTTAAACTTGATGTATAGAAACCAGGAATTGTCATTCACGTGGCCCGACAGTTTACAATCTTTGTGGTATACGATAAGCACTTTAGAGAAAATAATCATCTATTCTTAATTGCTCAACAGCTGACACAAATGTAAATTATAATTTGCATGTATGCAGTATAAAATTGCAATTATGTTTATTACAGCAAATATATTATGGTGAGGCTATATTGTTTGGAGAGCCCATCATTAATTCACTACATTCAAAAGTTCTTAACATATACGGGTATACCAATCTCCAATTATTTTGCTTGACTGTCTTCCTTGTACTCCACATTCCTGGAGTCAAGACCTAACCTGCATTCAAACACTCCTCAGTTGCTCTTCGGCTGTCTCCACTGTCTGAAAATTCCTCCCTCCCTCGTATTATTCAGATGGCAGACTCCCTTCTCCATTTCAAATCTTAATCAAGACCTACATTGTCCCTCTTCACATGATCGGTTTTCTACAATTACAGATGCTTTTAGGTGTTATAAATGCATACTTTTCAATATTAAACATATATAATATATAAAATGTAGCTGTCAGGTGTCAATGTTTTTGCATGCATATGCTCTATAAATTTAACTACGACTTGGCATGCGTTTTACATAAAACAACAACTTGTGATTTTATCAAGTACACTCTCGAGGTACTTTCACAGACACGTTTAATATGCAACGGAGAATTAACCGTGGCCTTCGCAGCCTGTCGATGTTCGTAAATTGATCCACAGTTAATGTGCCATTTCACCTTCCATCTTTGATGCGGTCTCTTCAAGCTGCCCTTTGAACAGAACGTTCAGGACACTGCCGTCATCCTGAAAGGACCACTTCCTGAACTGCAGCTTTGCCCCCTCCTGGAAGGTCAGGGCGCTATTCAGCTCCGTCACCTCCTGTTATTGCCATCGCACAAAGAGAAACTCTCGCATATTACAGCAACATGCGTTGCTGTTTCTTCCTAAATGGTATGCAGAAAAATGCACGAATGCTAAGTGAATTATAACATTTTGCCAACAAAAACATATTTAGCCAATTGTATGAGAAATGTCTTTCTGTATCGTCAACATATTGATGCTTTTCGGACACTAAAATTTTTTGTCCCAGAGGCAGGAATTTAATTTTTCATAAGGTGATTTATCTTAATCATTGTAAATGTCTCTTATTTAAAGCTAAAGTGGTTTCCACAGTTGGTGTTTAGCTCAAAGCACTACATCAAATTATAAGCAGCAATCTTTTTAAATTACATTGTACAATACACACAATGCAATAACATCTAGTCTCTAAGCCCCACAACAATCTCTGCCTTTCCATTGCATTCACTGATTGCATTTAAATGTCACACATTCTGAGAAAATAAATTCACTGGTTATTACATACCCTTATTTATTTTATTTAAACTCAAAAGCCTTGAGAAAAGAGGCAAGTTTTTCATTTCTTCTTTTGAAATGCAGTTATTTGCAGCTCAAATCCCCAGAAGATTATTCCATACCAACTGTTCATTGCAAACTGTGTGCAATGTGTAAGCAGCACATCTGGTGTACTGCATTTTAAATAGGTGGAATGTATTTTCTATTGGGTGAATGAAACATACAGTATGTGGTACATATCAGTACAAATTTAACAAAGTAGGCATTTGGAAAGGCATTCAATTAATTGGAAACTGATGCAGTCATACAGCCTGTCACAGACCCTGGCATAAATTTACATATATTTAGAAATACATTAAAGACATCATTATAACTGTTAAAAACGTGGGCTTTGGCAGCACTGATGGAGGATAATGATGGGATGGCCACCAAGGGATCAAACGCATCCGAGAGGACGTCCATGGAGCAGATGGAGCAAAAAAATAATCCCGTGTGCAAGTGCTAGTTGGATTGTTCCAACGTATGATCATAAGTAAATGGCGACGAGTTGGGGATGCCTTCATCAAGGAGTGCATTGAGCACGGTTGACAATGGTGTATATTTTTAAGTTATCAGATGATACCTGGTGTGTCCATCACGGAATATGCAAACTGTGACGCAAGCACTGCAATGTTGATGACGTTCAATTTCTGTTAGTGCAGTGTTTGGAAAAAATCATTTGTCATGTTTCTATGTGTACATTATTATTAAAATATAGAGAAATAGCCACTGGGTTCCTAGATATGAATTAAAACGGTATTCAAGAGGAAACAATGAGGGTCTATTATCAGCCAGGAGATGCCACACAAAGCCAAGAGGTCAACATGGCCAATGTCACTGATATTACCACGCGACAATTCATCCAAGGAAGTGCCTCTTATAAAGTATGGAAAGTATGTGAAAATCATACATCCAGGTTTAAGTTTGTGAGCCATGTGATAGCTTCAGGAGAAGCATAGCTAATACTTTCGAATCCGCTGGAAAGCAGGAGTAGAATGGAGTTGTTCAAAATAAGGTCTATTGTTTGCTTCGAGTGGCTGCAATCACATTGCGGGTCATCTTTAATTTCTCACTTATGGAAGAGGTGTGCACAACGACCAGTTGCTGTTCGGAAGCAGTTGATGGAGCCACCACAGTTTTATTGGCACCTCTACATAATAATAGGCTCAGTCAACCATTCTACACAACAAAGACTCATTTCCTGGCAGCGATTTCAGCCGCATCATCTCTACATAACAAAAAGGCTCAGTCCCTTTTACATGCACCATTACATCATCTGCACCTATGATAATTGGTTTTTTACCCTTCTATCTGGCAACAAAACTGACACACACAAAAAGGTGTCAGTTTTGTTGCCAGATAGAAGGGTAAAAAACCAATTATCATATTTTTACTGGCAAATGAGGTCCCCATAGTGCATCTGCACCTAGTTTACACAACAAAGGTTCATTCCTAACAGCGTGTTTCAGCCGCACCGAAGCTCACAAAAATAATATTCAGGGCCTACCTTGGCTCCTCCCACCCTCAACCAGTATATATACAAATACTGTTTCCTGGAATTTCTCTCACTTGATACAGCTATCGTGCTGTGACAGTTCCTCCTGAAGACGGAAGCTTGTGTTCCCTCCGAAACGTCGTGATTTTTATTTTATTTTACTTTTATTAATTTTAATTTTTTACCTACGTGACTTTACCGAAAAAACCTAAGAATACTTGCATTATTGTGAATGTTATTTGTAGTTGGACAACTCGAGCCAGACTTGTGCCCATGTAACTTTAATGCGTTATTGAGAGCAAGGATGAATGAAGAAGCATCTCATCCACAGTTCAGTGTTATGTGCAGTGCTGTACATTTGGCCTGCAGTATGGTGATTACACGAAGTGACCTTATTAAAGCTTATTCTCTTGTTGTATAGTTATTCAGTGCTAATGTGCTAATGTGCCTGATCTATCCAGGACCTATTGTTGAGATTCATGTTATCTAAGACAATGTTATGATGCTGCAGTGTTCATTCATTGTATTGATATTGCAAGTATTAACAGATGCTGTATTTTGTGCTGTTTTCCCATAAGTTTTACCTCGTTTTAGTCATTAAATACGTTGGAGTTGGATGTTCACCCTGGCTCTGAAGGTTTATTAAAATGCATAGTTATCTACTCAGATAGTGGTGCAACGCAGCGCACAGCGAGGCCGAGACAGTTATACCAAATTCCATTATTCTGCACAAGTTGGAGTATATAAGGCAGGTGGATATCCAAATATTGGTGATGTCCCAAAAGCATAATACAATGCATTTTAAAAATCTATTTTCACAGCTTGGTTTATCCAAATGAAAAGCGTGTCTCGTGGAATGGTTTAATAAAGTGAGGATCAACTGTACGATCTCTTGAATTGTACCTAAAGGGGTTATTTTAGCAGCAAACTCATCGTGAATAATAAAAACCCTGCAGGGGAATTTTGATGTGCGTACCTTAACCTACAATGTTTGAAACTCATCATACTGCCAAAACTCGTACGGAACTAATGGTTCCATTACATGCATTGCAACTGTTTGGAAGCCATCACAGCTGCACACAATACACATAAAATATATTTCAATGTAGCACGTACCTTTATGCACAACTTAAGGTTGAGCATGTAACATCCCGTGAATGTTTCACATTTATGAAAAACACAAGATATTACTGCATTTATTCATATGTAAAATGTACTAACTTTTACCAGTGTTTTGACCAAAATTATGCTTGTGTTTATGTCGTTACATGTTGGTATTAATTTATTACATGCACATTCATGACATTTATGAGCTTTTGTGAAATTAGGGCACGTAATGTGTAATGCGCATGTTATGGCACACGGCTGTATATTACATGGTGCGTAGGAATCTGAAGATGAATTTGTACCAACATATGTCCATTCATACACGTGCATTCATAAGCAGTAGAACGGGTGCCTAGTGGCTTGCACAATTGCCTAAAATCACAGTAACTTGCACACATCGCCATATAATTGGGAAATTATATGATTAAAAATAACATTCGTTTCATCTTAAAATTACTCCCAGGTGATTGGCGACATAATGATAGCAAATTGACAGCAAGATCCAGCTAGTTGAACTTGAAAATAACATAGGGACACTTAATGTATGAAATGTATGAAATGTATGCCAATTATACAGAAAATATATGGCATATCCTCTGGGGGGGGGGAGCGGGTGGTGGCAAGGTATGTCAGCAGGTGGAACACCAGATGGTCCATCACATTCATATATTTTCATGGTATAATAAAGTAATGCATGTCAGCTTATGTTTTGCAATTTGACTAATTGAATAGAGAACATATTGTAAAGAAGGTGCAACCTTCACACTAAATTACAGTTCTTCAGTGAATACATGAATTGTGAGGAGGGGAATGCTGCAACGGAGGGACCAAACACAAATTCAGGTGTAATGGATATTCCTCTTCGAAAAGTTCAACAGACTATAATCTACACATTTAACTTATCCGATTTTATACTATAATAATGCACAAATACATTTGTCATATTTCTGACTCATTAACAATTAATATGAGTGTATTTCTAGAATTATAGTATATAACCACATATTAATCACATATCTTGAACTGAGAGTGAACGAAACTGAAGCATATATGCATATAAATGTGGCATATTTCAGTTGTTAACTGTGCTTTGAAAACTAGACACTAAATGATCCAATTAACAAATAATAGACATGGAATTTCAAAATGAATAGCACTTTAAAACTGAAGTACCCGTAGTTATTTCAACTAACATGGCTCTCAGTAGAGCTGACAAATCAACCATATTTATACCCACGTAAAAATATTCCCCCAAAACCAGGTGCTATTTTCTTGTGCCGAGTAATTACCTCTGGGGTTACGTGATTGAGCTCTCCCTCATTTAAATCCCTGTGCAGCGGGATCTCAAATGCTAACTGCAGGAACAGACAAGAAACATCACATGCGGCGCATTGCACATTAATCCACATTGTTCTTTTGACCGAAAGACATGGACACATTTGATATATACTGAAGCTTGCGTGATCAAGCACTACCAGAATTGCATAGGACAAATATATTGCTATATTTTAATAATATACGCAGTGGGTAGAAACTTAGCAAAACAAATAATATAACATAAATAATATACATTTTAACGAGTTTTGCTTTTGTTTAGGAAAATGTGGTGTGCCTGTTTTCATATCTTGCACGTAAAATATATACTAAAAGTATTTAAACCATCAATATATAATATATACTTAATAGACGTTGAGTTCACACATTTGAATATGAATTTAACACGCGATATCATTGCAGACCCATTTTCAATTTGAATGTAACTTTTACGTAACAGCTCTTCAAAGATAATTCAAGCGTTTATCATAAAAAATTATGTAGTCTACCATTTACAGACTTCTAAACACAAATGTACGCAGTATTCATGGAGAAACCACATATTTGGCTAATCCTCCCCCCAAGTCATGTTTTTACAGACGAACATCACCTTCATTCCTTTACACTTCTCCTTGTTGGCTCTTCTCTCATTCCTGTTCTGCAGCAAGATTTTCCGATAGTCTTCTCTTGCTATGGGATCCTAAAATACAATGTGGTGTTACACCGCTCTGTCAGTGTGTGCTTTAGTTTGCTGTCCTTCCCCCACACCTCCAATTAGCACGGTTGGCTATATCACGGTGCGAAATAAGTCCAACATACATACAAGATACAACGAGTGACTACGTATGTTAAACTTGCTTTGTAACTATCACCAACTTGTCCTGGGCACAACAATATGCATGACTTAAGCAGAGAATAACTGTCAAGTACAATTCGTTTCACAAGAACAGATTACTAAGCACACTAACATGCAGAAATATACATTTTTAATTATGTGGCCTATGCCTTATGTGGCTACAGCAAATTGTTTCCTTAAAAATGAATGGCCTGTATGTAAACATTGTAGCGAACTATAGGGAAGTAATAAATACCTGCCATAATTGGGAACAAGGGGTTGAACCAAGCATTTGAAACTCTTCTCAATCAACAGGAAATGTCTAAATCACGTTTGCAAGCTGTCACTTGCATTTATGGGTAGACAATGTGTGCTACAGGATCAGGAAACTTTTACATTGGGACAATTGCAATGCAGAAGATGCACTTCCCATTCTGCCTTTTGTAAAACTTCAACCTTAGAGATCCATGCGAGAGGTTTACAATGCATGGGTTAGACGAATGTCGACCGTGTATGTTGATGTGCAGCAGACCCTGCAAGGTGTTCGCCTCACCTTCTCATAGTCGAGGTTCTTGGTTGCGTCAGCAGGTGGTGCTGCAGGTTGGGACTTCTTTTCACAGTGGTTCTCATAAACAGGAACCTTTAACACGATCGGAATCCAGGGCCATATTACAATCAGTGAAACTCGATGGGGAAGGTGGCGTCGAGAGTAAAAACTACAACTGAGTTTAACAAGCAGTAAAAACACAGTATTAAATTTTTTAGACTTAATTTAGCTATATTCCACCTATGAGAACTAAAAATATTGACGACTGTCATGTGACAGACATTACTATCTCTGAATCAATAGCACTGTTTTATTGTGACATGAGCAAGTGAATTACCATGACCAGTACAGCCAAACGAGGATCAGGGGCATACCAACGACTGAGTGCATATATGTACATGCAGTATTGAACAACTGTGTTCTGTTTTGTGATTTTTTTTATTTACGTAAGAGCTTCTCACTTTGTTCCATCAGCCAAAGTTACTGGTCATGCCCTCGTTAGTGACACCTCCGTGAGCCATACCTCTTGCTTGTCACGATTGCGAGATGCCCAGGGATTCCCCCTCTCTTGGCCCTTCCCACCTGGTCCCATGCCAGCTGGCACGAGTCGCCAGCGGTCGCCTTCGCCTGATGCCGGTCGAATGCCCTGAGGTGGGCGCAGCATCACTATCACCACTATGACCATTCTTTAGCTTCCGCAATTCCCTTCAGTGTTTTAAAATAACAAATCAACTTGTACACCTGTGTAAATCGGCCAACATTATTAAATAATAATTTGTAAAAGTGTCCTTTCGTTCATAAAAGCTATTGTAATAGTTAGTCTTTTACTGTTTTGTTTACCCAGGTGAAGTATTTTATAACTTTACAAACAAACTCTTTGGGTCTTTCGGTAAAGTAATTTCTTTAATTTATTTGCATTTTTTTCATAATTTTTTTCATAATTTTTCTATCTACGTGACTTTACCGAAAGACCCAAAGAGTATGAATTCCTGCAGTCACGAAAGCTTTAAGTCAAGATTTACAAACAAAATTGATGGATAAGTGTGCAAGTTCATGAAGTTTATCAAAACCAATTAGTGTGAAATGGACTGACCATTCGTTCAACCTGGTCTTGCATTCCTCAATAAAGTATCTCTAATTATGCATTAAGAGTTACTTTGTAGTTAGCAAATTAAATTAGGAATGTGATTAGCAAGATAAATTTTATATATGACTCATTATTTTTTCAGATGACAGACTTTATCTTTACAAAATTCCCTAGCTATATATATAGCATGCTCATTAGAATTGGTGTTTTTTCCCTATTTTAATGGAGTGTTTATAATAGATATGCTATCATGTGAACCCTTTACCTTCAATGCAAATATCTCTGTACAATGAAAAATGATGTTTATATTACAACAAAAATATTTAATTGGCTTTAAAATATGCTCTTTTTTAAGTCCACTGTGAAAGTGAAAAGCACTGCTGACTGTTGAACACATTTTAGAAATCCTTTGAGATATACATGAGCTAGAAAATAAAGTATGCAATAGTTGTGGTATACTGTACTTGCATGTATGAACATCATATGGACCCATACCACCATGGTGAACTATATGGCACCTTTTCTAAAGTATACCCAATTATTTAGTTTTTAGTACAGCAGCAGTGCATTAATGAGTTAAAATCCTGTTTTGGCGAAGTGACAGCACGATGTGGCTCATGTTGTACACCTATGTCTAGAACAGCCATAAATCTCCCATTTAAAACACAACTGCACTCATTAAAAGTACCTTAGTTTTTTTTTAAAGAAGGCAAGGGACATTGCTTGTTCTCATGTACATGTGCTGTAAATCAAAGGTGTTCATTACGCGGTAGTTCTAAAGCTCATGTGCCGCTACGGTGCCTGCTTGCTGTTCTATAAAGGCGCAAACCAATTACGGGGCAACATGAAAAATGAGTGTCTATGGCAGCAAAATCAAAACAAAGGCCCTCGGAGGTAAAAACGTAACCCCCAACTTGATAAACAGGGTTGGGTAAATTGACGACACACAGAATAAGAAACATAGGCCACAAACCGACCTGGGGGCACCAGCAACATATTTACGATATATTCTTCACTTGCAGTTTTAAACGAACATGGATACAAATATAAATTTTGACAAAGAGACGACTGTATATATATTTAACTATGGCTGCATCAATAAGAGGTGACTAAAATAGACATAACCCATCCAAAGATGTATATTAGACACGTGTGTGTATAACATACGCTTCATTTTGTTTAAATAGTTGCTGTGAAATACTGCATTAGAATTTACATTTACGTACGGTATTAACATGTTTGAAATAGAATTTCCTTCATCATCATAGTTAACCTATAAAGTATATTACTGTATTAGCATTGAACTCCTGTTCAACCACAATCTCCCATATTTAAGAGGATTGCACTATTTTAATCAGCATTACTCATAATTACAAGAAAGTATTAGCGTTTTAATTACACATAGTTCATCAAACGCTGTGTGTACTCAGATCGCCCATGAAATAGAATATTATATATAAATGGGCTCTTCGCCTGCTTCGAAGGATATGGTCCAATGCACTTCAATTCAAAAGTGCCAATCTCCATAAAGTACTTGCTTTGTATTCACATGTGTCCCTCACTCACATACCAGCTGTTTTTCCACTCTCAGCTTGTTCCGGCAGGCCTCCTGTTTCCGCAAGAGATACTCCTCTTGGCAGAAATCAGCCAGTTTCATTTGCAGTCTCTCGTGCTCCCTAGAATCGCACAGAGCTATTTAATTGAGTTACTCACAACATAACTATTATTCCTTTTGACAAGTGTTAATTGAAACATACAATTACATTACATGAAAACCAAAGTGTTTCCACAACACTCTTCTCCAACGGTGGTCACGAGCCAGTGGTGAAACTTTCCCATCCCTACAGTGAGGGCCATTCTCACCATGACATATGTAAAATGTAAAGCAATAACAGCAAGAAACAAATCATTAGTATGTATTGGGTACTGCCTTTGTTATCTACCAGGCCATGTAAAGTGGCAATGGTAATTGGTGCAATATCAATAGCTTAAATGTACAGATGGGCAGTTCAATGTACCTTGTCGTTATACAATGCAGAAATGCTATTAAACTATTTGACATGTATTGCTTTGTGGAAGATTAGTGCAAGGGGATTCGCTCTTACCTAGGCAGACAGGTCTTTAGTCCCAAAATTACATGTAAATAAGTGGGTAGTTTTGCAAATTTGGCATAATAACCCCCACAAGAGTACATATCTGCTCAAGGTCCAGGAATCTTTGAGTAGTCCACAAAATTACTGCTCAACAATATTTCACTACTTTTTTAATTTCAGGTGATTTTTCCTACATGTTTGCCTTAAATGTAACCAAATATGATGACAATTATAATTTAAATTGACATTGTCCAAACATATCTGAAGATACTTTACAGGAGACTGAAGTTATAATGATCGTTAAAATACACAAATATTTCCAATGGTCGAAGACAGTACGATACATAAAACAAGTGATTATAAGCAAAATTTCATCAGCAGAGGAGTAAGATTTTGAATGAAACAAGAGCAATATATAACTAACTAAAATGTATCTAATTGTACAAGTGAATAAAGTCCTCTACATATAACTCCAAAAAATAAAGTTGGACAAATGTTAGAGGATTTAACACGTATGCTTTCGCGACCAATATCATCCATAAGAGGTTTTTTTGGGTTAGATCGGGTGAATATTAATGTTTGTCACGTAAACGGAACATGCCAATTCGTTACTAGTACGGCATACCGGTGTGTTGGAGAGTAAATCCAATTGTAAATGTTGTGGCTGTGTCGGGTGGTGGCGGGCTTAAGGACACATTTATATTTACGCGATTTAAGCCAAAAAACCTCATTATGGATAATATTAGACGCAAAAGCCTACGTGTTAAGAAGTGCACTTATTTATTTTCACTTTAGATGGGTGGCTATTATTGTCATCTTAACATTTTTGTTACAATAAATAGTGTATTTAGTCATGTATTTATATCCAGAATAGCATCAATGAATCTCATGACCTGCTTTCAAGAGTTCCACAATCGTATGTTTAATACATTCCGAAATGAGTAATTATGCACGTGGGAAGAAAACGGAGTACTCGGAGAATGCTCACGTATACGAGGTTACAGCACTCAAGAAAGAACGACATCGGTAAGCAACCTACCTGCTGTGCTGCCATCTACTGGCCAACTTTTACTTGTGCAGATTTTTGAGTCTCATGCACTTGTGATGATGTGCGTGCATGTTCCATCAACTGTACCCAGCTATATTGTGCCACTGCTTCACGTTTACCGTCCAGGAGGGTCTTGCTCTCGTGGGCCCCACTCAACGCACGGGGGACGCTGCTGCTGCAGCAGATCCAGCTGTGCGTGGTAGTAGGCGTATTTGGCCCGTTGGCCATCCGTCGGCGGAGAGTCCACTCTCTCAGTAAATGGTTTGCATCGGGCTTCCATCGCCTGGGCGGCCAATACATTTCGCTTTGGCAACAACAACAACAAAAGTGATTTCTTGCTCAAATTAACATGGAAATGGTACTCATCTCCTGTTTATCGCCCTAAGCCAGTGGTCAACGTTCCTCATTCCTATGGCAGGGGCTGGTCGATTTATAAGGCAGGCATTGTTGCCTTCCCCAGATGTGGGGCCCAGAGAGATTATGGACTGATTTAACCCCTAACAAGGATTTGAATTCACAACCATCCAATTTCAAGCTGCTCGAACTATTCCTTAGCCACCAGGCATGTTGCTTCGGCATCACCTGTACAATATACTGTAAATCCTCTCAAAGCCAGACTCGTGGAATTCAGAATTTGGGATGAGCTGGAAAGACTACCAGAAAATAATGAAATAAATTACACCAAAATAATCCAACTGAAAAACTGTTGGCACGCTAATTACGCTGTGGAGGGGGGATATGGTGTTCTGCTGTCCATCTGCATCCAGATGGACGGGAGGAAATCCATTAAAATACATTACTTTTACCTGTGAACTGAGCTGATTGAAGTTGGTTGCAGCTTGTGGCCTCAGTTTATAAAGGGCAGGCAACTTTACCTCAAGCATCCCAGTTTTAGGCAACATTTGCAGGTAGTTTGATTTTATTATGTAATGATGATGGAGGTGGCTTAGTTAGCGCTGGCTATGCCAAAAAACAGAATGCCATCTATGTATGTATGTTGAACTTCTTTCGGACCATATATAACTAACCTTTCTAATCAGAGATTAGCTTCCAAAAAACGAGGACAATTGTTTGGCAACAACCTAGCACTACGTACTTTGTTTTCTCATTGTTATTATCAATTAGGTACCTCTATATGTAATTTGAAAAATGGAAAACCCGAGGTCGCTTTTTTGCACTGTATATCGTTAAAAATAAACAGTAATGCGATGCAAACAAAAATGCATCAAAGGAAACCAGGATGGAAGAGCCATAGAGATCTTGGTCAGAATACCTTCGCTTGAGCAGAGGGAGGCAAGGGAGGGTTGATGCCAGCATGAGACCACGGTGGCCTCTGCTTCCTCACAGCAGGGGACACCGCCCTGTCTGCTACCACCTTCCTGGGCACCTGGGCCACTGAAGGATTGGCACGAGGAGCTTTTCCTGCTGAAATTTGAATCAAAACATTGATTACATAATTACATTTGATCTATTGTCATTGACATACATGCAGCGGTTCTCAGTACTGCTTAGAAGTTTAGAAACTGCAACAATCCAGTGAGCAATTGATAGGTATGTCACATATATAAACAAAATTCCAGGTAAGGAACATGTTGAGGCTAAATTTCTTGTTGTAACTGAAGTGGGATTTACCAAAGACTTTGACGTTTTTGTTTACTCTTTATAAGGAACAAATGAAAGCCGAGGACAAGACTTTAACCTAACGTTTCAAACAAAAGATGACTTCTTTTAAAATCATGATACCCTATAGATACACTATACCCTATAGGTACACTACACCTTATAGGTACACTATAGGGTATCAGGTTATCTATATTTATATTGTGTACCGAAATATGATGCATTATGCAACAAGTTACATAACTGTTTCATTATTTAAAAACAAATATGCTTGTTGAATATTTAAATGTTAATTGTGCGATTTTCATTACGTTAAGAAATACATTTTCCTATTCTTTGTGGCATATCCTAAAAACTCAAACCTCTGGGTTAAGTACTGTGCATTGCATTCATTACAGACGTAACAGCAATCAACATTTAGTAATTATCTTCCACGTACATGGTATTATCAATGATCATGATGAATGCATTGTAAGACATTAATAGCCTTTGAGCATTTACGTGTGAACTAGGTGCGTAAACACTTTTACACTTGAATTGTGGCTTCACAATGTCGGTGTCACAGTACATGTGAGCTTTGCCTTGTTGTGCCAATTTTGCTCGTTGCCCAGACACAGCCTTCTTGCTGTGTATCACAGTGTGACTGAACTCTTCATTGTATAGCTGCAAATCGCACACACGCACGAATATTCACCAAGCATTAATATGCAGTGTGCATAGTGCGGAGAGCAATTTTACACACTAAAAATGTGACATGCATTCATGTGCAAATTACAATGCCTTAAAGTAACTGGTAGGTTATTTACATATGCTAATAGCCTATAGTGATGTAATGAAGTAACGCGACATGATTTGCATCACTGATGAATTCATTACATTTTACCCACCATATGTTTGTAAAATAATAGTTTGTTGCTTGTATTGCAATATTTACTATCAGTATAACATGTTCCATTGAATGAATGTTTTATGCCTGTCTATCTTAATGTCCTCCTAGAATTCTGATTAAATTATATATTTCAATAATGTTTTATAACTATTGCATACAAAATTTCTAGATTACAAACAAATACAGATTAATAAGCATATAATATATTAACTACATGTACAATACATATCAACAGGATGCACATGTAAGTGACATTCAAATAAAAATGCTTATTTCAATGTTCTTAGAAAAATATTAGTATGCTGCACTTTTGGTAAACACAAAAACATGGTTTATCCTAACCTAATACTAACCTGCAACTATACAACAATGCATATTATGGTAAAGTGTTTGCATAACCTGTTACTAGATCTACATGCAAGGCAGGCAGAGAAAACACAGCTCTGTGGGATAATCTGCAAAAAAGACTTTGCTCCAGCGCTATACAGCGTAGACAATTGACTTAGAGCCACAGTAGCGTACTGGACTACCAATGTAACGGTACAAAATGTAGCAAGCACTGTTGTACATTTAGGGTAGTAAATAACCTGAAAGAGATATATTTCACCATGTAAAACTATGACAACATTTTTCGTCTCCCAGGTTATTGGCCTTTTGGACGGATGTTTTCCAGCAGCCCTTATGTGAGCAGCAAAACCCTGAACTGATTTCAACTTTCTAAGTATCATCAGCATTGTGTGTTCTGTAAGCACACCTCTGGTCCCAGAAACTTCTGGATGCGGCTGGAAAGGAAGCATTTGCACAAGATAGTGTTGATTGAGGGTCTGTCCCGAGGGTTTGTCTTGAGCATCTGGGCCAGCACGCTGCGGATATCATAGGAGTATCGGGATGACAGGGGCTTGTAGGAGCCCTGGCAAATTTTCATCACCAGGTGGCGGAGACTGTTGCCCTCAAACTGAGTGCAAGTGAGAGAAACGCAAAAGAACAAAGAATACGATATACAAATGACAATGATGTTTTTAATGTAATGGAGACCTATCTGAAATAGGAATCCTACTGACACTAAATAGTGACAAATTACTTACGCAGAAAGTTTATTCTGCCAAAATGTGGTTTAAAGGGTGCGAGGGACACCCGCTTGTGGGTATCTCATCATGCCATGCCCCTGCCGTGAGCTCTCCCCTCCCCCCCTCACACACCTCTCCCCAATAGCACGCACCTATCTGGTGTATGGTTTTGAACTGGGGCACCCATCATATATTCGGCTTTTGGAAACAGGTATCGCAGATATACAGCGACGTGGGACAAAAAGCTGAATGACAATAATATGAATAATTTGAATGTATGTAGTGCCGTAACTCCAAATACTCCACTTATAAGGTCAAAGGTCAATTTTTTTGGGAATTTTGACCTCATTCTCATACACTACATATCTTAAGCTTTAAAAAGATACCTCGTTGATTGTAATTGGTGCGGCAGTCTAGGAGCCCTCCATACATAAATCCATCCATACAGATTAGCTACTTATTTTATAAATATAGACGTAATCCTATTAGCATTTTTTTCCCTTTACTATATAATGTATGTAGATCCAAATGATGTCCCTGCAAATTAGCATAAGACAATGCTAATTTCCTGAAACAGTAATGGAAATTCGACGTACAGTATCTATAGAGCGGGGGGGGGCAATCTTTTCAGTTCCGTTCCACAAACTGATAAGACATTTATAATTATTAGTACACTACCAAAAATATGGTGGCATTGTTTTCAACAAAGTTAAATAAAACCATCCACATGCATTACTTTTCATAATAATTTCGAGCACTTTGTTAATCCACTGTTGGATGAAGGCCTCCCTCCATGATGTCGCCCATGAGAGTTGTTTGACCAAATTTAATCACACTGGTCAATGCGAGTTAGTGAAAGAGCGGCATTGGGGGTGGCCTGGAATGGCACAGATAACACTCACCATTGATGACAGCCATAGTCACAAATATAAATCCAGCTGACAGCTTCATAGCGCAGTTTGCTAACCACTGTATGACTGACCCACCCCATTATTTTTGCATACGAATAATTTTCTAACACAAATGCACCATCATATTAGATCAATAGTACATAAACATGTGGCATTCTATTCGGCGTACTGTTAGATATTTGCTCAGTTAGTATTCTTCAATCGTGCAAGAGTGCGATGTAAAGCGGTATTGTGCATACGTACAGGGTGGTTCAGCGTGCACAGTTCATATAGAACACAGCCCAGAGACCAGATGTCACTGCAAGTCAAACAACACGATGTCACTTCATGCACAGTTTTAATACACACGTGTCGACTGAACTATTCGTTCTTCATTCACAAGAGGTGCATAATTGCCGGTTCAAAAACATAAAATAATTATCCTAAAATGTGCACAACGTATGTGGTGGCACAGGCAAGTTGGAGAGCTCATGTTAAGCCAAGCAGAACATTCCCGTGTATATTATGGCTGGCACACGAACTACACAACTGGAGAGGAATTCACAAAGATCACAAGGAGCAGTGACTGGTGGGAAACTCTCGATTTGTGCAGCCTCAGTGTAAACCCACTTGTGAGATTTGGTACACTTACCATCCCTGCACCAAAACGTGTGCCGATCGATTTAATTATGGTTCCTAATAGACGCTTGAGTAACCAGTGATAGATTTAAGATAGCAATAGTAAAGTGCAACTATGTACCAAAACAATATAGGTAAACAATATAAAACATTTAAATATAGAAAGCTTAATAGAAAAAAATGGATATACTTCAAGTAACCTAATTTTTCCCACTCTTTTATTAGCCTCTTGGTTTGAGGACTTGCCTTTTATTGTTGTAGGGGCAGTTTTCACAGATTTCTGGCGAGAGGTAGTAAGGGGTACCTATGCACGTGCGTGCGAGCTCCATTGTGCTGCAGGGGAAACGTAAAACCAGAACATTAATAAATTACTCGGACTAAGCCTCCCTAACAAGAACAACACGAGCAGCAATGCACATTCAAAAACATGCTGAAGCGGAAACATTGCCCAGTATTATTTAGTGACATTTTGTGTGTGAACAGATATTTCCATAATTAAACGTGCAGTATCCTATTTAATTAGCTGGCACTGTTAAAAATCAGAATAACAGCTGTTTTATCACAATGCACAAATATTGTTGAAATAGCACTAGTGATATATCCATTTTAAATATTACTTCTTTATAATTAGGGTCAGAATACTGAACAATCTTCGTTTTCCCTTTGGATTGACAAATTTAATACACATCCTTTGCACTGGCATGGTGCTGGGCACCCACCTCCTCGTGTACCGTTCCGGCCTTCATAGGTGTTTGCTAACAACACTTGCCCCAGCAGTCTATTAAAGCCTCTATGGGGCATCGTTGTCTTTGCATTGCATGTCAGTATATGCACTAATTTCTTTTTTGTATGCACACTCTATTTAGTGTAATACATGCGTCAGCACAATAGTATACGTATGTTAATGCATTGACACAACTTCAAGCACCATATCACAACAAGCAGATGTCTAAATAAACAAGCACAAATATATTACGACTCATTACAACGAACATGATTTTTTATTGTCTTTTTATGCTAAGTACAGAATCCCCATCGGCTGTTGGTTATCAGACACACATATTCTGTATCTGTGTATAACATTACTAGCGAGTCTTTGTTTGATAAGCCACACATAAAGTCACTAAATGTGTACTATGCTACTAAAATAGCATTTGTGTTCAGGAAGCAAACACAAGAAAAAGTGTGCAATAAATAGAAGTGTACAACAGTTATGTGATTGCTATACTTAGTGAGAATCCGGGCGATTCCAAAGTCCCCAAGCTTGATGGATGATTTGTTGTTGGTAAGGAAGATATTCTGGAAAGAATTAAAATAATTAAAATATAGGTTTGTCTCAATTATTACAATGATGATAGTAAGATCTTGACTTAAAGCTTTCGTGACTGCAGGAATTCATCTTCTTTGGGTCTTTCGGTAAAGTCACGTAGTTAGAAAAATAAAATCACGACGTTTCGATCGCAACACAAGCAATCGTCTTCAGGTGAAAAGATACAGCAGGCCGACTGCTATTTCTTCCTGCCCAGCAGTCGGCCTGCTGTATTTTTTCACCTGAAGACGATTGCTTGTGTTGCGATCGAAACGTCGTGATTTATTATTTTTCTATCTACGTGACTTTACCGAAAGACCCAAAGAGGATGATAGTAATGTCGGTTTTTAAAACAAAAATACTCATACATAATAAGACGACCATATTACGTGATACTGTTTTGGCATTTAATAATAGTGTGAGGATACAGTCAAAGCATATCTGCCATACGTTAGGTTATATTTGAAACGTCATCTTTATGCAAATTGCAGCAAGTGCAGCATATTATGGGGAGACGAGCAAGAATATAAATACTGAGCCCCTGTACATCATTGACATGCTGTTATTAAAATAATTTGTCCTCCCATCTTATAAGAGCCAAGAGGCGAGGCGAGGTGCGGTGCCTGATGCCGTGATAATTTACACTGCGTGAACTGTTACCGGTGGGGTTAAGTTTGATGAAATGGCGATGTGCAATGCACGATTCATGATGCATTAGGACAACTTGCACACACTGTGCATTCTTATCCTACCCTACAGTGTCTTGTAACCTAGGGGTTCATTGCATAACAATAATACTTCTTCAAATTGTGTATATTTCTTGATACGTGTATGTACTTTATGTGCATATGTATGTACTGTGTACATATGAGGGATGTATATTGATTACAATATGTATCGTACAGGTGGTTGTATAAGCATCTCTTGAAATATAACCTGACCAAACACTTTGCAGCAGTAGTAATGGACCGTTATGTAATGTTAGTACAGCAGTAGCAATAATGCATCACTACAGAAAATGAATTCAGGCATTGATTAAGCAATGATATGGTAGGTTAATAAAGGGTGAAAAAACTAATTTTATGAGTTGCATTGACATTACCTGTGCTTTTATGTCTCTGTGGAGCACTTTACGATCATGAATATGTTTAACGGCCAAGCAGATTTGAACAAACCAGTTCAATACCTGTGTATGGGGAGAAAAACACATTACAATAAAAAGTACAATAACTGTTCTACCTTGCACTGATGACAGAATATAATAAATATATGATGGTGCTAGGTGGAATGCACTTTTTTTAGACTCATTTACAGTGAGAGAAAAAAGTGTTTGATCCCCTGCTGATTTTGTACGTTTGCCCACTGACAAAGAAATGATCAGTCTATAATTTTAATGGTAGGTTTATTTGAACAGTGAGAGACAGAATAACAACAAAAAAATCCAGAAAAATGCACGTCAAAAATGTTATAAATTGATTTGCATTTTAATGAGGGAAATAAGTATTTGACCCCTCTGCAAAACATGACTTAGTACTTGGTGGCAAAACCCTTGTTGGCAATCACAGAGGTCAGACGTTTCTTGTAGTTGGCCACCAGGTTTGCACACATCTCAGGAGGGATTTTGTCCCACTCCTCTTTGCAGATCTTCTCCCAGTCATTAAGGTTTTGAGGATGACGTTTGGCAACTCGAACCTTCAGCTCCCTCCACAGATTTTATATGGGATTAAAGTCTGGAGACTGGCTAGGCCACTCCAGGACCTTAATGTGCTTCTTCTTGAGCCACTCCTTTGTTGCCTTGGCCATGTGTTTTGGGTCATTGTCATGCTGGAATACCCATCCACGACCCATTTTCAATGCCCTGGCTGAGGGAAGGAGGTTCTCACCTAAGATTTGACGGTACATGGCCCCGTCCATCGTCCCTTTGATGCGGTGAAGTTGTCCTGTCCCCTTAGCAGAAAAACACCCCCAAGCATAATGTTTACACCTCCATGTTTGACGGTGGGGATGGTGTTCTTGGGGTCATAGGCAGCATTCCTCCTCCTCCAAACACAGCGAGTTGAGTTGATGCCAAAGAGCTCCATTTTGGTCTCATCTGACCACAACACTTTCACCCAGTTGTCCTCTGAATCATTCAGATGTTCATTGGCAAACTTCAGACGGGCATGTATATGTGCTTTCTTGAGCAGGGGGACCTTGCGGGCGCTGCAGGATTTCAGTCCTTCACGGCGTAGTGTGTTACCAACTGTTTTCTTGGTGACTATGGTTCCAGCTGCCTTGAGATCATTGACAAGATCCTCCCGTGTAGTTCTGGGCCGATTCCTCACCGTCCTCATGATCATTGCAACTCCACGAGGTGAGATCTTGCATGGAGTCCCAGGCCGAGGGAGATTGACAGTTCTTTTGTGTTTCTTCCATTTGCGAATAATCGCACCAACTGCTGTCACCTTCTCACCAAGCTGCTTGGCGATGGTCTTGTAGCCCATTCCAGCCTTGTGTAGGTTTACAATCTTGTCCCTGACATCCTTGGAGAGATCTTTGGTCTTGGCCATGGTGGAAAGTTTGGAATCTGATTGATTGATTGCTTCTGTAAACAGGTGTCTTTTATACAGGTAACAAGCTGAGATTAGAAGCACTCCCTTTAAGAGTGTGCTCCTAATCTCAGCTCGTTACCTGTATAAAAGACACCTGGGAGCCAGAAATCTTTCTCATTGAGAGGGGGTCAAATACTTATTTCCCTCATTAAAATGCAACCAATTTATAACATTTTTGACATGCGTTTTTCTGGATTTTGTTGTTGTTATTCTGTCTCTCATTGTTCAAATAAACCTACCATTAAAATTATAGACTGATCATTTCTTTGTCAGTGGGCAAACTTACAAAATCAGCAGGGGATCAAATACTTTCACTGTATTATGCATTAAGAAATGGCATGTTTCTTTTATCGGATAGTATCCCCAGTCCAAAAATGAAATACTGAACATTTTTATTAATCTACCTTTGCCTGCAGTCACGAAAGCTTTAAGTCAAGATTTACCTTTGCCTGTTAAACTAGTTATATAAACAATCACAAATCGCTCATTAATTCCATAAAAAAGTAGCCTGCAGCGCCACACCTATTACCATCATTAGGGGAAAGAACGGTGATCCAATCTCCGACCCCCAGGAACAGGTTTGCAGATTTGCTGAGCATTTCTGTGAGGTCGTGGGGGAGGGGAAATCCCTCAGCCAGGAAAACGTGGGACAAAATGGGGATGACCTGCTGAGGCTGCGGTGCCTCAATTATTGTAGGAAGAAGTCATCCCCTGTGAGTGGCTGGCTGAGGTGCCATCTGTTGAGGAAGTACTGAAGGCGATCCAGAGTCTGAGACCAGGAAAGGCACCAGGCAGAGATGATCTCCCAAGCGAAATGCTGAGGGAGGGTGGCGTTTGTGCACAGACTGCCCTACATGACATCATAACAACAGTCTGGACCACTGGATGGGTTCCGCAGGATTGGAAGGATGCCCTGGTGGTCCCCCTCTTTAAGAAGGGGGACCGCACAGACTGTAACAACTACAGGGGCATCTCACTCCTAAGTGTGCCGGGAAAGGTCCTGGCAAGGATTATTCAACATCGCCTTGCTAGGCACGTTGAGGAGAGGCTTGCGGAGCCCCAATGCGGTTTTATGAAAAGGCGGTCCTGCATAGATGCCACATTTTCTGTCCGTCTGCTACAGCAGAGGTGTAGGGAATTCCAACAAGACCTACATCTCTGCTTTATTGACCTGGTCAAGACCTATGATACTATCAGTAGGCCTGGGCTCTGGGTTGTTCCTCATGCTTTCTGAGTCCCTGACCCATTACTCATGATCATTAAGGACCTTCATGATGGTGAGCGGGCCTGGGTAAAACTACGTGGCCGGGAGTCAGAGCCATTCCCTGTACACATTGGGGTGCGACAGGGATGTCCTCTGGCTCCCACATTATTTAACATCTATTTTGACCACGTAGTTCGTGAAGCCTTCAATAGCTGTACCGGAAGAACAGATACAATGGGAGGCTGATCGATGCGCGGGTGCAGTCAAGGGTTGGCTCCCTATTGCTCAACCACGTTATGTATGCCGATGATCTGGTAATTGCTGCTCACTTAGAGGAGGAGTTGGAGGCGCTGCTGCTGAACCTGGAGAGAGATGGGGCCTTACCATCAAGCCCCACCAAAACTAAGCACCTGCCAGGGTATTTTGTACCATCGGACACTCCACTCCCACAACTCCCAATTGGTGATAGGGCAGTTGTGGAGAGAGTGGAGAGTTTCTCATACCTTGGCAGTGTGCTCATGACCGGCTCCGGTTTAACAGCAGAGGTCTCACTCCGAATCAGTCGAGCGGCATTATCTTTTCACCGGTTGCGTAACGCTGTGTGGAAGCTACCTAGTCTCTCGCTCCACACGACGCTTCAGATCTTCTCGGCCATGGTCATTTCCTCCCTTCTCTACGCTTGCGAAACGTGGACCCCCGAATGGAACATCTTTGCTGGTTAGAAACATTTAGGCTGGCCTGCCTACGATGCATCCTGGGTTTAACCAGGCTGGATTGTGTGAGGAACTCACAAATCCTTGAAAGATGTGGACAAAGTCCCATCGGTGAGCTCCTCCGGCAGGCAAGGCTGCGCTGGCTGGGTCATGTAGCCCGCATGCTCAGCCACCAAATGCCTAAATAGCTTTTGTTCGGCCAGATCGAGGGGGCTAAACGGGCACAGCACGAGCTAGAGAAGAGATGGAGTGATGTGGTACAGGAAGCCGTGGAGCTGAGTGGACTTGCTGATGACTGGTACCAGCAGTGTCAAGATTGGCCTCTGTGGAGGAGGCTAGTGAAGGACACTTGGCAGTTGAAGGCAGTCGCCCTCCAACAACAACGGAGGGCGGAGCAACGCTCACAACAAGGGGAGCGCCGGTTGGCTAAAGCACAGCAAGTTGCACAGTAGGGGGCACAGGTGGTGCATTAGCCACTCATCTCAGTCAGTCGACCTGTGGCATCTGGGTCTGCCCCGTGACCTCCTGCCAGCGGGCGTTCGACACTTCACGTGGCCTCAAGGTGCACATAGCCTGGCACAAGCGTCGTGGTGATGTCACCGCCACTTAGTGGCGAATGGCGGTTGTTGTTTAAACGGTTTAAATACAGAAAGTCAATACACCACCAGTGGTGTAATAAAGTTTAGGTAAATGTCAAGCCTCCCAACCCATTTAACAAGGGTAATTAATGTGACTATAATTATCCCTGGAAAGTGGGTGGTGGCCTTTTGCTTCGATTGTTCTCAACAATGTGTGCAAGGACAACATTTGCCCTTTGTTATTTTTACACAAATCATAAAAAGTAGTAAAATAATAATGAATTACATTTATAAAGCACCTTTCTACTCGGTACTCAAGACAATGTGATCAGACAATTATCTTGTGCTGAAAGCATCAATGTAATCATGATCAAGCATCAAGGCTTTACAAAAATATGTTGCCATCCTGCATATGCATCTCGATTTATTGTAATCGGGTGACGTTGCACAGGATCTTCTCTTTAAATGAAAATTGCACAGCAAACAAATTAGCAAAGACACACAAAAAGTAGATTGCTAATACCAAGCGTTATGCTGTTACTGTATATTGAATTATATATGAATACTGCTGTGTATTGTAACAACTGTACATACTTGCACATTAACTTTAATAGTAAATATTATGCACAATAACGTTGTGGTCCAGAGATAATATAACTTTTATATTGTTATACTATTGTATTGTCTTGTAAATCACTCAGACGGACACGTGGTAACAAGTCACCTGCTTACACTTTATTCACCTATTCTTGCATCAGTTGTAGGCACTCCTAGAACTATCCACACGGTCACTTAGATCTAACTTCCTCAACTCGTCTCGACGTTACACCTCACCTATCCTGCCCTCGGCAGCTCTGCTCCTCGCGACTCCACACACCGCTTAGTCGCACTCAGCGTCTTCACGCACAGCGCCTCGGCACACAGCAGCTTCTCACACTCCACCGCTGCCCTCGCCTACGCTCCCTCAGAGCCACTCACTCGTCTGTCCCGGGCGGGGGGATCAGCCATCACCCACCCGGCGACTCGTGAGGGTTGAGGTCCGTTGACGGCTTGAGCGGCAGCAGCGAGATGTCTTCACTCTTGTTCCCAGCAACAACTAATCCCGCTCCGCTCACGCACACGCCCTTATATCCTCCTGCCCATTATCCGAGAGCTCTCGTGTGTCTCTTTAAGACTAGTCAGGCTGGCGCCATTAAACAGGACCCTGCGGGGTGGGCTGGTAGGAATAATACTTAGTACCGGTACAGGGATATCGACCGGGTATAGAGGAGTTAAAGAAAAAAATTACCGTATTCTAGTGTAACGTCAATTAAAAGTGTTTGTTTTGACAAGAAACGCTGTGAGATTTAAAGACCCCCCAACACCACCCTCAACACCACCCCTCCCACCAGCCCTCACCACCCCCCACCACCCCCCACCACCACCTTCTGCACTAGGCCTCGCGAAGCCTGCCGCACTAGGCCTCGCGAAGCCTGTCGCACTAGGCCACGCGCCGTGCTTTTCGTGAACAATTAAGGCGATTAAATGTATCTCGTCTCTGTGTTAATAAATGTTTCTTGTCTCTGTGTTAAAAAAAGTGCTGCGTTTCAGGAAAGTCATTTTTTTTAAAATAAACGTGCTGCGTTTCATCTCTGTGTTAATAAGCCTGCCGCACTAGGCCTCGCGAAGCCTGCAGCACTAGGCCTCGCGCCGTGCTTTTCGTGCAAAAAAATAAGGTGATTAAATGTATCTCGTCTCTGTGTTAATAAATGTTTCTTGTCTCTGTGTTAAAAAAACGTGCTGCGTTTCAGTAAAGTAAATTTGAAGCGAAGTTTATTATTACTCTTGTTAAGCCAGGAAAGCCCCACTGAGTCAAAAGGTTTTTGTAGGGTCCTGCCAAGTATTTGCAGTAGGGGGCGATGTTGCTACAGCTGTAGGCTTTAGGGCGCTGTGAGTTTTTTTTATTTAATTTCAAAGTTTTAATTAAAAGCTATCTCAGGGAATAAGGGAATGTTACACGTGTCATGCCAAGTGTTTGCAGTAGGGGGCGATGTTGCTACCAGGATAGCGTCACTGAGTCTAAAGGTTTTTGTAGGGTCATGCCAAGTGTTTGCAGTAGGGGGCGATGTTGATACACGGACGGACGGACGGACAGTCGGACGGACGGACGGACACATTAATCTATTGGTGGTCTGGTCCACTTCGTTCCTACCAGTATCAACCCTTATCGCCCGTCTCCCTGGCAACACCTCCGGTGTCAGCGTGCACAACTGGTCGACCCGGTTTGCACCCGCTTAGCCCCTTAATTAGGTGGCGGTTTGTTCGTGCAACCACGTGTTGCACATACCTGTTTGCCCTTGGTTGCACTCGGATAACAGTTTGCACCGTGTATTTTACTCCCTACACTATTATGCAGTTTTATTTATAAAGATTTCCACATACTAACAATAAAGTTATTAATTTATTGCTGAAACGACTGTGGTATGGTTTTCCATACACAGCGCAGTGAGATGTATGTATGAAATGCGCCTTACAAATGTAACTTATTATTATTAACTTCTGAGTTGCAAGTCATGTATTCTGACTCGGTGCCACTCAGCCAGATATACAGTGACACTGCACGTTAAAATATAATGGGCAAAAAACATTGATTCAGTTAAATTGCAGCCAATAAAGGTGTGTGTGTGTATAAAGTATTGCATGTAAAACATTTTAAAAAATCACCAATTAATTTTGTAAAATCTTGCAATTTTTATCCTCCTTTAGAGTTATGCTAAGCAACTGGAAATAAACAATAATTTCTCAACAGTACTCTGTCATCGTTAAATCAAAACCTAATTATTCGTGTTCAAGAGCCATTGCCCACGATGAGTGTTGCTTGAAAACATATTCTTTGTATCATAGTGTTATAACAAGAATAAAAAAAAACACATTTTTACTACGAATTCATACAAAGAATGTATCTGATGATCAGTATCATTACTGTGTATGACTTATGAGTTACTCAGCTGAGTGGTGAATATGTCTATGGCACTATGCTGCTCTTGATGCATTATTACCTGGTCTTCTGAAAAGAGGACCCCACGCTGGCTGTTGATCCTTTGAAGCAGATCCCCTCCCTCGCAATACTCCATCACAATGCACAGTTTTACATGATCTGCGCAACACAAGGCCCAAACTGCCATTACGCTAGGAAATACAAACCATGTTAATGAACGTCCGACACTATGACAGACATTAAAACTGGCAGCGTGTGTGAATCGCAATCAAAAGGTTGCGAGTTCAAATCCCGGTTGGGGGTCACCTCAACCCGTTACCCCAGCAGGGACGATAGAAGCAATAGCACTGTTGCGGGAAGTCAAGAATGACTTGTCCTCTGGATAAACGTCGCCCCAACATATAATGTGGCTTTTCCATCAGTCGTTTCGGGCTGTATATTGGTTGTCTGTACAACCCATGCGGGGAGCAACTTAATTTTTTATTGTAAAACATTGTTACGTTGAATCATAAATGTCTAATTTTCTAATGGCAAATTAGAAGACACACGTTCGCATTTAACAGTTGTGCAGGGAAACATGGCACGTTTTGTATGCCTGAGTTTGACCTCTGTGACCCTTGGGTGTCTCATGAGACAAAGTCCCTGCAATCTCTGAGCATGTCTTGCACACTGCCACATATCATATCACCATTGTTTAAAGTGTTATGTTCTCTGTTATATTATTATGCCTTGTAGTCACATTCCCAAGTTTAGCTTTAACGATATGAACTGTGTTGACAGACAGCACTATGTATACTGTGGTATTTTTTAAAAAGAAAATATATATATGGTTCAGTCCAAATTAAATTCATTTGATTAGTTTAATGATGCTGGATTATAGCTATTTCTTTATTACCCAGATATCGCTTCTAAAACTGATATGTTTGAACAAAAGCTCAATGTTTTATATATGCAAACATAACCCTTGAGTAATAAGTAAAGGAATGCTTACCTTGAAAAGATTCCATAAAGGTGACAACGTTTGGATGCCTCATTTTGGATAATAGCACAACTTCCTTTTGTGAGCTTTCTCGATCCTTAGCCTTCATCTTGATCATTACATCGGCCAAAACAAAACAATTACAGGAATTAAGCAGAAATATGAACATCATAAAAGTGGTCTATATGCAAATTGAAAGTTATTATTCTTCGTAAGAGCTTTCAAATCACATTTTACAATAATTATTCTGAAAACTGCAAATCTACAAATAAAGTCAATATAATTAATATATATTGTTGGTTCTTTCGGTAAAGTCACGTAGTAGGGACATAATAAACACGAAAGCTTTAAATCAAAATATAATTAATATAATTAACATGAACGTCTGAGGTATACAGCCTCTGATGTCTTTTCAAGTTGTGACCTTCCAATAGATACCGTGTTCTCAGGTACATCATGTACAAGGTGGCTAAACAGTAACTGCTAATAAACAGCAACTGTTTAGCCATCTTGTTGTATGTGACATTTGTTTTGCTCAGTTTATCTTCCGCACAACTTTGTAGCCATCTTTATTCAGTTAATCATTTCCTGTGCAGTATTTATTTCCATTAGTTGTATTTGTGCATGGTTTAACTGTAAATTTCTGTTGGGTTCACATATCCGACTTTTCACATATCCTCTGCCCCGAGTGAGTCAGATGTGCGAAGTTGTATTGCACAATAATAGCCTACCGAGGCCAGCGGTCGCTATTTCAAGGTGTAAATAAGCAACTGTAATCGCGTTATAATGGTGGCAGTGTTTTTGAAGGGTATAGCAGTACACGTGTAATGTTTATCGTCTACTTGAAGTTTATTTTACGAAATTGAGTTTGACACCATGGCAGGCGACTCACCTTAGTGAGGTTGATCTCTTTGATAACACACTGCTGGCCGCTCTCCTTAATCCTTGCCAGCAAAGCCTTTCCATAGGAGCCCTCGCCAATCTTCTTAAGGATAGTGTACTTCTCCATGCCCTTGACCCATACCACGCTGTGCCCTGTCGTGCAGGCAAGCGGCAAATCTGGTGAAAATTTAGTGAATGTGTATTCTGCTTGTAAATACCTTCTCACGCTTTGCAAGCGGTCTTCCATTTTGCAAGGAAATGTAAAAAAATGTCAGCAAATTGTCAAAACTTTTGTTTAAAAGCAGATCTTGTGTTTGACTAGAGTTGAATTCTCAGTCCAACTTAGTTGTAGTAAATGAGTACTGTGCTATATTATGCAAGTCGCAGTACTCGTGACAAAACAAAGACCCCCCCGGCCGCCTTTGTCTCCCTAGTGGCAATGATTACACACTGCACAAGGTATGCATTTGAGGCTCAGTCGACCTAGGGGAGGCCCAGGACCGGTTCAGATAATCGTCACCGGTGTTGGCAGTGAGAGGTAATCGAACCCAGGTGGCAAGGTTCGTAACGCAGCTCGCTGACCACGACAACACCACTCCCTTGAGACTATTGTACAACATGCAAGTGCATTAGCTACAGTACTATCATGCAAACGGGTGTTGATCTGGGTACTTAATTGAATGGAAAGGTTTCCCAATTTAACCATTGCTTAAAATCAGGATTGTGAGCTCGTGATTATTTCCCATGCAGAAGGATGTTCAGTAAACTCTGCCTTTGCATCAGGCTAAATGTTGCGTTTATCTCAGCCAAAAACTGAACCACTTCAGAGCGTGCACCTGTTTGCCAGGATTCTTAAGGTTTCTCAACCACAAATCCCATTTACGACTACAATGAGCCCAGAATGTCTTTGTGTCCCGCACGTGACGTCTCTCCACGTCGGCCAGCCCCCCTCATTAATAATCATGAGCAGGTGACGTCACTCCACATCGAACAGCCTCCCTAATTAATAATCATGAAGAGGTGACGTCTTCCAAATGGACAACCCCCGTCAATAATAATTAGCGGGTGACGTCACTCCACATGGGGGGCCGAGGCGCCTCCTCCCCCCTCCTCGCGTCAACTCACAACCCTCACGACAAGGCAGAACCCGCACGTCACGTGGTCTCCGTCACGCTGTTGAGACGTAGAAGTAAAAGGACGTCGTGATGAACAAGGGATTTTAAACTTTACATCAAATAAGTCTGTGTCACCGCGCCCTTACAAACTGCACGCGCATGGATGCGATGAATATCACGTCACGGGCTGCTTTTTAAATCCTTTATATTAAGTTCGCTTGCTTGCTTGCTTGCGTGCTTACGACCGTGCAAATCTTTCGGTCGTTTTTTAACCCACTTCCCGTGATCCAATCGAGCTGACATTTTGCACAGACTCGTTGTGCGAGACAATTAATTTTCGTGAAAAAAAATTCAAAAATTTTACACTGCTTAGGGAAAACAAATTAAATATTTAATTACCAATTGTTTAATACTGGCAGACAATCATCTGACCCATAGGTGGCAGCCATCTCAAGCCAGAGGACGAGAGGACTCTAGCCGCCACGCATATAAAGGATTATAGTGAAAAACTTTGTTTTACGGGTTATACTTATTGCTTGCAAGTTTCAGATGTACTGCAGTACACCCGTCCTTGGACGGGAAAAAAAGGCGAATGTTTAAATATCACCAATGAGGAACGCCTCATCATCAACACCTTTCACCAGGAGGGTCCTGATTTGGGATGTTTCACACCTTCGATTAGCACGCTTGGCTATGTAACGGTGCGATACGAGTTCACCATACAAGTTCACCATACATGTTCAACTAATGAATTTGTGTATGTTAGGAAGTGAGGGAAAACCCCACGAATACCAGGGGAAAGGGCACTCACTCCACACACAGCCTGTGAGAACTTGTAGTTAGAAGACCTCACATTGCCATCGCTTTAAAAACCATTATACACGATGCAATAATGATGCAACTCGAAAAATACATATCTTGTACATCCACGCCGAGGCTATGTGTAGCACAAGAATATGAATCCCTGCAGTCACGAAAGCTTTAAATAAAAATATAACTTCATTATTTACAATAGTAATTCTGCGAGACTGACAATGTCCTCAAGCTCGGATCGATATATCGCATCTTCCGGATTATAAGACGCACTTTTCCTTCAGTGCATTTAAAAGCAAAAGTTTATAAAAGAGTATCAGTAATCAGCTACGTGCGTGTGTGTCCACACTTGTATAACTTTAAACAGCGACACCCGGGCTGGTCCTCGTCGCAGGCGCCTCTTGTACTCCGGGCAACACGAGGGCATCTGCTTTACCCTCAACAACGCAGTCGTTGTTATTATTATCAGCTCCTATTCGCAGCCTGCACAGTGTGTGTGTGCACTCCGTGTAAGGATGCAATCAGCATGCTGTGTGCATAAACACGGGGACAAACTCAGTGCTATTAACGTGCTCTGTTTAGCATTGCATTCAACATTGACAGTATTGGTTTTCCTAGTGCATTTAGTATACCGCCTTGCGCGCAGCCAATCACGACGGCGTTCGCACTCGCCTCGCGACGGCTGTGGACCAATCACGAGCGCGCACATCGGAGACGCATCCTTATACAGGGAACGGAATAAAATACCCCGCCCGTTGTCGTGGCAACAGACGCGCAAACAACCCAATGGACGGGAATTTACAAAGAATAAGCGCACACGCCAATCTAAATATTAATTAAGAAATAACACAGGCGCGTGAGTGAGGAAGACGCGAGGATTGTGATGTTTGAGCACACGTTTGTCTTGTTAGATATCTACAATGTACTTAGGATTACCTTGCTGGCCGTACCAAGTCCGCCCTGATGAGATGCGGAGTAGGCGCGTGCTGATTGGCTGAGACGCGCGCACAGGCCGAGCTGGGCGACGATACTGATTGGCTGAGACGAGTCGGCGTCGACCAATGGAAAGCCTCGTCTCAAATACATGTTAATTAGCCCATGCGAATGCGCTAATCCACTGCTGGATGATGGCCTCCCCCACCCCTGTAATCGATCGTGGGTATAACGCCAATGTTAGTCACCCACCCTTGCCCCATCCGGGCTTATTTTGTTTATATTCTGACATCTGACTAGATAGAACGTAAGGCGGGAGATGTGGTCATATGTTACAATTTAGTGCGTAATAGTATGGGAATGTCAGTCATTTTCATCAAAAATTTGCAGGAAGTCATCCCTCAAAAAGAACCGGAGTTTGTGTGCACGCGCGGCCCTCTAATCCAGCAGCTCGGTGAATGACCGCGCTGCGGGCGGCCACTGCGTTGGTTGGGCCCCTTCTCGTTCGGGGCTGCCCAACCCCCTCGCCGAACTTGTTTGTGTAACTCACGTTCCGGGGCTCCCCCTGCACGGAGCTAGAGCCATTCACGTTCCGCCCCCCCCCCCCACAGCGCTAGAGCCATTCACGTTCCGGGCCCCCCAGAGCTAGAGCCATTCACGTTCTGGGCCCCGCCCCCCCACAGCGCGAGAGCCATTCACGTTCCGGGCCCCCCAGAGCTAGAGCCATTCACGTTCCGGGCCCCGCCCCCCCACAGCGCGAGAGCCATTCACGTTCCGGGCGCCGCATTGCCCGAGCACCGCGGACCTGCGCCGGGCAGAGCGCTCCGTGCGAGCGCGCGAAGCGGTCGGGTTTGAGTCGCTTTCTGCGGAGAGACCCACTCGAGACACATCCCGCGCCTATCGCTAATTTACCGCAGCTGGAGTCCCTTCGTGACCGGTTTGCCATCGCTATTAAACAAAATCACGCTGTAGTTGTTTAGAGTTCATAGTCTTGAGTTTGTGTGCATTGCAACACGTTAACACGGAGGGGGGGGGGGTGCATCAGGGCATCAGACCGCGTTTGGTGGCTCCGAGTCTTGATAAGATAATGTTCACACTTTGGATGTAGGCTTCCATTGGTATAAGTAGCGTGCATCTGTCTAAGACAAGAGTTGCATGAGCGTGGCTGACCGGACTCTGCAGTGCATCGGGGTTTAAAGGGACAGATTCTCCTGCAGTTCATCAGCGGGGGCAGTCGCCGCTGTGCAGCCTGTGGCGGGCAAGGGGCTTCATCCCGGCGGAGTGGACGCCTCCTGATCCCCCTTCTCTTGCTGCTGCTGCTGCGGGACTCATCCAGATATGCCGGTGGCAGTGCCCCCAGACAAGGTAGGATCGCTACGACGAGCCAGCCGTGTGTCAGTCTCGCTTGGGCTCTATCCCATAACATGGCTGAGTTGGCGTAGCCTCGTTCGCCTCGTATCAAGTCGTGTGGCTGCGTGGCCGTCGCTCGCTCGTGCCTCGCGGCGGCTGCGGGTTGAGTGGTGGCGGTCCCTCCAGCACTACTACACTATACACTACACTATACACTACACTATACACTACACTATACACTACACTATACACTACACTATACACTACACTATACACTACACTATACACTACATATATACACTACATATATACACTACACTATACACTACATATATACACTACACTATATACACTACACTATACACTACATATATACACTACACTATACACTACATATATACACTACACTACACACTACACTACACTATACACTACAGCAGCATCTTCTTGTTTCTTTCGGTAAAGTCACGTAGAAGGGAAGTAATAAAATAATAAAAATAAAACATAATAAAACAATTCTCACGACGTTTCGGCTACAACGCAAGCAGCCGTCTTCAGGTGAAGAATGAGACACTACCAAACTAGGAGCTTATATATAAGCTGCATTGGGGGTTGAAGAGCGCCTTAACAAAAAGAATGTGCATGTGAAGAGGGATTTAGCATATTCATGGAAAATGCGTAGGCGTTGGGCGGGGGGGTGTCAAAGTCATATTATGCCCATGCATTATGCAGGATCAGCAGCAACCAAGGGGGGTGCAGGGATTAGCAGTAACAAAGGAAAGGAATGTTAATGATATGTAGCTGCAGTTACTCAACAACCACGTAGAAAACTAAAGTATAAACTACATAAAAAAACTAAAGTGTAAACTGCATCGCACCATCAGTATACTTACTATACTCTATAATAAGCTGAGTTACTAACAGCAAGTAATACATTACAATTTTACCTCGTAAAAATTCTATAATATGCTTCCATCTAAACCTTATTCTCTTACATCACACGAGCATATACCGTACTATATACTGCCATAGATAAACCCAACATTAAATTATATACTGTATTGCTGTAAACCAACCTATATCTTATACATTTAATATCACACTATGTATTATTCTACACACCCTAATGTGTATCGAAATGGTTTATTACGTCCTTCCATGTTGAGTAGTGGCGTTCCCAGGCCCGCCGAGCGACATCGTCCGGCCAGCGTGGCCCTGGGCCGGCCCCGGGCCCCCCCAGTGGAACACGCTGCTGCTGCTGCTGGTCGGGTTCCGTGGGTTCGTCGTCTTGAGTTTGTGGTAGAGTTCCATGGGGAGTCTACCTCACCAGCTGCCCGAACCACCTCAACTGGCTCCTCTCGATCCGGAGGAGCAGCGGCTCGACCCGGAGGCCCTTCGGATTACGGAGCTCCTCACCAGAACCATCATTTCGCCCCCCGCTCTAAACCGAGAGCTTTGTTCGAGAACTTAGCGCCCGCTTCACTACCACGGGATGAGATCCAAAAGTACTTAAACGTCTCCGCTAAGGGCAGCTGTTCCCCCCTGACCTGGAGAGCACACTCCACCGTCTCACGGGAGTGAACCACGACCTCAGGTGTCGAGGTGCTGATCCTCAGCCCAGCCGCTTCACGCTCGGCATCAACCCGTTCGAGTGCCCGCTCAGATCACAGACTGACGAGACAAAGAGGAGGACAACGTCGTCTGCAAAAAGCAGCGACGCCACCTCCATGCCACCGTCCTGGCTACGATTGTTATTGAGACTCCATACGTCCGTGAGAATCACAAGCAGGAGTGGAGACGAGACGCACCCTTAGCGGGGTCCAACACGGGCCACCAAGCGTACTGACACAGCTCTCACGCCGGGAATAGAGAGGATGGCGCCACCAGCACACCAGCACACCGTACTCCCGCAGCACCTAGGACATCAATAGTGATGAGTCGTTACTTCTGTAATTGTTGTTGTATTTTTTAACCATTAACGAGTGGCTTTTTTTGGACCATTATTTGTCATTGGTAAAGGTGCAGCCCCGCAATTGCTGGCTCGCGCCACTGCTGTCGGACACAGTCTCCGCTAGAAGGAGTTTGAGAGAGCTCCTTCCTCCATAGGGTAATAGACGTGCTCTAACACGCTACCCAGACCGTTGTGTACCCACACTTTACCCCACCATACGCGACCCGCTGAACTGTGGTGTACCCATTTTAACTGCTGGGTGGACAGGCGGGGGATTTTTTTGAATGTGCATTGTTTAACCTGCCGCAACGGGAGAACGAACCAGCTACTTCCGGATTTTACGTTAAGTGTACTGATCATTGCACCACGGCGGCATCCCCATGATCTCATAAGGTATGTAATTTAATCATCTCGAATGTATCATTCAACATCCTATTGTTATTGTGATAGTCTCAATAACAATCGTATCACCATCATCGTCTTGTCTGTCATCTCATAATCTGAATCGGTATGGTGACCTGTGATTTCAATGGTTGAACACAAATCCTGCCACTGCTGTAATGGTACAAGAATGTATTCATTTTTTCCCGTACAGACCGAACTCTAAGATCTGTACAAATCGTATTTGTGCCATCAAGCACATCCTCGTGTGTATCAGCTGTGGCTCCCAGGCAGGAGTTACTGTCGTCCAGGGAAGATGTGGTAAGGTTTGATTAATGACCTTAATTATGTCACGCAAACCACGGGGAGCAGTTTTGGCTTTTTGTTTCGAATGTTTTTTTTCTAATTACACAAAGGGTAGTGCTATCAAAACACACCGTGTGATGTCGTTATTGGAGATGTCAAATATTCGCTTTGGCTATTTACACGAACGGTGAATTAGAAACTTTTAACGAGTTCATTTTACATTTGGAGCCTCCATCAACAATGCACTGTGTGAAGCAGCAGACTTGTATCTAATTGATTGTGCACGTGTATGTTAATCTGCAGCACCGTAAAGTCACTTGGCTATTAAGCATGATTATCCTTATTTACATAATCCTGCTGGACTTGCAAACGCAGCCCACAAATCTGCCCGTGAATGCACATTTAAAGCAGCTTTTGGATTCATGACAAATCTATAGCATTTCTGAGATGCGACAGTATTTGTAATAACTGTAATTAAAATACTGTGCTTTTGAGTAATTTCATTCGAGGCTTATTAGGAAATCAGTAATGGGTGATAGGGAGTACTTCATATGAAATATCCATTGGAGACAGATATATCCAATTGAGGCTATAATCAACAGACTGACAAACCAGTTTGGTTCTGCATAATCGAGTGTAATGTCTGCGGTTATGTGCAACATTGGTAGTCTAGTCTATATTGTAGTGCCTGTAGTGTGGTGCCTCGCGCTAGTTTATAGTGATAGTCGATAGGGCACTGCATTAAAAATATATTGCCGTCTTATTTCCCCAGATCTCTGCTTGGAAGCAGTCCCTAATTGACTTGCCAATGGCATTTGCCTTTGTGAGAGCCATTTATTAACTCCTGAAATGCTGACAGTGTAAAGCTAAGGGGCAAAACTCACCTCTGTGTCATTTTAACAATGAGTCTCATACGTCACAGCCACTGTTTTAAGTGGATTGAGAACAGGAGCTGTGCGTGGTTTTCATGTATCTGAAATGTAATTGAGAAATGTGCTTAAATGATGCCCGAGGTGGCTAGGAAAGATAAAGTCGGAAGCTTTCTGAGTGCACTGAGCCAGCAATTCACAGACCCTGGATTCAAACCTTAGGTTGACCTCTGGGATGAAAAGGCCTCAATGTTCTGCGAGTGTGGTGGTCTCTGACCAGTCTGCAATGTTTGCACTAAATTTCATAATATATGGCTGTTTGCGCTTCATATAGCTGTACCTAGCCGACATGGTACAATAATAAAACAGTGCTGGAGGTAAATAAATCTAAACTTTATTTTGCAGCAGAAGGACACGTTATGTAGGGAAAATAGCATTAATCTGCGACAGTATTGATTATTGTGGTTGGATGTGTGCCTTGGTATCTCCATCCTGGGCCAGTCTTTTCCAGGTTCCATCACCGTTACCCTCACAATGGGACGGAGCTGCTGCCCTCTAACAAATGCATGAGTGGACTGGCAGATATAAATTAAAATACTGTACTTACCAAATGTGATCAGCTAATAAGAAAGTGGCTTTTTTACAGTAATTGCATTTAATATGTAAATGTTTAAAACTTCAACGTAAATATTAACTTATAAAATGACAACGGTCGTAAATTCATCAGAAAACATTGTTTTAAGTCAAAATAGATATTGTATCTCCGTGTTACAGTAAAGCTTTCCAAGTTCAGCAATTTCCTCCATTCACAGACTCGCAAGATATCCATTAATCAATCTAATCATAATATACGGAGCACGTCTCTCATTATTGGCAGACAAGAAAAACTGGACTTTAGCGGGGAGGTGGGACACTGCAGTGAGTTTAAAACGACTAGCTTTGAGGGAAGCAATCACAGGAATACTGAATACGGAGGCATCTTGCTAAAATGCTTTCATGCTTCATGGGAACTCTGAAGTCTGTTGCTGAGTCAGCTGAATAAATGTAGTTCTGTTATTGTAGAATAAGTGGTGAGTCACTTTGGGCTCTCATCAATGTTCTCAAATGTTCAATCCTTTCTAGAGCCCTTCCAAAGTATTTGAAGGGTCTTTTTCCTTGAGCGTATGGACATATTTTAAAAAATAGCAAAAAGTCATAAAAAAAATCACAAACAACAGTAATCTTTGAGGTGGCTCAAGCGATACCGCGCACTGTACCACGGTTCTGGACTTGTGCCGCTGACAGACTCGAGGTTTCTCAAGCTGTGCCGTGGATAAGTGGAACTTAAAAGCAGAAACACTTAGGTGGGAAAGAGTTTCTGCATGTTCAAGGCAAGCGTGACTAAGCCCGGTCACAGTGTACCGTGCAGAAACGTCTGCAAACAGGTGCCTCGGCTTAATTTGACTACTCGACTGTGTGGTCTGTAGTGCAGTGGATGTGCTACAGAATGGATCGTGTGTCTCCAGCTG